TTAGTTTCCTTTGTAATCTCTTTTCTTTTATGGTAGAGCTGACCTAAGTGAGCCCTGTACAGTGATTTAATACACATGTTTCTCTCACCTGTCTTGTAAAATGCTCAAAAGCTCTCCCACTCTCAAAGGTGCCGGTGTCTCTGGCATCCTTTACAAATAAACGAACGAGATTCTTTTGATTTCTATTTATAACCTACATTTCCTCTCCTCTGTCTGGCCTTTCAAGGGAGGGGTATGTTGGAAAAATATCCTTGGAATAATTTTGTGAAAACCAGATCCATGTGTATCCATATTTAGGTGTTTTCAGATTACATATGTCCCCCTCTGGTTTAATATAAAGCTACAACAAGAGTAAAATAAATGCAAATAAGTCATTTTTTCAACAATGTCAAAATCTGCCTTTATTCAACTCTCATCACCCCAGTCTATCATCGCGATTTGTTCCTTTTATGTGTCAAACTATCATTCAAATTACCACACTGTCAGTCACCTTTACAGTTCACATTTTAGAAAAAGAGTATTCCTTGTCCACCTTTTCTGCTAGATCTGTCAGATCTGAAGTTCTCTGACTGAACACAGAGTGTTTTATGAAAGATCATTCAAACAGGCCACTTATCTTGTCGAGCAATCACTTCAGGTTTGAATTCCTTCCCTGGAACGTCATAAGTCCTGCAAACTCCCATGGTCGAGGAATCTTATCCATATTGTGAGACTGATTAGATTATTCACGGTAGCCATTAAACATTAAAATCCTGTTTTCCTGGCAGTGATGGAGGTTAGTGGGATATTTCAAAACTAGGATAGAGGGAGCTTCAGCCATTCCTCAACCAGTTAAAACTCATCATAGTGCCTTTAAACTTAAACAGAAATGTTTGTTTCCTTCTATCACAGACTGTCTAAATGTTGTAATTTCTTTATTTTGTTATGTTGATGCGAAAATTGTTTTTGAATCTTCACAACCCCATTCAAACTTGAACCAGATACATCATTTTAACAACCCACTTTTTGGAAACATGTCAAGCTATCCTTTACATTTCTTGACTGTCAAAAACCAAGATAGGCAACATGTCCTAAGGGGAAACTTGCTCCTATAATCTCTTTTTGCTGTACTCTCAGACTTGAGAGTCTGTGAACAATCATAATCTACATGCCCTTTACATGGAGGAGAGCCAATTACCTTCTCCAACAATGCCTGTCATTTGTCCTACAGTGAATCAGGCTCTAAAACAGGCACCTCTCCTCTCATGTCTGACCTGTGGGCTCAGTATGAGGCAGGGTCATCCCTGCTCTCACTCTGATGTGGTATCAGATGGGATGGAGGCAGAAAAAGAATCACTTTGAACTTCCTCTATCGTCATACATAGTGCTCTTTACTGGTCTGGCCAATGTGGTTGCACTCATGATGGGGGTATGTTTTCTGTTATTGAACATTGCATCAGATCCGGATGACCCTTTGACGGAGCTCTTTGGATTTTTTTTTTTTCTTATAATGAATGTTAAAAACGGATAAAATATGAGAAAAACATGGTACCAGAAAGTTGCAAAGCACAATAAAGAAAGAAAAAGGCCATTGTGAATTGTCTGCATGGAGGCCTGATGTCTTGTTATTGAAACCATTCTATGACCTAAAAATCTGAAAAGAAATATCACAGACCCTTTGTGAAAAAAAGATGTCTTTATATCACAGGAGTTTCTACAGTTCTCACTGTTGCATTATCATGTTAGATTGTGGTTTTCTGTTTGAAAGAAGAGGAAGAGGACTACCAGGAAAACCAAAACAATACAGCTATGCATTGTCTTGCATCACATTGGACCTCTGGTGAAGGTATTGTTAAAATTGTAAACAGCATTTTTGCTCACCACAATTTCAGCCAAGCTCTATACTCACCATATTGTACTGCCCCCGTGAAGACAAGCTCTTCTTTTTATTCTTATTCATATCAAATGAGCATATGGAGCAAGTATGTGCCTTCTCTGCTTTCTAACCTTCAGGAAACTGTTATTTGTCAGTGCTATAAAGCAGATTGCTGCTCAGTGGTTTCAATTAACATCAAAGAGGTCTTTGCAGGCAGTTATAGTTATATCAAAACCTGAAATGTATTATTTAGGTTCTGTGTTGTAGTGCTCCAAACCTTTATGTCCATGTTCAGAGGAGGGTTTTCTTTCTTCGCAGACTTTTTTTTTATGCCCACCGCCCCAGTATGATGCCTTTGAAGCACCCCCACATCACTTCTGTACAGTCTCTTTGTAGCACCAGGGAACCTGTGTGGCTCACACCCAGTGGCCTATTAGTTAAAAGCAATAAAAAGAGCCACTACAAAGGTGATAAAGACGTTTAGTCCTAAATAGCTCAATGATCAGATTTTGGTAGATTGGGAAAATGGGTCCTGGTTTAGTTATTAAAGCCCTATTGATTAAAAGAATCAAAGTTTGATAAATTTATATTCTGACAATAACTAAAACTTATCATCTCAGCTGTTATTTAGATCTGTCATCTTACACTGCAGTCTTTCTAGTCATAATTTTGGGCTCTATCATTTAGCAATGAAAAAATACGGATAGACCGAATGTTACTTTAGCCCCCTGTGATGAACAACTCTATTTCTCTGAATGAAACCTTCAGTTTATGTGATATTTACAACTTATTTGATATAAAAAAGAATACATATCAAGTGTAAATAAGGGTATTTTGTTGTAGGTTTTTCTTTTTAGAAGTACATTGTATCCTAACTGGCTTTTATAGGTTCTTCATCATATAAAACTGGATTCAAATCAGGTCACATATTTCTCACTTGAATTTTGAAGAGGGGTTTCTGTCAGTCCTATAAAAAATGATAGAGGGATGTTCAAGCAGCAACATCTGGTGTTGAAAAATGAACTCACTGCTGGAGTGGAAAAAATCACAGCCCAGTGTGTCCACTAGAGGTTGGCTCCAAAAGCCAAGAAGACCCCTCTTTTTTGGGAGGATGTTAGTGGGGTCATTTTTTTTTATTTATATATTTGCGTAAATAAAGGCATCATTATTTTTACTGACACAAGGGTGTAATGTTGCTGCCAGGACTTGAAAGGTCTGCCTGAGTTTCAGCTCTTTGTCTATTGCCTGATTGACTGAAAGTTAGGTAGAGTTGGCTACAGTAAGTCTATGTCCATGTTTTGTACGATCCAAGGGTATGCTTCAAGGTTTTTTGGTGGTCTATGTATTAAACAACGCTGTAAACAGTTAAAAAATAAAACCTTTTTCGATCCATTAATCAGTCTCATCACTGTGTTGACTGTGTTTTCACTTATGAGAACTGTTGTTAATGAAGTCCTGACTGGATCAGTGCAATTTATCTCAAACTTCAGTTTGCAATTGTACAGAGACAAAAACTTTCTGACCTGAGTTGCACCTGCTGTCTAACAGCTGATATAACAACTGCTATTTATTTCCCGGTAAAAAGATGGCACTTTAAGTGACAATAAAAGCTCTGCAGGGACAGAGACTATTTGTTGACAGGAGCCATGAGCTGGAATATTGTTATTATCCTTGCAAACTCATGGCTGGAGTTTAAAGTGCACTGGGGGCCTTAAAAACGGTGTACAAAAAGTTCATACATTATTCAATACGTGTTGATGAAGCCTTCATAAATGATGGTAGAGCACCACAGGAAAGAAGCCTTTGGTTTCTGAAGAGAAAGAGCATGCAGCCATAGTCTAAGATGTGGTATACCTCCTCTCCTGGGATCACTTCCAGATACAGAAAGAAGGAAGTGCTTTGCTATAGCTGTGATTCAAATACCATGATCACTGAGCGTTTTTATAAGAACCCCATTAAAAGTGAGGTTTTGACATACAAAAGAGCCCCTTTTTAAATCTCACGCACATTGTCAGGCTGAAAGATGTTATAAAACTCTATACAGAAGCATATATCCTCTGTGTGTGTCCTCGCCTTGCAGGCCATCAGGAGGGAAAATCTTTTGTAGGAGCAGAAATGACCCGTTTCCCAGGAGAAGCCTGTGCCCTATCACTTTGCACCATGCTGCAGATTATTCACACATTTGTTCAGCATGATCGAGAACCGGTCTTAACTCATAACAAAGACGTCTGCCTGGAATATGCCCATTTGTCAAAATGCACCATGATCTGAGAAACTAAGTCCCTCTGAATGAGACCAGCTGAGGTGGACACAATGGCCCAGTTTGACCCCTGGCTCCACCTGCTCCTCATAGTGTTTATAAAGTGCCAACTTCTCTCATTAGCGCTCCCATTAACCCAGAGTTATAGCAGCCGGCCAGATCAAACGCAGCCTGAGTGAAAAACAATGGACGAAATGGCATTAATATGATATGTGAGAGTTCAACAAATATTGCACAGGATCTCTTTGATGGGGACTGTTTCACATTAAAGGCTTTTTATTGGGGCTTTTCTGCTCTTTAATGTGCATGTTTTCCCCTTGAGTCAGTGTTACGGGGTTTAGGTCTTGTTGTTTGACCTGTCACTGGATTCAGAAGACGAACATACGGTCCACATAAGATAGTGATTGTTAATACATGCTCAGGACATATATTGGTAGTATTTTAGCTGAAACAACATCCAGGAGTCTTTTGATGTGAAAATCAAACAACCTCCTCTTTGGGTTAAAAAAGGTCTTTTCTATTTTATGATGTCTCGCTGCTGCGCTGATGTTACACACACACTTATTGAATTAATTTGGCCATTTGTTACTAATAAATTTGAAAAGCGTAGGCTGATGAAAGTGATTCATGTTTGGCAGGTGATCAAGAATTCATCTGACAGCCCAAACTGTGGTCGAACCTAAGAGTCTGACCACGGACATGAGCACTGACTGTGTTTATTTATCCGTGCACATTTCTCCCTGTGTCCAAATGAGTTGACATTACGGAGCGTGCTGATGGTGACAGGTACATTTAACACAAGCTGAAAAGTTTAAAACACACCCTACTTCCTGTATACACAACTCTTAACACTTTCTAATTGGCCGCCTTCACGTTTGATTACTGTACGTTCAAGTTGGTGGCAGGTTAGTTTACACTGAGACATGGGTCTTTTTGTGCACCCCTCCCTCACCCGCCCTCAACAGTGAAATTAGTGGGAGAAAAAGTGCTGCATAAACTCTGCTATTGTCAGTTTGTTTCTCATTACCTTTCTGTGTTCTTCATTTTCCTTTCCTGCAATGACAGAGAAGAACATGAGTGCAAGGCCATTAAAAACAGCCTTAAAATTAAAGGACATTTTGAATCATGAAATAAAACAATACGAGAACACGTGCCCCATTTATCATCGGCAAAGTCATTTGTCCCTTCAGACAGCCATCCTAGATAATGTGTTCCTGCTCTCTAAGTTTGTGAAGAAGACTCTAAGAATCAGATTAGATGTAATGTAGCTTTAATTCTCCAAACAGCATTGAAAATCTTTTGGATGCAATGCCACATGTGTTTGCATGTCTGTTTGGTTTGGCCAAAAACTGACAGCAGCTTCTGGTTATCCAGAACCCATTAGATGCTTTGATCCCAAAACGGGGCCTTGTTTCCATTTGCTGAAAATAGTGTTCTGTGTTTGTGCTGTGGTAAACGGATTGAACCTCTGTGATTTGTTTTCACGTGTTAAATATGATGTTTTGCAAGATCAGTTTGAGATAAATAGGAATCCTGTCATCTTTATTACAATCCTGCAGGATCTCATTTTAACAGTTTCTGTCATCAGTAGTGGCCAACTTTGCAGATAAAATATGAGATCTTATGATGAACTGTTTTGGGAGCATTAGCCTCTTAAAGGTGTTGCTAAGGATGGGTTGGATTAAGTGCAGTCTGTGAAATGTTTTGGTGATGTCAAAGTGTCAGACTTACATCTTTACCTCTGAGTATATGTGAACCAAACACCACAAAAGTACCACACACCTAGAGCTAATTCTTTCCATGCACCCCTGAGTCAAAAGCAGCTTGGCGTTGACATTGAAGCCATTGAACAGTTCTGCAAATTATGTTGTTTTGTGGTGTACGGTTAAAGTAGATTAACAGAAAATGTGGAACTGCCTTTCCATGAGCAGGGGAGCAACCATCTAAAAAACTATGAAAAGCCCCACAGCTTTTTTACACATGTAGATAATATGTCACAGAGCCAAGTCCCCATTTTGACACCGTGTCAAAGACAGCTCTGGACCGCATCCCGAGTTCTTTGCTTGTTTGTCTTTTGTAAAAAAGGACAACTACCCCGGCAGTGCCAAAGCACCCCAGGCCCTTTGATATGTGAAAGCCTAACAGTGGGACTGCTCCCCGCTCAGCTGGTACACAGATGTGTGTGTGTGCGTGTGTGAGCAAGTGTGTAGTGGGAGCCCGCTGTCTGAACCGAGCGCAGATTAGTGACTCCTTTTTTTATTCCTAATAAATAAACCCCAGTGCACGCTGGGTTATGTGTGAGGGGGAAAAACACACTGCTAGCCAATCAGAAGCAGGTGGTAGAGCTTGGTGGCTATAGACCCTGCAGCCCTAATCATAAAACAACTGCACTTTTAACTTTAATTGTAGTTGTGGATAGATTTTGGGGTTTGGGTTAGAAGTGTTTTATTACTTCGGACTGGAATCAAAGCAAAAGAAATGTAATTATGTTAAAAGCAGGCAACAATTTGGCTCTGATGGATGGTGTCCAACTTTCAGACTGAAGTCACTGATAAGGCAATGCCACACACAAACACACACACAAAGAAAAAGTAAAATACATGTTATATAAATGTTTGAGCATAGTTAGGTGCTTTTACTCAGCTACTCGGTTATTTCAGTCCTTTCATCTAGCCTGTCCATACTACATACATGTTTATTTGGTGCAAAATACAGTTTTTGAATGATTTGATTTATCTAGCTGTCAAAAAAGACAGAGTTACAAGTAGAATTTGAGTATTACAAGTCACTGAGAATAACTACAAACTGTGGTTTTCTTATTCATTCTTATATTCAGTTTTGCAAAGCCAGCTGACCTGCTTTAAATACTTGAGAGCATGGGCAATGCTGCATTGGTATATTTGTGTATGAAGTCACCCTGGTCCAAGTTCTTCTCTATCTTCTCTCTTAATCTTGAAAGATGGGATTTACAACCATCCGTCACTCACTGGACCTGGTGAAATATGCCCTTCCTAAAGTCCAAATCCACAGCAAGTTAGGCGAGAAGTCTTTTTTCTTCTGCTTGGAACAATCTGCAGATAGATTTTGATGAAAAAACTTTGTTTGCCTTCTCTAATGTTTTTTTTAATCCTTAGTGAAAAATCTTGATTCCAGGCTTCATGTATGCAGGTGTTTTACCTTAAAGACGAGTTGAAATACATAAAATAATGATTCCTGCAATTAAAAAATATTATCTTGAATAGTTTTTTTTTTTTCCAGCAGCATGTTTTAAAGAGATGTTTAATAAACTTAGAAACATAATGGTGATATTTACCATCATTGTTCTGATATATCAGTATATCTCTCAACTTGAAATGCTGTTTAAAAATGTATTGTATTATATAATATATTTATTTGATAAAACTATTATTAATACCTTACCACCAAAAGATGCTTTTATGTTTTATATTGATGCATAGGATCAATCAAGTTTAATGTAATGTAATGTAATGTAATCTGTTTAATAGATTTACTGTTGATTTGCTTATATTTGCTGACATGCAGATAGTACATCTGCAGTAGTTTTTAAGTATTTTTATGGGGGTCTTGTAACTTTGGTATTTCTTCACTGGAGTACAAAAAGTTTTAAGTACTATTTCATAATGTTGTTAATTCAAAACTTAAATAAAAAGTGTGACGTTATTATCAAGCACAAGACTCAAATTTAAGTCTTTCAGATGTGTGTGTGTGTGTGTGTGTGTGTGTGTGTGTGTGTGTGTGTGTGTGTGTGTGTGTATCTTTGCAACCTGTCAGTCATTAGTGAGTATATAACAGCTGCACAACAGGTGACACTCTCAAGAACTCAGCACACAGGCACTTGTGTATGTTCGACTTGCCTCACGCTCTGCAGCTTTGAAATGGTGTCCGTTAATCCTTAAGCCGTCTGTTTAGTGAACTGTAGTAAAAAGTAAAAGGCCATAGGTGGATCTCTGTGGGATGTTCTCGGCTGCAGTTCGGGGCTGATGGCCTCTAGTGAGTCTTTCTCTCCACATTGAGGGGGGGATTATGATGAAAGGAGCAGAGAATGAGATGACACACCCTGTCTCTATAATTCGCTGCTTCATCATGAACAGAGGCATTAAACGCCCCCCCTTCATTTTTTTCCCTCTGGAGAATCTTACATGTCACAGCGCACAGTGCCTCTCTATGAGTCAAACACCTCAGGTGTTTCGCACGCACATCAGTGCCAGCGTGGCGTGTCGTCAGATTACTTCATCCACAGTATCTGAGATCACAGAGAAGAGAACATTGTTGATAAAGTAAGGCAATGATGCTCAACTGTATTGCTAAGTGGCCCTAAGTGAATGAAAGGGGATAGAGTACAGTGGCCTGAGGACCTCCATAGCCTCACTTTTATTTGTGAGCTTATGACAAAGATTTTTGTTCACGTGCTTTCTAACCTGCCAAGGATGAAACTCTTGGCGAGGGAAATAAAACATGTTTTCATCTTGATAGATTTTCACATTGGTCCACTGACTCTAAAGTGGCATCCACAAGTAGTGTCAAATAAAAAACGTGTGAGCTGTGAGGCGAAAACTCACATACAAACAAATCTTAGAGTGGTTGCTAAGTTAATTTAAAGATTCTTTGAGATGTTTTTATTCATCTCTCTGTGTATCTCACATAATTATATGGCTGTCCCCTCTGGTGATATACTTCTTAATGGAAATTAAGCTGTTTTTTAACAGGCTACATGTCTCAGTGGTTGGATGTCTCTCAACTAACTAGTATGTCTTTTAAAAATATCTACCATATATATGTATCAATGCACTTTTATTCATGTGCAGTTTGCAGTTGATTTCGTCTCCTGTTTAATAAAGGTTGACCCTCTTTTGACCTATCTGGTATCTGACCCCTCTTTCACACACTGTAAATTTTCAGACAATTAAAAAAAGCACACGCGAAGCAGCAATCCAAATGCTGAACCACAAAAACATCAGACTGTCATTTCAGGGCCTTTCCCATAACCCTTAGCTCTTGGTAATTAGTCAGCAATTGGAGATAAAGCGTGTGATTGGGAGTGAAAACAATGTGGAGATCGCAGACTGTGGTTTGGAATGGCAAATTCCACTGGGAGACACAAGTCTGTCACAGAAGGAAGCGCTTGATTTAAAGGTGTTGATTCAGTAAATTACGCACTCGGAGAGGCAGCACAGAAGTTTTTAATTGCAAACATTAAATTACAGACTGAGAAAATTGTGGTGTGTACGGTACAGTATGTATTTAGTCAGACTTGCAGCTGTAGCTTTGGTCCTGATAAGTGTCAGCATCATCAAGACATCTTCTTGTTGTTCATGGTGTGTAATTTCCAAATCTGAGGGGGTTAATAGAGGTCTTTATCTCGATCACAAAAATATCATATTTATTCCCCATCAAACATGCATGATGATATAAATGTTAAAAACAGTGAAAGAACAAACCTAGAACTTCTCAGCACTCTTTAAGTTGATGAAGATTGGACAATACTTTATATTTCAATGTGATTGTGTGTTATCTCCTATTGTTCTCATCTCCTTTATCCCATATTCTTCTTAACTATACCTAAAAACCTATTTTTGTTTTAAGGGCACATTTTTCAGGGATTATAAAAAAATCTGTCTTGGATTTAGCAGGATTTAGATTATTGTTAAATCATCACACAAAACCATTTAGGTTACTTTGTGTCTGGCAGCTATTAGTTAGTGGTAACCCATTTGTATTCTGCAGTTTGTATGTGGCATCGAACTGACTCACTTGTCCTTTCACCGCGCTGAATTTCTTCCACATATGTACAAGTTGTGATATCCGGTCCACCCAAATGTCTACATAGTGTTTTTGGGTTTTCACTGTGGTCGTACTAATCTCCAAGTGGCACCAAACAGATTGGTGTCTCTATATTGGGCTCTACCATGCAACTATGTTGATCACTTAGTGGAAGGATGTGTGTTTCTATGTGTGTGTGTGTGTGTGACATCTGACTTTTAGCATGTGTGTGTTTGAGGCCCCTAAATACAGCCTGTGTGCTCTTATATGAGTGTGCACATACAGTGGCGTAACACTCGGGTGTGAACGACTTGGTCTTAATTGTACGCATCTGAATGAGTGCGTGTGACAAGTGTGTTGTGGGGGAGGCCTGTGTAATGTCAACAAACAGCAACAACAACAACAACAGTTATGCTGGCTGCCGCTGAGCCTCAGCTATGTTGTAATTAGAAGTAGATGAAAATGTGGGACAACAGCGCCTTTAACCATAACCAAACATCTCTCTCTCTCTCTCTCTCTCTCTCTCTCAGGCAGAGGATTACAGACACAAACTCAGCGCGGTCTGCTCTCCCCTCTGCGTGCCACATGTCGCCGCTCCTCTGGCCGCTAGATCCCCGTCCTTTCCTCTGCCACCGGCCATTTGGGTCTGCAGCCCAGATGTGTGACATGGTCACCTTCAACCACTAAAGTGACTCATTTTTTTTTGTGTAGATAGCATGCAAGTGTGTGTGAGAGCTCTGCAGTCCATAATCCTCCAGTCTGTGCTGCCTCCCACTGGTTGGGTATGAAACTGACATTTGAGATTTCTCAAAGTCCATCTTCTGCTGATGAAAAAATAAACCCAAGCACTTCACTGTGTAAAGTTAGCTACATCAGCTCAATTCAGGAGGCACTGAACTGTAATAAATCACTTTCTCATACTTCAAATACTCAGCCTCAACCAGTTGGAACACCAAGAAGTTAAATAAATGCTAACAAGGAGGTGCAAATCCGATGTTGCCTCACATCTGTATTTTACACTGTCAAAAAATGAATGATTTTTCACTTCAGCTCCGTTTAAAACAAGACCACCGCAAGCATGAATGAGTTTCAGGCTCTGAGCTCTACCACCATGTCCTGGCACGGGGAGCACATCTGAGAAAACTTGTAAACAGTCAACCATAATCATATGTAACCCTAAATGGAGACATGATTAATCTGATCCCAGCCTGTCTGAAAATGCCAGAAAGTGTCTCACTTCTGGAAGGAAATCAAGACAGGCTTGCCCTGTGGATGCACATTGCTACGGCTGTGAAAAGATAGAGGCGTAAAGAGTTTTAACCAATTTGCTAAATTGATCAGGTTACAGTGAAGGCATGCTGTGTTTCACAGAGGGAAAAGTGTTGCCCCGGGATTATTGAGACCTTTGAACTGTTGTGGCTTCTCTGTTTTCCCTGTAAATCTCAGGCTGACCTCTGTGCATCTTCTCAAACATAGATATTGAGTTAGAGAGTTTAATTGGCTGCAATAATACAACACAAGTCCTGCTTTGTTTCCCAAATGCTCAATCCAAATAACTAAGTGTGCTGCCAGCACCCGAGGATCTCAGCAGGAAATCCGGGCATCAAGTTCAGCTCTTGGCTTGACCCAGTTCATTCCTGTTCCCTGCGCTCTTTCTCCTCTGGGGTTCAGTCAGGTGGGAGTGTGTCCCTCACCCCCACAGAGGCAGCTACAGGGGGGTGTGGGGGGGTTGAATGTGGACAGAATGGTTTGCTCAGCAGCCTGTTGCTTCAGTTTGTTTGGAGCTGCGGTCCTCTCTGGAATATGTAACCAAATTCCTTTCCCTGTCCCACAATCGGAGTTTGCTGCCAGCTTCCCTGGCAATGAGGCCCTGAATTAGGGCCAGTCCTCCTGCTCATCCCACAAAGCCTTTCATGTTCCCAAACCGCAGCCTGAGCGAGGCGCCTCGGTTTCAACAGCAGCAGACCAGCATATGTTTGCCTAATTCCTGAGACATGATGACAGTGGTCTCCCAGCCACGAAAAGACAGCTTCACTTTTTTTTCCCCTCCATCCTGCACTTTAATTATTATTTTCTGTTGTTGATGACTTCCAATAGTTACACACCACATGTTTTCTCATTACACATGTTTTTACTCTTTTCTTTTTTTTTTTAGCAACCCCTAAACTTTTCCCTATCCTCCTCCACCACCACCGCAGTCACCCTTCTCTTCCCACAATGCTTTGCTTGCTCATGACCCTGCAACTGGAAAAAAAACACAGAGCAGCGGGGGAGGTTTTTCATTGCCCAGCAGGAGATGGAATTATGGTTTGTTATTACCCACAAGTGTTAGGTGTAAGAAAGGATCACAGAGCTGAGAGGTGGACACAGTCTTCCTGCCACAGGTCACAGCAGATTAGCCAGAAGCAGGCCTGATCTCATAAAGACAGGGCGTCGCAGAGCAACACCCAGGGCTGCACCCAACGATGCCCTCTTGAACTTGGATTCACACATGCTGGCGCCTCGTATACTATCAGCGCCTTTGTTTTTCTGCTGTCTGGGTTGTTTTATTTAATATCTTTCTATGAAATGAGGGGCACTTCAATCACAGAATGCAGAGAGGAATATGAATTTGGTATTTTCACCATGGTAGCTTGAAGTGTTTGCCAGCTGGAGGAGTTGGGTGTTAACTGACTCTTACAGTGATGGATAAATTGGCTGTTGCTGGAATCAAACCAACAATCTTACTGTGTTTAAACTTTGTGTCCAATCTCACACTGTGATTGTTATTAGAACAACACCAAGTTATAAGGCTAGATCCAATCTTGACCTTTTTTCATATCTACTGGCGCCTTAAGAGGCAAAGTGTTGGAAATTGTGTCTTTCGGCTTGAACGATTGAATGATGAACAAAAATAAGAAGCACTACAGTTAACGCTCACACTATCTGCAGTGTAAACTCTAACCTCTGTCTTATTGAGCACAAAGTGTGTTTGCTTAAGAGGTGAATTATAGACCCTCAAATCTGCTATAGAGCTGGGGAATGGGGTCCATACAGCCAAGAGAAATAAGCAACCAAATCTCACTGAAAATAATCAAAATTTAGTGGCACATAATAGTTTGCTTTGAAGGGGAAGGTATTCATATTTTTTGCTCTTTATTCGACTTATCGGTAGCCCTGCTCTCTCCCCTCGGGCCAGGAGCTAAGACTCCTTGGCACACATGGACCGCCTGTGGCTGTCATTGCATGTGTTTAGTTTCACCGCTGGTTTCCTACGGCTTACTGTGGCCCTGTTTTCCCCTCAGATGGCGTGTGACACACACTTATCCCTGGCAAATCTCAACGTCCCCTTCTGCCAAATCAAACAACTCTCTGTATATTGCTGACGTCTAACCCAATATCTTTGGACTTTTAAAGACATGTGCTTTTCTTCGTTTTTTCATGTACGAATCTGACCGGAGTTTCAAATACTCAATCATTAAATTCTCAGCACTGCTCGCTGAAACATTCAGAGTTTATTTTATTCCTGCATGTACAGACAGCCGCAATACATTTTTAGCAGCCGCGGCAGGAGCTGTGTGTATTTTAATGCGCTGGCCATATGTGGCACCCTGACCTCTTTCATAAACAGAACAGTCTGCAGTGCACCATGGGTCTGCTCCACCAGTTTGGGAGAGGAAAAGAAGGGATGGCAAAGAGGAGGGGGCACTTTGGGAGGGGTTCTGTTGGGCTGGTTTGAACGAGAGTCATGTTGGAGCCATTCCCCTTTGAGGAAAGATGGGCAGCACTTGAAACTGTGCATTTAATTGAGGACCAGCTTATTCTTGTATCAGTTAAGCCAAAGACTTCATCAGTCTGTTCAGCAGAAGGTTGACAGAATCAACTTGAGAAGGATTCCCTGTCCTGAAACTATCAGGCAACATCAAGTCCTTCAGGCACGTCCAAATATACGGGACTATTTCTAATCCAATCCTGCATCCTTTGTGCTTTGTAGTGCAGTCTTGGATGCAGAACAGTGGCTAGGTAGAACAATTAGCTTTCCAAGAATAAACAGCTCTTTCTCTCCAAAGCAGACGATCAGTCTCTGTGTTAGGGGTCTTTGATTGATGTGGGTGGCCAGAGTTCAATTTAAGTTACTCTAAGCGGGCCCTTGAGCCTCAGAGCCCTATCATTGCAGAAAGGCCCCCCTGTGGCGTTCTACCTGCAGGTATCAGGTGTTGCGAGAGCTTTCGTGGGGGGTGGGGTGGGGCAGGGTGGGGTGTAATTACACATGCATGTGAAGGGAAAGGCCTCTGAGGGTAATGAGGTTCGGAGGATGCTGCCATCTCAGCGGGTGGTCCCTCCCTCCACTCTGACACCGATCCCCTTGCCTCTCTGTCTGTGGCCGCTCACGCGAGTCGCCCGATCTCCCCTTCTCTCCCTTCCTCTCCTCGCCCCATGCTCGGACAATCGGATGGGGCCTGAAAGTGGCGCCCACCCCAGTTGCTCCAGCCAAGCGGGCTCCCAGAGCTGCTTCCAGGCATTTCATCACATTACATCAGATCAAAAGCAATAAGCTAATTACAAATGACTGTGGGCATGCAAGCAGTAAATACAGAATCAACATAATTGATTTAATCCTCTCAATGCTAAGTGAAAAACTTATCAATGCCACGGCCAAAATTACAGCCTGGTTTTCCAGGGCAATAGCGACAATTGAATGAATTAAAAAAACCCACGGAGTTCCCATTTGACCAAAGTAAGCTGTGGTGACGCCAATGCAATTCACACACAAACGCTTGGCGAAGTGGGAAGAGGGAGACATGTAATTTCAGACCTCGGCATTGGGCCTTGGACAAATTTGGATTCTCTTGTTTTGTTTGTTCATCTGTTTTCTTTTTGCCGTGCAGAGGGTTTGTGTTCACAGTTTTCGCGATCATCCATAGCGGCTGCAGCGAGGGGGGGAGTGAGACGATGTTTTATGCATGCCTCAATATGCATCTTAAAAGCAAAAGCATTAGGAGCGATAGTGAAAATGCAAAGGGTTTTCATCAGCGTTTACTTATTCATGATGCTCTGAGAAAAGCAACGTATTTTAGAGCAAATCCATGTTATCATTGGAGAAGCTCCCCCACAGAAGTCATTTTCCACCTGAGGACATGCGCTTTAATGACAGTTTGAGGTGGTGCGCTGGAACAGAGACACAAACTCTATGTTCACAACACATGAAATATCAAAGCATGGAGGAGGAGGAGGGGAGCCTTCCATATAAAACTTGAGGTTCTCTATAAGGTCATGATGCCTCTGTAGCTTATCCTATTTTTATGTATTATTCTGAGATTGTTGAGAAAAATATATTTTACCTGAAATGCAGTGACTTTTTTTAACACACAGGCCTAAATGTGTTTGTCTTGCTGGTGTGACAAGTTCAGAACGTTTGCATCAATAAATTAGATTAAAATAGTAAATTTATGTTAAAAATCCGACTAAGGATGAAAACATTGTATATTCATTAGAAATGTTCAAGTAGTTCTAGTGGTGACACAAAAAACAGTTAATGTAATAATTGTAAAGATATCAAAAGTGCTTTATATACACACGTATTTGTTCTGTGTCCTTAAAAAAGTAAGATGCAGCTACCAGTATATTTGTAATAATAGTAATAATAATGATAATAATAAAACATATCAACTGAAAAAAACAGTGCCTCTATGTCGAAAATACCCTGCTAGCTTGCTAGGGGGCTGGTTTCGCGTCATTGTGAGGTTTGCGTAAGTCAGCATTAGGAGTGGAACAAAATATGATGTGGTAAAATATTGTAAAATTTTTAATTTAAAAAAATGTGGTGCTCTGAACAGGTGTGACTCACTATGCCATCGTGCAAATCTCATTCACCACTTCAAAACGTTAATCCGCAGAAGATGAAGTTGACAGCAGCAAAACAGCGTCAAAGATGTGCTAGCTACTTTCTAAACCAAAAAGGAAGAAAAAGTTCTCCCTGCCCTTCATACTGACAAAAGAGTTAAATCTGAAGATGCTCTTAAGCACTGTCCGTACTCACCCACCATGGGTGGTTTTCATGGGCCACAAAGTCCTATGTGACAGTTTAATGTATCCCTACAAGCTGCAAACTAGCGTGATGCACGACACTTACGCGGCGCTTATACAGCAGAATTTTTTACTGAAAACTATGGAGGAAAGGAAACTGACTGAAAGCAGCACACTGAAGTTATTGACCCTGACAAAAACAGCTGCAGATGTTACAGGTAAACTACAGTCATACAGTTTGACATGGAAAAGTTCATGTTTTCGAGCATAAAATGTGAAAAAACTTATTGTATATTGCACATACCCTTTTGTACTGCCTAATACTGCATTGTATCGTATCGCATTACATGGTCAGTGTTTGTAATGTATCCTCAGTCACTTGACATAAAGTTAGAATTTAGTTGCGTGAAAAGTAAAGTTCACATTGCTTGCAAGCCACTGCTTACTGTTCATGGAGTACAGACAGCTGTGCCACAAGAAGCCATTACTCTGATTTGTACGAGAGTTGATGTTCATTCTTTGACATGTGTTGAATCCCTACCCTTTGGTTTCATTTGGTTCTTTTTTGTGGGTTTTGAGAGGGTCTGACTGTAACTTTATTCATGTTTGACAGTCATGTGTGAGGAAGTCATTTATTCTAGTTACATACTTGGTAATGTTATGCTGAATTATCTGCCAAGCAGAGCCTCAAATATGCAGTATTTCTAGTGCAGCACTTAAATATAGTTCTCGTCAGAAATACATGTGAGCAGCTCTTTTATAGTATTTCAGTGTCTCTGTGCACATCCTGCACAGTCCAAAGCATGCAACTTTCAGTCTGTGTGTCTGTGTAAGAGAAAGAGAGAGAGAGACAGCATTACTGTGTTCAATTGGCTTGCCCCCTACTTGTCTTTTGGCTGTTTCTCTGCGGTGGCAGGCCTCTCTCTGACCTCTCATATGTCACACAGTGCTCGTCTCCAGCATTGTTTTCCTGGAAGATGTCGACTGTGGCCTGATCATGAACTGCAAGCCCCCCAACCAAACCAATATGCCGAGAGTTTGTAGTACAAGTAAGCCATCTAATGGACAACAATGGAAACAATTTTGGGATCAGGTCATTTTACTTTTCCTCTGTCTAAATATCTATCTATCCAACTACCTATCCATCTATCTATTACGGAGTTTATAGGGTTTATAGGGTTCATAAAGATTATTGCTCTGGAGTGGAGTAATTGCAGCGGATGAATGTCCAAACAGCAACCAGTGTCCTTTGTAACACTGTCTGTGGCTCGTTATTTTCTTATTTATCCTGCATAAATAACCTCTAATTATCCATAAAAACTTAATGTCTTAGAATTCTTCCCACTTCATCTGGATCTGATTAATGTTTTTACAGCATGGAATTAAATGTGCTGGAGACACGACCCGTGCATGTATGGGCCCCAGAGGAGGAGAGCTGTGACTCCTTAAGAGGAGGGAGGAAAAAAAAATTCTCTTTGTTTTCTGTAAAGGGACACGTCGGTCTTAACTGCTTCCATGTGGCCTCAGTCAGCATAGATCTGAGGAGTGAGGTGGCAACAGATAATAACGCAAATAAAACGCATGGCAGTTAAAGCGAATATACCAGCTGTGCCGTTTGAAATCACTCGTCGTCACTCAGCCGATCGTGTAGGCGTGTGATTGCTGGAACGGGATGGAGCAGAGTGGAGCGTGATAAACTTACAGTCTCACTTCTGGAAATGTTTGCATGGGCTCTTGACGGATGAGCGGCACTTGTGTTTGCTGCAGCCTAAAAAAGAGCTGCGTATCTGTGTCTGCAAAGACCACAGTAGCAGGTGTCTAATGTGACCATTTTGGTTATTCAACACATGAGTCCATTATGGCCGCTGAGCCGTGAGAAGAATGGAGGGGGGAGAGGAGGCCTGCTCCTTTAAATGGAATCTTTAATTTCACAGGCCTCTTGATATCCTGCCGCAGTTGCGATTGTGTAACAGAAAAGAGGAATCAAGGCTTTTGAAAGCACATTAAGCAGAAAGCAATTAACCAACACACAGTAGTTAATTTTTGTATTAATACTTCAACAGCTGGTGCAGATTGCTTCCTCATTTTTATCTCAGCTCCAGCTGTTCTTCCGCAGACAAGAACATTAAAGAGGATTTGTCCGTAATAAAGTGGCTCCATATATAGATACCTCGCTGAGAATCGGAACCCGCAGGGAACGTGGATTTACATATAGAAAAAAAAAAGTTGGGGGAAATGGACATCTTTTCAATACCCTGCTGCTCTTCCTTTCAGCGAGCACCTCCAATGGGAGCTGTTTCAAAGCCTCCTTTTCTTGTCTACCAAATGTTGGCGTTGGTGTACATTTCAAAGTCCTTTTTTGACATCCTCTACAGATGTGCTGCTTGGAGGAACATTTGTTATATTGTGAATTGGGTACCAGAGGCAAGGCCCGGGAACATTTGATTAATGTTCATACACATGGTGTTCTGGGCTGAACCGCCTGTGCACAAGTATTGACGCTCTTTTCTAAAAAAAAGCCAGCAGGCAGGAGGATAAAAAAAACAACAAATTAAATGAGTTTTTAAAAACATATTTATATGTTTTTCTTAGCTACAGCTCTCCATATTGGAAGGATAATGTGGCTCCTATTTTTGTCTATGAAAACCAAATGTATTATGTTTTCGGATCACTCTTGGCAAGGCGGGCCTGGCCATGGGGTCTAAGCTGACTGTCAAAATAAACATACCAGGAACAAGTTGAGACAGGCTGCCACTAGTGCCACATCCGTCCTGTTTTAAACCAGCACGAACCACAAGACATGTACTTATGCAGCCCAGGCAGTTGCCACACGATGCCACATGCCTGCTTGATTAAGTGAGTGCTGGGTACGGCTGAGTGACGGGCCTCAGGCAGGGGGAAAGAACTTGTCTCCTATTATCTGCTCTTCTTGTCCTGTTCAGTCTGCTCTCAGATGTCAGGTTCTTGTAATAAGGAGGAAAATTGCTGCAGATTGTCCTGGTCTGATACATTTTTTTTTTTTTTTTGTGGAAAGACTACCAGAGTCGGAAAATGCTCAATTGATGTGAGACATTCTTCAACAGCAGTGTGTATTCTCTTCGACACAAACACAACTCATATAACGGAGAGATTTGGAGGATTTATGCTGCGCTCTGTAATTGAACATAATTGAGAAAGTGCTTGACACTTGATGTGGATTTATGGCACTGCTTACCCAAAGAAATGTTTTTCTGTTGGCTGGTTTTCCAAATACTTGTCCCATGTGAGATGACTGATTTTTGTTATTTGTGTATGAAGATTCACAAGTCTAATTATTACAATATTGCAGGGGTATCTGAGCCCTAGAGCTGCCTAATCCCCTCACAGAGTATGATTAACTAATCAGGAAACTACTTTACTGTTTCCAGCTAAATCAACAGGTATATTTGTTTAAATGTAGCACTATTAAGGAGGGAAAGTGCACAATCAAAACTTTTTGCTGCACAAAATTAGTGGCAAACGTTGTGTGTGTTTTCCATTAAAGTAAGAAATAAGTCTTAATTTATAGCTCTAATCTGTTTGTCATTTGGTTACGCTACTGCTTTGTTGCAAAAGCATGCGTGGAATAATTACGGACACAGTGAGATGGGGATTATAATGGGGCTGAAGATGATGATGACTGTGCAGGAGGAGAAGGAGGAGGAAGAAGAGGGGGACTGCGGCCTGTTTTTACAGCAGCACATCCAGATGTGTAGACTGGGGCTGCAGCCCCTGTGTGGTTTTACTTTAAACGCAGCAGGAGAGGAGTACGGTCTGTGAAGCTGATGCTCCAAGTCTGGTGTATGCGTCCATCTGTGTGTATGCGCGATGGTATCATCTTTAATATTTCAACTTCCATGTCATATGTGTGCGCACATTTTCGGAGAACATATTGGCTGGACATTTCTCCTTGTGGCTGTTAGTTTTACAAAAACAGCCAGGCTTTCTGCACAGCACATGTAAAGAACACTGAGATTTATTAGTGTTAGGTTACCTGATTTTACCCTGATAACCCTGGCACACAATTGAAATGCATTCACAGAATCAATCACGCTCCTCCAACCATCTCCCCACGCAGCCACCACCTCTCATCTAAAATGTTTAAATGTCATCACTAAGTGTTTCTCGCCTCAGATCATCTGCTCAGCTGGCTCTCCTAGAAACACACCTCAGTGTCTTTTCTGCTGCAGCTGAGCATCGCCAAGCCACTCAGAGTACAACTGCATGTGCTATCCCGATTTGAGGGCCTCAACAGGGCTCCAGGGAACCAGGTGTTACTTCCTCCAGGTCTTTTTCCTCTTCTAAAAGGGACGACAGAGGCGGCACTGCTGGACTGTGGGGATGGAAGAAATTATGGACCAGTTATGGCCTCAGAATCAACTTACTTGCCCAGCTGCTCAACCCAATAGAAGACAGGAGTCGTATCAAAAGCATAGCTCAAAAGCAGAGCGGCACATTTATTAGACAGGACTACTGGAAATAAAGAGGCCTTAGCAACTATTTCAATTTATGCCATAATGGGAGGATTAAAGTGCTGTTTTGTTGGGTCAAGGCTGTTGTCCATTTCAAGTCTGGCAGCATGTTTAGGTGATGTCTTAAGATGCCCCTATTTTAACTATTTTCCATTTTTCCATTCCATTCTGCCTTGCTAGCTGTGTTGTTTGTAATGATAGAAATTGATGAAGCATGTCACTAGCAAATGTCTTTAACACTGGTTAAACACAAGCTAGCAACTTTACACAAAGCCAAAGCAAGTTGGCCAGTTTTCAGGCTCTCACATCAGCACGAGTCTAGTCACCAGCATATCAACCACCCACATGTCTTTGGACAGCTGTTAGGACCTGGTGGCCCTCTGTCTCTTAACTGTAAGCCACCACTGACTTTTTCCATAAGTCCCAGGTGTTTTATTAAGGCTTTACAACCCTATATTCTTATAAATGTGAGCAAAAGCTTTACATGCCAAAACAATCTGCCCTCTTTGTACTCTGTCAGCAGCTCAGACTGTACTTTTCATGGGCTGCTTTTATTCACAGAGCATGTCTCCTGACTTTCCTGTGATCACCTGTGATATAGTAATCGCGCACAGAGCCTTTGATGGCCTGAAACAACAGCTGAAATGATGATTATATACCGTGCCCGGTCATGAGGAGACGGTAACAGAGTTCACATTTTGTTCTAAAAAGCTTTCCTTTGATTTTTCCATTTCAAAGTCTGGTATGATACAAATATGCCGGGCAGAGATTATGCCACCCCTCCCTCTCCCTCCCCTTTTATACATGCTGCTCTCATCACAGTGTATGCAGTGTATCCATAATAACTTGCACATGTCCCCATTTTGTCTTCGCGGTTTTCATTCGGCTATAAATTGAAGGTAGACACTTTTTTCAGAGCCTCTTTGGGTGATGTGTAAGACAGGTTTAAATGGCTGTAATTTCACTTTGAAGCAATTGTGTGACTCATTAAATGGTGCCAGTTTGTGTGTACATTGCTGGTGGTTTTTTGGAACAGTGTGAGAGCCCTCATAGTCACCGTGCTTTAGGTCCTCTGCTTTAGGAACAAAAAGACATCTGGCACCCATTCGGGCGAGAAGGCGAGTGCCAACACGAAAACATTAGGCGACGGACCAAATGCTTTCAGCCTCAGTCTAACACGGAGCGCATGACAACCAAAATCGAAACCTTTCGGCAAGCTGCAGCATTTGCACTTCAGTTGTTGCTCTAAAGATTTCCCTTCGCTGACTTCAGCGCTCTCTGTAGTGAAACTGATCCTTATTGAATTATGAAGGAAGCATTGCACAGCCATGTAGCCCAGCCACTCTCAAATCCGCTGTGGTCGGCATAAAGAGGATGGTTAATTTTTACATTAGAAGACTAGAGATGATTTGGTGAGTGGCATGTTGTCACTACTCCCCAGATGACCCCGGAAGCTTCTGGCTCCTATTAGTACATCACAGTTTAGCTGACAACCTGTGAACCCAAAAACAGAAGAAATGTGATCATAGACGATGCTGACAAAATATGTGTGTACTGGTGTGAGCAGAGCTCTGAAGTATTTATCTTTTTTTGGTTTCTCAAGCAAAAGTCCCCCCCATTTCAACATTTATATGTGTTATTGTGAAACAGCACTACCAGTTTATTGGTTTCCAATTTTCCCTTGACAACATGCATCACGTCTTCCAAGATTGTGGTTTGTGTTATGCAATGTATGCTCATGTTGTTTGGATAAAATATTATAATTCCTCACAAAAGCTAGCTCCAACTATCCCTACTTGAAGCCCTTTCCACTTGAAAATAAAGAAATGGGTTATGGGACTGAGGATGTACTTTAGGAGACATTTTATCATTTCTTCAAGTTTGTGTCCAGAACATTTGTTTTAGACGCAGTTTGAATTCTTTATCTCGTTTTCTTTTGATTCAGCATAAAGTCTGCTATAATTGAAGTTAAAGAAAAGGGTATTTTATTCTTATTCAACTCTGAATAGGACAAACTAGTGTTAGATACAGACAGGTTTTTATTTAATCAAAAGATGATGATCTGCTACCTGTATTGTCTTGATCTGTTCAGCACTCAGATATCCATACATCTTCATCTCAGAGAAGCAGGACAGCAGATCAAGGTTACACACCGTATTATTTAAATCCCACATTTCCCATATCAGGATGAAACTGCAACATCTTGAATGCAACTCTAGATGGAAACTCAGCAGCAGTGGTCCATATCTGACCTTCTGGATATGCTAACGCTGTGGCTTTGTGGAGATTTAACAGTTGTCATGAAAACATTAAAATGAGACCGCTGCATCTGGCAGTTGGACAGTAACGCCGGTACATCACAGCGCTGCTTTTTAGTGCCAAGGAGCAGTGACTCATTTGCGATAAACATCTGCATCATAAAATAAAAGCGTGGCCTTGCTTGCATCTCTGTAATGGTACAGTGAATATCAGTTATGCGAGCAAGCAATTTTTTTCTCTGAATTATAGTTCATTCAAAGAAAACAGCTGCATCTGATATAAAAATTGGGCACAGATTGAGTGAACTCTGTCATGGTTTCCACTTTTACATGGGATGATTAGAAATTATCAGAAAGATTACAGTGTTTCTCCGTTATGCAGCTCCATAAACACTGCTGTCATTGTCTGTAGCTGAAATTAATATCTTTACCTTTAAAAGCTACCCATTTCCTCTAATATCTGAGCAACACTGCTCCAGCAGAACAAGATGAGTCAGTGGTCGTAAAACTCATCAGGCTTTGTCTTTATTCTATGTTTCTATTGTTTCTATTTGCAGGAGTGTCTAAAGTTTTCCAAATTGCACATTGACAACAATATGTCAACCTTTCACTCTCAAGGCTCTCTCATGAATACATGCGTATTCTCAGTCTGTTAAAGCTTGTTAAAATGGCTTTTTGGGGGGCTCTGTAGTTTCAATAGTCTGAAAACTTTTTTGAAGTCATGCTGATGTTGACAAGTTTTTAAAAAATAGCTTTAAAGGAATAGTCTGTTTTCTTTTATAGTGGGGTTGTATGAGGTACTTCTCAACAGTCAGTCTATTACTCTCAGGGGGTGCCAGTTGGTTTGGCCCCTTTGTTGAGGAACTGGCTGGAGAACCAGAACCAAAGCTGGGGTATCAAGTCCTTTAGATGGGGTCCATTTCACCATGTAATATAGCTGATTTTAAGGAAGTCCAACCCAAACACTGACATTTGTGTAAGTATAAGCTACATCATAAAATGCTCAGCACTGTATTTTCTCATCACAACTATTAAAGGACGAACCACAAATGGCAACATAAAACAAAGGCACTATTGATAGCCTGATCAGCTTTTATGGTCATACCCTAAATTTATTTACTTTTCCATTGAGCTGGTTGTCAAAAAGCGATGAAGTTAACCACCTTTTCTGTAATCTTTTTGGCCTTTTTAGTCTTTCTGGATATTTATCCCCCTTTTTTAAGGAGATTTTGTCACTTTAGCAAATCAGCCTTTCCAATTTGTCTTCCCATTTACTACTGAATATTAAATACAGGGAGAGAAAAACTCAGATTAAATGTGAGAATAATGTGAGAACAGAGGTAGGACAAGACTTAACAGATTGACGGAGAGAGGGAATACATCTGTGTGATAACTGACAAGCAGGAGACATCCTTCAGTACCTGATCGTTACGTTGTGTAACTCATGGGCTCATGTAGACGACCCTAGAGACTCTAGAGAGCTACCACTATCACAAGTGAGACTCGGTAGAGATTTTTTAAGACCACGGTTTGGACCAGAAATAGATGATTTATGAAGTGACATGTGGCTCAAGAAGACATGAACTATTATACATTGTTATGCTGTCAACAGCAACCTAACTATCAAGTTAGTAGAAACTGTGTTACTTACTGTTTCAGTATGTAAGAGTACGTTAGCTTGAGTTTTGGACACAGCCAAAGATTATTCATACTGGGTAATCACAGGACAGTGATGTCAGGAGGTATACCAGACCAATCACAGTCCTTTTTAAAAAAAAATGGTTCTATCAGATAACTACTCACTGTAGGTGTGCTGTCTGAAGACGACAGCTTCTGCTGGAAGTCCATTAAATTCACTATTGTGGCTGTTTGGAATTAAGTGGATGATGTGTTATCCTTAAAACAAGAATGAACAACTGCACTTATATGAAGATCAGTTGCTGCTGTCGGTTTACATTTTCTGTCACACTGTGTTAATCTGATTGGTTGTAGGTCTGTACAATGTTCTCCTGAGCAGAGACACTTCTGCATGCGGTTGTTTTTGCCAGTGCCTTAAAAAATTTAATGAATTTAACAATCCCAGAGTGTGACTATACTGTACATTGCATTTTCCAAATACTGCAGAAACTTGTTTCATCCAAAAACCAACCGCTCCAAAAGAAAGTATTCCTAAGTTCTAAAACATATGAGCGAAATTCGCTGTGACTACATTTATCATTAACACTTGGCAATAGTCTTAGGAGTTAGATTCATTATTGGAAAGGGAAGTACAAATAAATCTTCCCTTTACTTGATGTAAAAGGACAAAGATGGATTTCCCAGTGGAAATTAATGTGGCTTAGAAATTCAAAGGACCCCTGGTGATTATTCCCAAATCAATCATGGCAACAAAAAAAAGTTAACTTGGATTGAGTGCATCTGCAAAAGTCGATGGAATCGCTTTAACACCACTTGCTCGATGAGGACTGAGCTGCAGAAGACATGAACTTAATCTCAAGTTTCCCCTCCCTCCTCTGTGCCAATGAGTGTTTAAGTGGTAGACACAATTTAAAGAACTCTGCAAGCCAAGTGACGATCAATAGCTCTCTCCTGCCTATTTAATCAAACGGCAATATTTTTAATCTGTTTGTTTGTTGCTTAGATACACAGCTGTATCTGAGATATTTATTTACCCCTGAGATTTGACTTGCTTTGGTTTGCGCCAGTGTTTTGCATCGTTAGCAGTCTCTGTGGGATTCTTTAATGACAGTCCCAATTTGGAGCTTTAGTTCAGCACTGAACAGAAAACACACTTCTGTTCAGCTGGCTGGTAGAAAAACCTGCCTCTTCAGCTGGCCAAAGCCATTGTTTTACAAGTGGAAACCCCAAGGACAATTATGCCTTACTGGTTTTGGTTTGGCAAAGTAAGATCACAGCAGTTTTCTCCTCATACTCCTCTTGCTCCAAATGCGGCTTTTCACAGTTAACATAGAACAAACAAACAAAAAACAAGCAAATAGACAAAGAGACCAAAGATTGAACAAACCAAAGGGGATAACAATGGCAAAGACACAACGACATGGCTGAGAGTTTCCAGAGCTGTCACTCCAGCGAGTTCTAGAGAGCCGATAATGCACATAAATCGAGGATTAGTGGTCAACCTTGGAAACACATGTGCTGAAAGCAGAGAAACAGAGCTGGGAAGGAAGTTTGGCACGTGCAGCAGCTGTTTGGTTGTAGGCACTGCAGGGCTCTTTGATCTTCTGTACTCAGGTGTGACAGGGCTTTGGCAGACAGTGAGCTCGGTGCAGGCTGAGGCTGAGGCTGGACAGGCCCAGATGGTCTCAGAGAGAGCGTGAGAAAGGGCACCTGCCATGGAGCAAAGAATAACTCAACAAAGTGCTGAAACATTTCCCGAAACTTCTGAGGCGGCATTAGAGCAGAGATCTGCTGAGCTAGGGTCTGAAAATAATTTTTAGAGGTTCTTTTGAAACTTCTTGGTACCCCAGATGGATCCAGATAATATAAGCAGACAGTACAAAGGCAATCATGATGGAAAAACAGAACAATGCATTTGGTTGAAGATGCACTGGACACCCTCTAAATCATCTTGATGTGGCAGCTCCACCCATGGCTTGTCGAAGCTGATTGCTCAACAATAAAACTTTTGCACAGTCTGCTAGTACTGCTGCATTAACGGCACCACTTTAAAGGATGGTTACCCCAGCATTAATTGTCCCAGGGCTGACTGCGTCTCATAAAGCATATGTCATTGTGTTGACCCTTTCATCAGCAGTGATCAGCTAAGCTCTAGAGGAGCCAAACAGGCTGTGGTGTGAAAAACATGGCGGCATCATCAAGTCAGCACATTCACAGATTGTCTGGTAGTCCATCTTAAGGTCTTTAAATAAATCCGTCCATGCAAGGATTTATGGAAATAACCGAGTGAACCCAGAGGTCACAGGCGGTTTAATTTCATTCTTGGCAGTAAATCCTCTAATTGTAACTCAATGTGTCTTTACAGTTGTACAATTATACCACAAGAATACTAAATTGAATATCTGGATACATAAAAGGAAACAAAATATAATTTTATGTGCTGTCTGCTGGACACACCTATGTTTAATAAGAGGTTGCATTTGATTTAGCCCAATAAACCTTGTCTGCAAAATAGTAAATTAGTGTGTTGCCCTGACGCTTAATGAGTTGCATGTTTTTCAGGAATCCAATTGAACCGTTGCTGCCATTTTGTCATGATTTGGCAGGATGTGTTTCCGTCCTGGCCTCTATTATTTCTTATGGGCTAATTAAGACATTAGCCATTATAGAGATTCTTCTGCACTCTTTGTTAAGTAAAACCGTAGTCTTTTTACTTGTTCCAGTCCTCTTGCAGCCGAGACAGAGCTCAGGTCTGAGGTTTTCTCCATCTGCAGCTCACATATTTGGAGCACAGGCATTAGCTAGCAACAGTTGTGACCTTTCTGACCCCGTCAGTATCCATCCACCATGACAACTGTAGGATACAGACGAATAAAATGTTCACTCAGTCTATGTATCTTGAGTCACTCAACTCTTTTTCACTCCCTCCAGCTCTCTCTGCACCCTGACTGGAGTTTGTTAACTCTGTCATTTGCAGGAAGACTTTACAAAGGTCACTGTCTGTGTATTTTTCATTAACAACCCAGCGCCGCTCACTCCTCGGCTGGATAATGAGAACCATCGCCTCGGCAGATCTGGAGAAACATTTCTGGTGTCAGCAAATGTCGCAGCTTGATAGCATATAAATGTAATTTATCAGCGTGTTTATGTTGCTGGTTTAGTAGGACATTTTTATGCCCCACTAGAGCAGGGATGCTGTGTCAGTGCATAATGACAATGTCACTTGCAATAACGGACAGATTTGGTATTTGTGGCGTCATCTCATAAAGCAGCTCTGCAGTTTGTGAACTGTGACAACATTGTGATCATATTTCATTCTTTTCATGATAACTTTTCAATACATGCGCATTCCTCTCACACATGAAAAAAGGACTGACAATAAACTGGACAACTCTTCTGCACTTGATGCTGACACCATCCTCATGTCGAAACGGAATATGTTCACATCCGTGAGGTTCAAACGCGGGTGGCTGTTCAAATTTTAAGTCCAGAGATTTGTTGCTTCACATGAACATTTGGTACATGCTCATAAAGATATTGTAATCTTCAAACAGTATGAGGTATTACACTTCTGCAGCTCTCACATCATGTGTGCGAGAGAAGGGACACTTTTATGGCAGCACTGAAAGAAGCTGGCTGAACTTCAATGTTTGATCCTCGCTGGGAGGAGAAAAAAAAGGGTTAAACTTTAATCAGTTCAATACCTTTTGTTCTCCCCACGTGGACTTAAAAGCACTATTGAAAAGTAATTGTCAGACTAATTTTGCCTTTTACCCTCGCAGCTTAACAATTTTCCAAAGGCTTGTCTTCGGTGTGTTTTTCCTTCATGTCCCCAGCGCAGTGGGCCAAACTGTGCTGTCAATGACAGTTACACTGACTGACAGCAACAGAGAAGGAGGAGGCTCCTTATTCACTTGTAAACAAGTTGCAAAATGGAAAAACAAAAAGTATGAGCTTCAGTCAGCCCCGTAATGCCGCCACAGTATTGGCTATTGCTGATCAAAGGGTTCTTACTATTGGATAGCAGCCATGCTAGCAGTCCAGCCATTGGCAAGTCACCATGGAGGAGCTTGATAACAGAGCTCATTTGGATGCAGCCGTCTTATTACAGAGATGCTGCATGCCAGCGCGTTCATGAGGTGTGCATTCTTTGTTGCTGCTGTCATTGCTGGTGAGGCAAGTTTTGCATGGATGACTGCCACTTTATCAGAGCCAGACCAGTCTGACAATTATCACTTTCTCTAACCAAGGGCTCATGGTTTTGTTTGACTGAAAGGCACCAAATCGTAAAAAGGAACAAAATTTGGGAAATAAAAATTACAGAAAAGAGAAACTGCATGAACCCAGAGAGAGTGAGAGTGCAACGGCAAGTAGGGGGACCATAAATCCCCCCCTCAGTTTGAGTCTAATCAACAAACGTTATTTCATTTACTTGCTGTTGCCAGATTTGATTGACAGGTCTGCCATTTTTTTCATGGATCATAACACTTCCAGTAAATATGTGCGCAATCACGCTGCCTCTCTGAAACAAGAAAAAGAAACAGTATTTCTTTTTGTTGTCAATCTTGTAAACCACAACATTTGTATGTTGTCCAGTAATGACAATGTCAGACAGAAGGAGCCTCAGAGGACTTTCTGGGCTTGAGTTCTGAAGGCCGCAGGCTGACAGATACATGTAGGAGAACAAGGCAAAGAGGAAGCCTCATCATGACTCCGCGCAACCACCACCCCTGCTCTTCATAGCCAAGACTTCTTCAGTGACCGGGGGAGCATAACCTCAGCTGGATGACATATTCTGATGGCAGGCCTTCATAGAAAAACAATGTTTTTGTTCAAGGGTGTAACTGCTGTTTTTTTTTTATCCCCATTAAATCCGCTGTGATTCCCATCTATCAGTTTTTTAAGTTTGCTGTTCAGACTTATGATGGATGATGAATTTCATCGCCACATGTATGCTGTTTCAATTGGATTAAAAGATAAACATTTTCCCTTAAATGGTTTTATGAGTCTTACTAGCATTATCAAAAAGCAAAGTATGAAAGCCAAGTGTTGTGCTGGACCATCGCTACAAAGAGGGAGCTAAGCCATGAAGGCAAAGCATTACTCAAATTCCTACTCTCACCTATGGTTACGAGCCATGGCTGTTCAATGTCAGACCCACACTGTGGATACAAGTAGCCAGAACGAGTTTCCTCTGAAGGGTGGCTGGGCTGAACCTCAGAAGATGGGGTTCGGCTCGGACATCTGGAGGGAGCCTGGAGTAGAGCTGTTGCTCCTTCACATCAAAAGGAGTCAGTTGAGATGGTTCGGGCATTTGATAAGGATGCCTCCTTCGCATTCAACAGGGAGGAGGCCTCAGGGTGGACCCAGAGCTCGCTGGAGGGATAATGTATCCCATCCAGCCTGGGAACATTACTGGGGAGAAGGGGGTCTGGGTCAACTTTCTTAGACAGCTGTCTATGTATTGTCTTGACATTAGCATGTAAGCCACTTTCTTCTGACTAATCTGAAACACACTGCCCCACAGACTGTATATACTATCGACAACTTGGTTCCACTTTCTGCCAGTATAAGGATTTGAAGCCGAAAAGCTCTCAGTAATTCCACGTTTTCTCTCCATTTCCTGAAACCAACATTGCGCAGTAGCGTTGTGCGCATTCGGCGGGAGAGTCGCCAAGAGTAGCTGTGGTGACGCTTGGCTCAAATAGCGTATCCCCCAGGTGAGCTACGCAATCCTTTTACGCCCATAGGCTGTATCAAGTGTCAATCATATAAAACATGACAAAGATAGTTTGTTTGAAAGTAATATATTTCTGATTTAAATATACAAAAACTGGCAAATTTATTGACATTCAAAGTATTATGAAGAAGTTTGATCGTTGATTACACAAATATGGTTCTAGGTTAGAAACTGATCTGTTGCGCTTTGACTGTTTGGAGTTTCACATTTGTTTCAGAGTGTAACGGGAAAAGAAACAGAAGAAAAGACCCAGCCGAGAACAACTACTCACTTTCACTATGTCCTACCACACTCCATACAATGTATTATTGCAAAAGAATTTGATTTTACTTTAAGATAGACCATCAAAAGTGAAAGTCAGAGTGCCAATCCATTAAAAACAGTAACCCCGTGAAACAGATTTGCATGAATTGACTAAGATATGTTAAACATTCATTGGACTGAGTATAATGAGCAAGGAAACATGTCCCCAATTAGACAATGTGACGTTTGTCTGAATAAAACAGTTACTGTAACATCAAGCAAAGCTTAATGCCTTAATTTGAATCTTAATCTTACATTTGTTCTCTAAAATAAATGCATGAAGGAAGTATCTGATGGAGCGAGAACTGTCAAAGTTTCCTCCGAGACTCTGTGAAAACACTCCGATCCACCGCGGCCCAGCGCGGATTATACCTGTGTCAGAATGCTCGACACATCTTCACAAGCACTTCACAAGTACAAGCTCTGCATAACAGTGAGATTTCAAAGAGTTACACCATGAGCTGTGATAATACACACAACTGCCTGTGTAAGTGATGAATCCTTACAAAGAGGCCCTCAGCGTCCCTGGAGATGTCCTCATCTTCACGGAGAGAGGTAACACAGAGGACAAGCCATTGCAGATTCTGCTACTTTCTCTCTAATGTATATTTATAGCACTTCACTTGTGTTTAAAAAGTTTAAAAACCTTTCTCAGAATGCTAAATATCTTTGATCTGCTTCTGAGCATAATGCAAACAGATAATTATGTTTACTTTTTTCTGTCTATTGATGTATACGCTGTTTTCCTTAAGAATATATCAGTGGGTATCAAAGGTAAGTCTGCTCCTACAAGGAAGCTTTGTGACGACTCTGTAGTCTGCAATTTGTCAGTGTGATATTTATATTCACTTTCATATATCCACTGGAACTGATGGCTTATGGTCTGATAAATACAGACTCGCTCCTTCAAGAATTCACCATTTGTTTTTACCGTTTATTCAATTTTGATCACCTCTTTTTATTTTTCGAATCAAATATGGTCTTACCGTTGGAATTTGTTGGCAGGTGGGTTCAAGAAGAGTTCAGTGAGCTGTCCTTCTTTTACTGAACTTAAAAGCTTTAAATGATTGATCAATTAACTCTTTGAATGCAGAAACTTAGGTTCATCGGTCCCTGTGGTACTGACAATCTGTCTGTCCTTCCTATTAAAGATAGAATCAGCCAAGACTTATTTCAAGCACATTGTGGGTCCAAAGACCTTTTACAAAGACATCAATTATTGATCAAGAAAAACAACCGAGGAGGTTAAAGCCACAGCAGCCTCTGAATAAAACAGAGGACAGTATGGAGTCGGTTTACCTCTGACAGCTGATCAGTCGCGCTTCCTCTCTCAAGTTTGATTGGCTCTTTACTCCATGCTAGTCAATCATCAGGAACAGTAAACTGAGTTGCTGCGGGCGTGACGGCGTGGAGAGCGGAGAGGAGCATGGTGGCTACTCGTCAGACTAATTAACCATATAGACAGGGCCCAGCGCCATAACCCAAGACAATTCCAATCTGAGGGGCTGTAATTGAAGTGACAAGTTAATTACAGGCTGATATTATCGCGCGTTCCTTGTAACACCCCTCTCTAACCCCCTCCCCGCTTCTCCCTTAACTCCTGTCTCAGTCTCTTCCCTGTTTCTCTCGAAACCTGCTCTACCTCCCATCCTCAGATGTGTTAATTAGCAGCAGTAGCCCAACAGGTTTTGAGCCCGCGCACATGCCCTGCTATACCCCTGACCTTTTCACCTGTGTGGGATGTATAATTAAACGGAAATGAGTCCACTTTGTCTCATTTTCATTTACAACATTTATGAGCTGCACTTTGTAGACTCGAAACTCCCAGCAGCCACTGTGGCAGCACCATCCCCGCAAGCCCCCTCGGCTCAGCCTTCTCCACCCGATCCCACCCAGCACCTCTGCGCACCTCTGTAATTAGCGTTAGCATCTTCTTTAAACAAGCTACATAAAGTTTAGTGGCAGGATTAAATCAGATCATTACCATAATATGGCTGTGCAATTTGCCCCTATCTCTCTGCTTTTCCGCCACATCAAAGCCCGGCGGAGCTCTGGTGTAATTGGGCCATGCCGCCTTGTCAAGATGATTCAGCCTGATGGCTGCTCCTCTCCCTGAAAAACCTCCTGGGCATGATAATTAATGGAGAAGAAAGTCGAGTCAACGGGAAGAGAAGAAGAAGGAGGAGAGAAAAGGAATACAAAAAAAACTTTGGACAGCTCCACATGAATATTTCACACATCTGACTTATTCAAAATTAACAATATTAATTTGATGTATAATGGATATTAACTTTGTCAATGCTGTTTCTTTTTTATCTTGCTATGTTTTCATGATGTTCTTCACTCTGATTCCCAATGCCGTGACCTTATGAGCAGTTCTAATGATGTAAGTGAGGAGAAATCAAAGTTTGTTTGCCTCACTGTATTGCTCTTAGATGAAAGTTGTCATTTCAGATGAGGTGTTGACATGAGGACAGCTGCCATTCATGGAGTTCACATCAATGTGATTTTGAAGCTGATTTCCCTTTGGAGTTAAGGTAACAAACAGTGCCTCGTGTATTTATTATAATTTCCTTTTCAAAACGTCTCGTGAGACCAACGCCAGTGGCATTACAAAAAGCTCGGTGTCTTACACAAAATCAGTTTTCTTTGATAATTTACATCATTATGTCAACTTGTAGGAAGAATGCAAATGATGGGCCTGCTGTGCCTTTGTTGACACTCTTTGCCAACACATTTTGGAAATGAATAAGGCAAGGCTTCAAACACAGACAGGTGCTGGGCGTCTAGTAACTCTCACTCTGAATATCCGGAGTAGAAGTCAGCCTGGGTCACTGTTGATTTGTTGCAAATTAGCACCATATGTTTTATCTCTGCTTTTACATATGAATGACTCAAAACACAGAAAGGGAGGCTGGAGGTGGGCGAGGGGATGAATATCGATGATTCCTCTGTATGCTGGGTTTAGGGTGTGTGTGTGTGTGTGTGTGTGTGTGTGTGTGTGTGTGTGTGTGTTGGGGGGGACGGAGGGGTGCAGCGTTGTGCCTGCCATTCAGATGTCCGTCATCTGTTCAGCCAGTGAGGGAGGAGAGACAATGCTGGTGACAGTTGGTGACAGAGACAGCTGGTTGTCCCACTAGCCCCTGCCTGTGATCTACTGTGAGGTGACACCTCACAGGAAAAAAAGAAAGGAAAGTGGGGGAAAAAAAAAAACACACATCTTTGACTAATCAAAACAGTAGGCCAGACGCTCTGCCTGCGCCAACAGGAGACCAATGCCACGAGGACGCCCGGCTGGCATGTCAGACAATAACTTCTCTCTCGCAGTGCCCCATTACTCCTTCCTCTTTCCATCTGCCCTTCGCCGAGTCTTCACCCACCAGCATTGGGGCACTGGGAGTTGTCAGCTAAACCAAGTAACCTTTCTGCTCTTTCATTTCTTACAGCCCAAATTTGAATATGAAAAGATACCCAGTCAAAGACCATCACTTTAATGACATTTGGCAGTCATTTGATTTATTAGGTTTTAGAGGGAGGAGAGAGGAAATCCACTAAATATTTCATATGCCATGCTAATCCTTGTAATATTGCCCGCTGAAGCCATGTACCTGCGCCGCTAAGACGTAAGGCACATGGATTTCTCGCAGTTAGATGGCTGCAAATGCCTGTGAGTCTACTGAATAATAAAATAGCTGTATTGAAATATTTAGACTTTGATTCCCATTAAAGGAATCTTTAAAACATGAGATTTACGTTTTTGGGGAAGAAAAGAATAGTGATAGTAGAGACAGCAATCACAACACACTCACACTGAACAACCCTGAGCCGGTCTGAATAACAGTGTCTCCCCCTCTGTACTCCCTCTGAAAAGGAGATTTGGGGAGAAACAGGAGGTGTAGGTTCAAACAAAGAGCACCCCACCACGGTAGAACAAATGGCTCACAAGGAGCAGTTTGCGTGATAGTATGTGTTGTGTTTCCGCAGTTGATGTCGGGTGAAAAGGCACGAGTGACGAGAGATGGGATCTACGTATATATATAAAACATTCTGTGACAAAAGTAGCTTCAGAACTGGGAATGAAAGGAAATGAGGTGTCAGCAGTTTCTTCCACTCGCGACACTTCTCTCATCTTGGTTCTGTTTGACATTTCCAGGGCTGCTCTGAGCAGTAAGCGACGAACTGAGGATATACCAATGCTCCCTTTGTTCGTGGAGCACTTTGTCCATTTGACTGTGTTCCAGATAGACTGACAGAAGAGACAAAGAGTGACAGAGACATAAACGGAAGCATGTGGTTTACTATCTGCAGCCCCAAGGCTTGAGGCCTCGGTTGGCTGACAGTATACAGGCCTGATGTGCAGGCGTGTAGGCGAGCGTGCCACATGGTTCCTTCTTGCCTCCCATCTCAGGACACTTCTGGTTAAATTTGTCTCTTCCCACACGTCCTTGGCAGCCACTTTTCCCTCTTTCATATTTGACATTGACCTCGCCGTGACATCACCCCCTCTGGGCACTGTGGCATCACAGAGAGATAAGATGAAAGCATTCACAGGCAGGCCACCATGACTACACACAAAACAGACACCACTTTGAACTCTCTGTCTTCTTTTGTTTTCGCTGCAGTTTAGGAGCAGGAGGTGGTCAGAGGCTAGCGCAGCTCGTCGTAATGTGTGGCTCACATGTGGCCAGAGCTTGAGTAATGCAGCCTCTCTGGTCGGGCCATGTTGAGAGACGCGCCACAAAAATCTACAGACTGAAATAACAACAACTGTACGACAGTAAACGCTACAGATCTAACATTTCATTTCTAACCAAGCTAAAACCAGTGTGCTTTTCCATTCTGTTCCACATAAGTGCACTGCTGTGGGCTATTTGCAATATGCAATACCCAAAGGCTTTGGTGCTGGTAAGATGAGAATACATTCAGTCGACTAGAGAAGAAACTGTGATCTTCCTGTTCCCTGCAGATTTTTTTACTTTGGGAATATGTGTCACGGTGGCATGTGTCACATAATAGTATTGTTTGTAAGTCAATGCCTATGCTCACTTGCATTTTCTTTGTATATATACATCTGTATGAATATACTAATACCTCATCACTCATTTGCTCACGGCATCTCTCAGCTTACTCCACAGCACAGTGCAGTCCCAAGGAGGATAAATAAAGGAGATGAAAACCAAGAGAAGACACTTCTCCTTAGAGGTAATTAAGTATTAGTATGTTTGCTTGCAGGTGTATTCTCTATATGTTCATGCTAAAGCTAGTTACACATGCTGATCAGGGCTACTGGGTGTGTAATTGGACATAACAGGCATCGCTCGGGTGTGGTGGGCGGGAAAAGGCATTGTGGCTCCTTGAAGGCCCAGCTAACTAATTTGCACACAGTGATATTCCTGCGTTGACAACTGGAGGCAAATAAATGAGCCGGGGGAAAGCAGCCAGACGATATGCCACCGCGCACCCGCTGCTTGATTTGCCACCAGGGCTTCGGTACCCAGGTAGCACAATTACTGCACATCCTCTCTCCCTAAATTGTGAAGCGGAAGAGAAGTGACACCCATAAGGCGTGCATCACTGTAATCGAATCTAAATGAAGGCTGTGCATAACCAGAGCTCCCACCTGAGACAGTGGGAGAGATGTGACCGCGCCAGCCTGTCAACACCGTGTCAACACACCCGTTCACAGCCCCGTCCGCATGCATAATCACACCAATCATTACAGTGTCAATGATGATAATGTAAATATAAAGAGTGGAAGCAGGAGAGACGAGAAAGGAGAGGGAAGCAGGGAATGATGGGCAAAGCCTAACTGAGAATAAAAATAGTGATTGTTAGCACAAACGATGTGGCAAGAAAATGTTCGGTTCAATATTGATCAGACTGGCTGAGGTTACTTTACATAAGGTGGTAGGAAGAGGGCACACATTACATACTGTGCCAGGGTGAAGATCATATATGGTTAAGGTTTGATGAAACTTTTAGAGTGTAGCTACTTGGAGCAAATGTGCCATAATTAGACCACAGCCACAGTTAGTTAGCTGTGAAAAATGAACTCATCCTTTCCTTTCCTATCCAATATTGCTGTGCTACTAAGAGTTTAAAGTATCATTTTAATAAATTACTGTACTCTATTGTCATTGCAACAGCACAATTAAGCAAATATTTGCAATTATACACCATGGCAAAGACATGCCGTACTATATGTATAATTACAGACAGAAAAAGTACCTTAATAAGTCAGATAAATCCACATTTCTTGATTTGCATTGTGACAGCCTTATGTTGAATTGTAATTGGACTTTTTAAACACCACTCAATTGTGTGTTACAATCTGATATAATGAGCCATGTGCATACAATATGGCTGACACTTAGCTTGACATGCTTCGACCGTGACATCAGTAGCGCAGGTCATTGCACATGGTTGTTGGGGGGTTAGCAAAGTAGCTTGTTAGCTCCAAAATGCCGCACAAAAGCTGAGGACTTCTGTCACAAAAAGCCAATTATTATGATAGAAATACAGCCAAAACAACCTTTTCTACCATGCTATGGTAAGTCGGTACGATTAGTGAAAACCAGCGCGCTGGTGTTGGGCTGAGCCATGAGGATTCAGGCTACTGCAGAAGCACCAATTTACAAGCCTTTAGCACAAATTTTGGCTTTAAAACCTGTAGAATGGCTGTATAATGCTAATTCAGCTATTTATCTAAGAACATGTTGTTTTGTAAAGTAGATTATTAGCCTACATGTTAAAGGACTTATTGTGTGTTTGTGTAAGTGTATCCTGTGGGTTTTTTTCACAGAGGTTGTCAGTGGCCTCTGGATATGTTGAAGGTTTTTTGTGTCACATTATATTTTAGTTTCGCTGATCTGTTGATTAATGTGTAAATAGGATAATCAGTGGGGTTATGTGGGGCAGCACATGGAAGTAATAACTATGTGTGTCTGTCTACCTCTTTGTGTGTGTGTCTTTGTGCGTGTATGAACTTGCTCACCATTGCAGGAGTTTAAATCATTGCTAATGTCAGAAGGGACATGCTCCATGCCACCCGGCATCATTATCGGCACTTCCTGGTGCCAAAGGGGAAGCATTAAATCCTCTCCACCACCCCAGCGATTGAGACTGTCACTGTCATTAACCCGAGGTGACTTTGTTGCAGGCCGCTCAGCCTGTTAGCCGCCATACCCACTGACATCTACACACTGCTAACCTGCCAGCAACTGAGACGTATGTCTGTATAATGCTTGAGCCTGCAACTGGACTATTTATTATGGTGGAAGCCTCAAAAACTAGCTCCTCTGTCCCCGTATGAGCCTGACCACATGGAGGCTTGATCTCGAGGAAAAGAGGAAACAAATGTGTTGATTGAAAATTGGATTAATTTGGGTTTAATTGACTGGATTATAACAGGTTTAAGGTCTTTCACTTTGCCTCATTTGTGACATTTTGGGCGCTTTTGAAAAATGCAGGAACCTTACTATTTGATTTAAAAAACTGCCCGTTCCCCTTGTTACTATTGTAGCCCCCTAGAAAAGCACTCATTTTGCATTTTTTCTGACCTACAGTCCACTCATTCTTGTGTTTCAGTCATTTTACTGGCCAAAACAATCTCCTCTGAGTGACTTCCTTCCCTGTCATGAAAAGCAGTGAGGAAAAAAACTATCGACAGAACAGCTCTGGTTAAAGTGAAGATGGCAACACCCTGTTTAACGATCGGCGTGTACTTTGTGCTGTAAGTGTAACACATGATTTACAGTGCAGTGGATTTTATTTTAAGGGATCCAACTGCCTTCTTGGGTGATGATGAAGTAGCAGCGCAGGGATATAGCAAGTCGGACAGTCTCTGGAGGCTTTGACCAGACATGTTTTCCTCTTTCTTTAGCCCACAATTAGAAGCAATAGTCTCCCACTCCTACGATGGCTCCCGCTTCTCAGCAGAGATATATTTATCTGAGGATAATTGGCCATTAAATCCTCACTTGACAACTGTGAAAATGCCACCCCAAGAGTAATCTGGCTGCCAGAAAATGACAACGGTTGGCAGAGCTGTCGACTGCTGGGAGCCACATCAGGAACGGATGGATCTATTCCACACGCTCACATTCATACATGTGCACACATACACATCGAAGAGAGCTCGCTGTCCTAATCAAATTCTGTCCCGTTCGCAAGCTTGTGATTTTTTTTTTTTTTTTTTTTTTTTAGAAAAGGAAACCCCTCATTATGATCCTTATTAAAAGACAGGTCTCAGCACTAAGGATAAAACACCATCCTTTTAAACCAGCCTGTCACGAAAGAGAAATGCACTTTTTAGCTTTATTTATTTTCATTAACTTTGCAAGCTCCCCGCTTTGATCACTTTATCGCGGTACTCTATATTCAATTACGCATGTTGCACATCTTTGAAAGCCCTTATGTAAAATTGGATTTTTCTAAGCATAGCGTCTGTCTGACTTGAGCTGATCCTTATCATACAGTTCAAAGTATCCTAGCTTACCAGCTTTTTTGAGGCTGTCAAAAGCCCGGCCAAGGCAAATGAGAAGACAAGCGTTGCACCATAAATTTCTGTCCTTTTCGTCCAAGTGCCTTGGCTGTCTCTCAAGATGCTAACACGAATCAGGCTGAGCAGCAGATACAGTAAGTGTAATTATTCTCAAAGGACAGTGAGGGGACCAGATCTTTGATGGGGTTTCAAATACTGGCCACAGTTTGCCCCTGGGTAAACATCTTCCTGTATATGTATTAGCTGTCTTTCTCTCACAGATCAAATCAGTACCAGATCTTTTATTTCACTTGAAATATCTCCATATTCAAGATCAAGATAAATCGAGCTTTATTAGCAGAAAGGGAGTGCTTGGTAGTTGAGATTTGAACAGATAAAGTGGGAAGAAAAGTGGATTGAAGGGAAGAATTTGTACTTTTTGGGGAGGTGGTTAGTGTTTTTGTTGTCCTCCATATTTTGGCTCGGCATACATCATTTGAGTGTTTTATTGTCTGGCAAGAATCTCCTGACCATGAGAGAGCGGTTGCCAAAGGAATTTGAACATTATCTCTCACAGAGGAGATCTGGTAAACACGTGTTGGAAATGGGAGGCTGATTGAGTTACTGTATTTGTTGGGCAAGTGTGAGGTTGTGACAGAGTGAGAGGAGCTTTATAAAAAATGAAATAACCTTATTTTTACAGGCCAAAGAGTCTGTTATGTCTGTGTCCACTGCAGTAAGAGATTTCTTACCAGTGCTGTTAATGTATTGTGCTCCAAATCTAGGCCAAAGAGCAACCCAGAATCTTCCAGCATGGCACCTGTGAGTGGAGATGTCCCGGGCTTTTAGGCAAAGGTAGCACGGAGAGAATGGAATAACCGTGCTTTGACTGCAGCCTGTCTTTTCAGATGTCATTTGTGTTGCAGATTCAGTGGTGACTCAAATCACAGCACCCTGCCAGAGCATGTTTCAGGAAACAACCATCTCCTGTCCTCATCCAGGACGCTGAGAGCTTTCTCTGATATCACTCAGACGCTACTGGACGACATGCAGGGGATGAGAAGTAATATTACTAATAATACAGCAAGTGGTATGAAAAAAGTGTAGATCCTGCTCTAAAAGCTCCAGACTATGTTGTTTATTAATTCAAAACTGTGTTTCAGTTTCACAATCCATGTTATCAAAAATTCCAACATTGTCTTGAGTGCAATCTCATGTTGGAGCGATAATGGGACGGAAAGTACAGCAGAGGTGAGCAGGAGGTGTATGGCATAAACTATTCACCAGTGTGCATGTGAGGAAAGAGAGTGAGGGAAAGCAGTGTTTCTGTCTTTCTTTACCTCTATCCACCGGTGACAACACCCAAAACAGACGCACTCTACGTTTTAACAGTTTGTCGAAGAAGCTTTTGTTTGTTCCATTGTGTTTTTTGCCTCTGTTGTTTTTTTTGCACCCCTCCTTTCACATCAGTACTTTACTCTGGAGGCTTCCTCGCTGCTCGCAAACAACAGCCCTCTCCCGGTCGGCTCTGTTTGATGACCTACATTACATTCTCTTTGCATGGAGGTACAGCGGGCTTACATGTTGTGTGTGCATAAACTGCGGTGTAAATGACAGGAACAAAAGGGAGGAGCAGCTGTATGGGGATGAAAATGAAAGTGCGCACCATTGTAGGGGACCCACTGCATCAAGAGAGCTCAGTGTAGTCTAAACACCGCCGCTGAGGGTTCATGTCAGTGATGACGGCTCGCACCAGTGCAATGTGTGTTTAAACATGCTTCATATACAAGAGTGTGAATGCATACATACAGGACGTTGATGTGCTCATCATGGGTTCGTCCCTCACACATGAAACAAAGCGAGTGCTCCCCTGAGACCAACTGCCAGCCACTTCCTTCTCAGGTTTGACAAGTTATATGTAAAACGAATCCAAAGCAGCGCTAGGATCTGTAGGGATGGCAGTTTCGAAACAACAAGCAGCTATGGAAGTGATACACAAAAGTGCCTTCAGATGAGTTTAATCAGGCCGCCTATAAGAGATCATTTAAAGGAAAACTCTGTGCCCTATTTCAAGGTAAAACCATGTCCTGTGCTCACAATAGATGTGCTTAAAAGACCAATGTACCTCTTCAAGGAAAACCACATATGTTCAGCATGAATGAAGAGTCATCTCCATGATTATCTTCCAACTACAGCCCCTTTGATTGCTGCTTTCCAAACACGGGCAATTTCACCATTTCAAACCCACATCTCTGTCTTCCTCTCGGACGAACTCGAAGTACACCCATGGCACTGTTGCAGCTTGTGTAATTTGTCATCTGGACGACTGTTCTCTTGGAAGAAAAAGCTTAGTTCTCAGAGAGCCATCACACAAATTAAGCCTCTTCGTTCCCCCTCTCCAAAAACTAAAAGTTTTGGTGTTATCCCTGAGAGCAGCACTAAAGCAGAAAGCCAGTTAAGCCCCATTAGGAGCCCGCGCGCTGTGACGATCTCATTGGAAGTGCTGGATAAAAATTGCCCGGATTAATGTGTTAATCCACCTCTTTAAAATGCTAATGTCCATTTTATGCCCATTAAATCTCAGTGTGCGTTTTCTTTGATGCGTGCAATTTCTATCAATTAAACACAGAGGAGTGAAACAGGCAGGAGGGAGATTAGTTCCCTTGCTTCAAGCATGAATTTCTTCGTTTGGTTTCATATTTATCTTGAGCGGGGAGGGGAGGGGGATATTTGGAATGGGTTAGTGAAATACAGACGGAGCAATGTGGTGATATGAAGATTTCTGGGAGCCTCTTGTGCCTTTCGCAGAGCTTTCAACAAACACTCAAACATCCACTGGCAATAGGGAATGTGTAAACATATTACTGGAGTGATTTTTCATTTAAGAACTGTGTCTATGTAAAATCATCCATATACTGTCTCCTTTTCTCTTTCTTTTATCTGTTTTTGTATGATGTATCGGAATACATCAATCCAGTACTCTTACAGAATAATGCTTTCTCACAGAACCGATAGCGGAGGGGGAAAACTTTGACTATCATACTGACCAAAGTAGTGATTGTTGTAACCTCACAAATGCAGCATCACAATCCTTCCTTAGCTATATAAACGTGTATAAACCAAACAGTAATCGGTAAGTGTTGTTAACCCTCAAGTTTGACTTTCTATTATAGAACAATCGCTTACTCGCTTGCTAGGATTACGTCATTTGTCATCGTGTACATTGAGTTGTAGGGAATAAAAAAGAGCTGTAGGACAACTGTATTTTCTCTTTTGATCACCAGAAAAGTCTTACTGTGGCCACAAAGTAAGTTGTAAGTAAGTATGCAAGTAAATATGTATCCAAGTAAGTAAGTATGCACGTATGCAAGTATGCAAGTAACTAAGTATGCAAGTAACTAAGTATGCAAGTAAGTATGCAAGTAAGTAAGTATGCAAGTAAGTATGCAAGTAAGTATGCAAGTATGCAAGTAAGTAAGTATGCAAGTATGCAAGTAAGTAAGTATGGAAGTATGCAAGTATGCAAGTAAGTATGCAAATATGCAAGTAAGTAAGTGAGCAAGTAGCAGGTAAGTAAGTATGCAAGTATGCAAGTGAGTAAGTATGCAAGTATAGAAGTAAGTATGCAAGTATGCAAGTATGTAAGCAAGTAAGTATGCAAGTAAGTATGCAAGTAAGTATGCAAGTATGCAAGTAAGTAAGTATGCAAGTAAGTAAGTACGCATGTAAGTAAGTAAGTATGCAAATATGTAAGTGAGCAAGTAGCAGGTAAGTATGCAAGTATGTAAGTATGCAAGTAAGTATGCAAGTAAGTAAGTATGCAAGTAAGTAAGTAAGTATGCAAGTAAGTAAGTATGCAAGTATGCATGCAAGTAAGTAAGTAAACAAGTAAGTAAGCATGTAAGTAAGTAGGTAAGTAAGTATGCAAGTATGCATGCAAGTAAGTAAGTAAGTTAGTAAGTAAGCAAGTATGCAAGTATGCAAGTAAGTAAGTATGCAAGTAAGTAAGTATGCAAGTAAGTATGCAAGTAACTAAGTATGCAAGTAAGTATGCAAGTAACTAAGTATGCAAGTAAGTATGCAAGTAAGTAAGTATGCAAGTATGTAAGTATGCAAGTAAGTGAGCAAGTAAGTAAGCATGCAAGTAAGTATGCAAGTAAGTAAGTGAGCAAGTAGCATGTAAGTATGCAAGTATGGAAGTAAGTATGCAAGTATGCAAGTAAGTAAGTAAGTATGCAAGTATGCAAGTAACTAAGTATGCAAGTAAGTATGCAAGTAAGTAAGTATGCAAGTTAGTAAGTATGCAAGTATGCAAGTAAGCAAGTAAGTATGCAAGTAAGTATGCAAGTATGCAAGTAAGTAAGTATGCAAGTAAGTAGTAAGTAAGTATGTAAGTAAGTAAGTAATGCAAATATGCAAGTAAGTGAGCAAGTAGCAGGTAAGTATGCAAGTATGTAAGTATGCAAGTAAGTATGCAAGTAAGTAAGTATGCAAGTATGTAAGTATGCAAGTAAGTATGCAAGTAAATAAGCATGCAAGTAAGTAAGTATGCAAGTATGCAAGTAAGTATGCAAATATGCAAGTAAGTAAGCATGCAAGTAAGTAAGTATGTAAGTAAGTTAGTAAGTAAGCAAGTAAGTATGCAAGTATGCAAGTAAGTAAGTACGCAAGTAAGTAAGTATGCAAGTATGTAAGTGAGCAAGTAGCAGGTAAGTATGCAAGTATGTAAGTATGCAAGTAAGTATGCAAGTAAGTATGCAAGTAAGTAAGCATGCAAGTAAGTAAGTATGCAAGTAAGTAAGTGAGCAAGTAGCATGTAAGTATGCAAGTATGTAAGTATGCAAGTGAGTAAGTATGCAAGTAAGTATGCAAGTAAGTAAGCATGTAAGTAAGTAGGTAAGTAAGTATGCAAGTATGCAAGTATGCAAGTAAGTATGTAAGTATGCAAGTGAGTAAGTAAGTAAGTAAGCAAGTATGTAAGTATGCAAGTAAGTATGTATGCAAGTATGTAAGTAAGTATGCAAGTAAGTAAGTATGCAAGTATGCAAGTAACTAAGTATGCAAGTAAGTATGCAAGTAAGTAAGTATGCAAGTATGCATGCAAGTAAGTTAGTATGCAAGTAAGTAAGTAAGTATGCAAGTATGCAAGTAACTAAGTATGCAAGTAAGTAAGTATGCAAGTATGCATGCAAGTAAGTAAGCAAGTAGCAGGTAAGTAAGTATGCAAGTAAGTAAGTATGTAAGTAAGTAAGTAAGTAAGCAAGTAAGTATGCAAGTATGCAAGTAAGTAAGTAAGTATGCAAGTAAGTAAGTATGCAAGTAAGTAAGTAAGTATGCAAGTAAGTATGTATGCAAGTATGCAAGTAAGTATTTATGCAAGTATGCAAGTTGTTAGTTAGTTAATAGTTAGTTAGTTAGTTAGTTAGTTAGTTGTCAGAATCTCTTCTGTTGCACTCCCACACTCATTTGGTTGTTTAGCTATCAAATAAGGTGTCACTTAGCTGTTAGTTTTAACTCGATTTACATTTGTTGCTCTTCGAAGCTGTTGTTGCTGTGTTTGATTACCTGCTGTATCAATGTGTGTTCCCCTGTCATGAGGTGTTTCACTGTGGTTATTATCTCTGTGGTTATTAGCTCTGGCTGCAGATGATCAAACCTGACTGCTGACAAACACACTTTGCAGATCATTGTTCTCCCCTCTTAACTTTTGCCATTGTAAATACAGCCATCTAAAACAATGACCAGACATGATGTGGTAAAGCCATGCTAATGATCTCTTTCAAGACAAAGGCTTAATATGCACCAAGAGGAATATGATACAGATGAATGCAGATAATTGATTTTAGATTTTATGAAGTACTCAAACATATATCAAAGTCATGTTTGAATTTTAAGTGTAAATCTATATATTTTAATGTCATTTCAAGGTCTTTAACTTTAAAATAATATGACTGAAAAACTTGTAAGGGTCTGCGTGAACCCTGGTTTTAGTTATGCTATGTTTTGTCTTGTTTTGCACCTGACAGCAGATCTCTTTGCGACTCTTTCCTATGCATAGTTGTGCTGTGCGCTCTTTTACTAGGAGTCTGGTGGTGAGGGATGCTTCTTACCAGGAAAAAAAAAGTTTTATCCGTTACAGCTCTACATCACACATGAAAGCATGACTGTATTTGTTGGGATTAAGTCTCGGGCAGCATGACTGATTCAACTCCTGATACGCCATAGTCAAAGTAACAGGCCTTAAAACATTTTTCAAGTCACTCATATGTGTGATATCCTTTTAAAAGCTGCACTTTCAGTGGGCCAATATACTTCAGTACACAAGTACTCTGATTTCTAACTTTAACTCCTCCACAAACCCAAACATTTTTGGCATATCAGGACATCTGGTGAGTTGCCGGTGCCCTTCTCTGGCTATTCATGATGGTTCTCCCTGGTAATTCAAAATAGCACGTGGAATTAATTAACTATGGCGCCCCTTGTGGCGTTAGCATCCTTTATGGGCGTCAGTTTTTGTCCTTGAGTCATGTCAAATTAATACAAACTCCAAAGTCTCAACAGTGTTCAATAAACATGGAGAGTCTGACTTAGTAAAGGTCAGTGAAGGTCGTTTATATAGCTTAGCCTAATGGAAAATTAGACAGGATGCAACAGTTCTTTCTTTTCATGACACAATCAAGTAGTTTTCTCTGTAGTATTTTGGCATTTTCTAAATATATGTCATAAAAATCTGTATTGTAGAACAAAATTTAAAAAGGACTTTCAAATGAAGAGCAAGTGTCAATTCCAAAAGAGTTCAAATCATATTTGAGAATCACAGAAAAAAACTATAAGGTGTGAAAACTGCGTTTTAAAAGATATATTGTCCTGTTCCAGTTGCATTAGGTAAAAAAAAAGCTAGGATTTATACATGGATATGCTCTAAATGGATAGATTTGTATTAAATAAAATTGAACAGAATTAATCTATAGTGTAATGAATCTCTCTTTGAATTGGATCATTGCCATCATTACTGGGATTGGATTTGATTGCCCTGAAAAGGGGAGATACACAGCCCTACGAAGGGGCCAACTTTGTCCCAAACAAATCCAGACTGGCAAAATTAATAACATTAACAGCACCAGCATACAGAGATACTGTTTTTTTTCTGCAGCACAATTGGTGGTGCAGAAAAAAACTCATTGCCTGCCTGCACCTTGGGAATTTGCCCCAGTTGGCAGGGGCAAGCATAATCTCTGATGTCACTCGCAAGTATGCAAAAGAGCTTTGAAACGTGGGATTAATAGTTTAACAAAATTAATATTTTAGATTAAAAGTAGTTTTAACATGGCTTCGTTTTCTGAGACCCTGACAGATTAAAAAACTTAAGCTATTATCCTATAACACTGACAAAACCATTTCCAGACTCGTCAGGATGATGCGGGAATTGATTATGGAGAACAATCAGAAGTTGCTGAGCTGAATCATGTGTCTGTAACAGATCGAATAAGCAGTTTGGATTGAAACTAACTGTGTGGTGAATCCTGAAGAATTTTGTATCCCTTAAATGGTGGATGACTCGCGGATGCCCTCGTTCTTGTGCAAAGCCTTTTAAGACCAGGAGTGACATAGCTTGTCCAATCACAGAGGCCTCTGTGGCTGACCATAAAATGCTTCCAGATTTGTCACACACTCACACACACAGACACACACACACAGAGTCATTGTTCAGGTTTAAAATGCTTCCAGTAAACTCACATTTATCATGTGAGCACTATTTTTGAGGTACAACGCAAGGAATGATTTATGGGAGCATTTCTGACTTCTCTCGCGCTCACCCTCCATCATGAGCAAAGTATGCTGCCGTAAAAGTAAAGTACACCCTGTGCTACATGGTGAAAATGTACTAAATCATGTTTTATTTACTCAGGCATTGTGTGACAAGTCGCTGTGTGGCAATGGTAGGGCCCCTGGCTTTTTGGGAGGTCTGATAGTCGATGGATATAGATTATTTACGTGGCCATCAGGATGGAGATCATGTGAAAGCCTTAATAGTCAAAGATTCTGAGGAAACTTCAGTGCTACCGCCCCTTATTTCAATGGTGACACCCTCAAGCCATGCCACCTTCAGCAACTCCTCCTCCACTGCTTCTCCCTGATCTTTATTACACATGGTAAAACAACTAGTCTCTCTGCAGGCAAAACAGCCCCTCCTCCACTGTCAGCATATGTGGACTATTCAGTGGGATGGGTAATTTATTAGATTCGACCTAATTTTCCATGCTATATCAAATCTTTACCTCAGTAATCGCAAGCCCCATTTCACTGAGCGAATTAGGTGCCCACTGCCTGGTGTGATCAGAGGCCTGGAAAATGAGGCTTGGCTTGGTATTGGAGTGTTCAAATCTTGCTAATGGTTGGAAGATAAAATAGATTAATATGACATTCATTACAGTTTAGCAACAATGTTTGCTGCCAAATATAGTCACACCATCATTACAAAGGGCGGTTTGACTTCCAAAGATGGATGATTTATAGTATGGTGGATCACATGTACCCACACTCTTAACCGAATGATTCTTAAATGGGAGGAAAATGGTAGCTTATGTGAGTGAGGACAGAAAGAAGGCAAACTCAAAAAAACCTTTGGAGTTAAAGAAACTCTTATCAAACCTCCATCTTCTGTGAGGCTGAAGTTTCCTCTGTCCACTGAGCCTACAGAGATGTACATCTCTAGTTTAATCCAAACTTAAGAGTGTGAACAATGTCGTATAAAGAAAATAATTTATCCTAAGTTATTGCATGATGTCAAACATTTGGCTTATATGCAGCACACATTCTTTAGATTATGCTTGTATTTCACTGGCATCCTTTTTTAATCACTTATTTCGTAAAAAGGTTTTAATATGTAAGATTAGGATGGTTTTTTAACTAAATAAATGGGTAAAAAGGCACAAATGTTTTGATCAAGGATGGGAAAAAAACGTTGGGACAGAAAAGGAAAAAAAGAAAAAGTGGTGAGGCCCAGAAAGAAATCTTTCAATAGGTCCCAAAATCTCTGGTGATGTTCTTAGTCATGATACAGCCGCATTGACAACATTATAATACAACTGTTTCACATTACGTATTCCTAGGTTTTATTTTCTAACTGTGTGTGATAGCAGTGTAACCCAAAGTCTGGATTAGCCTCATGAAAATGAGAACCTATGATGCCAAACTGACACTTCTAATTGCCCCGGGGTCATATATACAAATAACCTCAAAAAAGAGAAAGTAAAATGTTCACGTCACAGTCTTGTGAAATGCATTTACTCAGAAAACTGTTCACAGCCCACTGAGAAGTGGATAACTACGAATATGTGTGTGGAAACAGACAAAGCCTGCTTATTGTCATGTTGTTCTGCTTATTTTGGGGTTTGGGCAAAATTAGTTGCAACTGAGTTTGAGGTCCCGAGACAGCACGCTCCTACGATGTTTGGGCCACCATTTGTCATTATACAATTTGTCTGTACTGTTTTCAACAAACAGGAAGTTCCTTCAAACCAGCAGAGGACCTGGCAAGGACACGCATCCTCCAACAAGCTCCCAGAAAAGGACTGATGGGATTGGACAGGTTCAAGATGATGTGGTTATATCTGATGGAAAGGATTGTTCTCTCCCACTTCTTCTGAGGAAAAAGCCAGTGGACTCGGACAGCAAGCCAGACACTGCAGTGCGTGAGAGATCTACCCCTTGAAATACATTGTCATTCTTGTTCTCTTTTTGCCTCTGGTTTCTCTCCTGAAACACAGGCATCCATGCGTTCCAATAACTGAAACAGCAATTTGGTGTGCAATCCAAGATTTCCATTATTCCCCCTCCCCGTCTTCCAGTGGTTACAGCTGGTGTTGCTGGATTGCATATTGTAGCTTGATCCTTAGGGAAGGCATTGTTATGAAAGTTGGGTCTACTGCACAAGAATCCATTCTGACTCCATTCAGCAGCCTCCCTGTCGTAACACCACAGCTGTCAGCGATGTCACTACATGATGAGCCGTGACACCACTGAATCTAGCAACACTTTGTCACCCTGATACACTTAAGCATTGGTTACAGAGCTCTGGCTCTGCAAAGACATGCTGTCAAGTAAGGAAAGACCATTATCTGCAATAGACACAAAAGTACAGGGGATCCCTGCAGACACAGAGATGATTAAGGGCTAAGTGTCATTCTTCCTGTCTTGGTTTATTTTTTTAAAGAGCTCTATCTCTTACTGTCCTTTATACTGCACGCCTCAGACTCATAGTCCCATCTCTTATGCCTGCTCTGAGGGGACACAGACCCTGACAACCATGTTTGGGTATTATCCTGAAGTGATGGCCCTGGTCATACACCATCTCTTGTGGAAACGACCAAAGATATCAAAATACACAACATACCAAAAAAAAAAAAGTATATATGCCTGGACTTTCATGTGGGAATGTAGCAGTGATGAGCTAAGGGACAGCTAAGACTGAGCAGGATTTTCAGTGATTGGAAAGAATATGTTGAAACAAAGAGTTGGTCACGGGGTCAAAGCAATGTGACTAAACCTTGTTGATATCAATCCGGCATTTGGTGCCTGATTTCCAATTGTTGGTACTCCTAGCACCCCTAATTGCTGGTGCGAATGTACCCCCAAACAATAACCAGTGCTACAAGTGGAAAAAACAACTGCTGGTACTTGCTGACTTGTTGGCGTGTGTATCTGTAGGGCAGTAAATCACTGGTATCACTGCAACACCACTCTCCCATCCCATTTTAAAGCAGGCTGTATAAACTATGGTAGCTTTGGTTTCCCTGGGTTGCTGTAATTCACTCACCAGTGAAAGAAGACAAAGGAGAGTCATGTCATGCCCACAAAAGTAAACCAATGTTAAAAAGTGGGCCATGGGTGATGCATTTAGGTGCTTTTATGAACTTGCATGAAAAACTGTAACATGGAGAGGAGAGGAGAGGGTACTGGCAGCTGGTAAGAGGTCTGGATACAACAAAAAAGTCCTGGTATGTCAAGGGTTAGGGCCTATTTCAATAACCACTTACAACCACTCTTTAGGTAGCAACTGGTTTAGGTGTAATCACGGCCTAAGGCTGCAAGCTTTGGCTTGTTATTCCTACTGGGACCAGCATTACTCAATGTTAATATAATCTAGATTAAGGGTGTCCATTGAATGCCAAAAGCATTAGCATTAATATTCATCCCATACCCAAGGGACTTGGAGTTAAGCAATAAATAAACATTTCGTGAAGAATACCTGATCACTTTTTGATCATGACTTAAGAAGGAAAATAAACTCTGAACTCTGTCCAGTCAAAAGTAAAGCTACAGCAGCAGCAGGTAAGCCTGAAATTACACAGACGTAAACTGAGTTACTTGAAAATGCATATCAAGAGATTAAAAAGAGGGTATCTGCTCTTCTTGTGCATTTAATCTGCACTCACTATGAAGTTTGAAATTGACAGTTCGCTTGAGCAAATGCCATCTTTCAGTCAGTCAGTTATTTGACCGCATGCTGGGTAAAATAAGGAATTGTTATTTTCACTCCCATGCGCAACATTAGGTATTTACTGTATAATTGATTAATTTAAGCACTTGTGATAGCCTAAATGTGCTTACATTGAAGGCAAACACCCTTTTCAGCTTGTTATATTGTGTTTACAATCATAAGAGTGGTATTGATCTCTTCCAAGTCCTTGCAAGCAAATATCATTATTTCTAAAAATGAATAAATAAAAAAAAATGAAAAATTCAACTAAAAAAAGAACAATCCAATCAGGAAAGACTTGGGATTTTCACATCTTGTTAATTTCGCCTGCCCTGGATTTGGCAGCCAATTCGGTGGGTTCTCTGGAAAATCTTTCTGTAAGAAGTCTGCTTTGCCAACCTTTAGGCTACCGTGATCCCCCTATCAGTCCAAAGTGCTGCATTAGTATTCACAGAGACAGACAGACAAGCAGGCTCCAGTTGTATCACTCAACATTTGTAAGAATCAGATCTGAGACACAGCAGTATCAATAAAAGATCTCATTTCCAGCCGCACTCAAACAACAGCAGCTCTTTCAACCTACACTGTGGGTATCAACTGTGCACTGAATAATGAAAAGCAATTATGTAGCTAAACAAAGCCATGGCAGTAATAGGCCTTTGTTTTATTTTTATCCACTGAATGAAAATAGATTCTGCGGCTGTGTGCGGTTTTCTTTTTTTGGGATCCTGTGGGTCATGCCTTGGACTTGCTCCTCCTAACACCAGTCTGCCTACAGCTATATTGTGAAGCAGATACAAAGTCAGATGAATTTGACTGCGAGCTGGTATGAATGCCGGGGGACATGGGCAGACAATCTGGCTGAAACAAGAAGGAAACAGAAGTAGGCTGCTTAGATTGTGTCTTGATTAATTATTCAACAACCAGATTCTCTATCCTAAGACCCCAGTAAAGAAGCACAAATTATTTAGCAAGCTGCCACATCAGTGTTTGGTGTGAGGACATGAAGAATGGGCTCACACAGAGGTATCATAGGAGGCCTGTGAACCACGGCTCAGGCTGCATGCTGCATGACACATAGCCTCGTGGGTATTAATGGCTGGATCAGGGTAAAGGCCTAAATTTTCTCCCACTGGTCACCTGTCCACCCTGTCAGCACTGGCAAGGACTGATAATGCAGGTTAAATGTCCACATTCAATGACCGGGTCACAGCAGAGTCAGTGAGAGTTTACTCCTAAACAGTTACATTTTAGAACAATGACACAAAAGCCTCGAGGTTGTCAGTGTTTGAACAAATTTAAGCTCAAAGTGATCTGGTGTGGTTACCTCTATATTAGTTCTAGTGAGTCATGTCTATTACCCCACTATTCTCCATATATAACTCATGTTTAACAGTGAAACAGGTTGATGAATTTCTGTAGGAGTGTCACCAAGACTAAGTGCTGAACTCTTACAGTGAAATGACACAGCCACTTCTGACAGCATGATTGTCGCCCTGTTATTTTTGCTGCTCTTAAAAAAGTTTCAGACTTCCCCCAGTCATTTAAATTGTGTTATGATTTTTAAGTGACACAGTGGGTGTGAGAGAGAAAATGGGTGAAACCAAAGAGGACAGATCATTTGCATGTACATATACAGGTATATGAGTGTTTGTATACTGTGCATGTGATAGGGTGTAAGCCTTGATCTTGTTAGTTGTGATTGGGGTGTCTTTGAGACCTCACACTCTGGGCGGTGGGTGTAATTGGCCCTGGCAGGCTGGTCTGTAACCATGTGGAGATTTAAGGAATCGAAATGGGAAGGAGAGCACGGGGCCTTTGTTTGTGGCAGCCGCCACATGTCTGCCTGTGTGGCAGCGCCGAGCTCCCGGGTGTGGAGGCTTGGCTTTGGAGAGATGATTGTTATAGCACTAGTGTTGGCTTTAAAAATGCCTTTTTAATGGGAATGCATTTCACAGGCAAGAGCAGCGAGGTTTGGGAAGCCAACATCACAGCAACAGGGTACAGAAGTTCAGCATGTGTTGTAGTCAGAAGAAGGTCTAACCGTGGAAACAGCCTGCCATCTGCTGCTGCATACCAGAATAACAGAGAGGCTTTTGGAAGTCTCCTCAGATTGGTGGTATTCAGAGGCTTTCTCTTGTAAAACAAATTATCTAATGTTATTAAGCATTTTTCTGCTGTTGACAGAGCAATTCAAAAACATCCTAGAATCTGGGGTTATTTTCATAATATAAATTCTCAGCATAGAATACATGGTCACATTGTTTACAGTTAAGACCTTATTAGAGGTTGTTGAGTCTCAACTCAATCGGCAAAATAAACCCAACTAACCTTTTACCTACCATTTCTCCCTTATTTATTGTCTTTCCACACATTAATTTGACATGTAAACAAACATGATGCATGTGTCACTGGTTGTGTAACTGTGGTTGTAAAGTAGCTTAATTAAAGATCCATTCAATACATGACCTTTTCCACTTACCTCAAGCACTTTCAATGCTTTTCTTAATGAACAAATGAATTATGCAGTAACCTAGGCTCAGCCGGCAGAAGGCATTTGCTGCCTAATGTGTTTGCCTAAATAGCAGTGAAGAGCAGGCCTTCTTTTTAAGTGGATAAGGTACCTCTGTTCAGCTTGCGGTAAGTGTCTAGTTTAATTTAATTCAATAATCCTGATAAATGAAATAAATCCCTTTTGGGACATCCATTCCTTGAGTAGTGAGATAATTTAAAATGAGGTTCACAGAGAAAAAATTAGAACATTATGGTTGATTGAGCTTTAACAAAAAGCAGAAATATTAATACAGAGATCTTCTTTATGTTTATAATTTTGCAATAATGAATGAAGGCATCCATGTGGAAAACAATCAGAGCTCGAAATGGATGACAGTGATTGTGAGGCTTAGTGAAAGAATGCATTAGCATTTTCACACACTCCCAATGCAAATTGTTTCACTTAAACTTTTTAAATACCATTTTGTGTTCTGACTTAATTTTAATAAGTTTGCAGATAAGGAAGCATAAGCAGCGACTTGAAAGGCAGATCGTGAGACTCTGCAACACATTTTTTCACCGCCATTCATGAGAGGAAGGGGGAAAATTGAAAAGAATGAAAGAACATGATCTTCTCTGAGAAATAATACATTTTCTGCTGAATTGAGATTATTTAAATATAATAAAAATATCCATATCAGACATTAATTTGAATTCAATATAGATGTGTATAATTGAATGCACTGCTTGCACAATGCATCAGCACAAATTAAAACGGGCTTTTCTGGAGGCTGCTGCTGCTAATATTGAAAATGTTATACTCATGCAATTTCGTAAGGCTGAAATCCATTTTATAAACGTGTTTTGTGAAATGCCTGTTTATTATGATAAATGGCCAAACTAACTTTGTTTGTGTATGACTCAGCCAAATGATTGAACCTTTTCAGCACAGACCCAAGAACATAAATATGATCCATTGTTCTTCAGAAGGTGCTCACTGAAATAAAGAAATATTACATGGATTTTTTTTAATAAGTGTATATTGACTTTAAGTAATAACTGTAATGGGGTTTCAGCTTACAGTAGATAACAAATCAGACAATATCAGGTATGTTGTTCAGTGAGTAAATATCAAGAGAATTTTGATTTATTGACTGTGGGCTCTAGTTATAGATAAGTCTGTGGTGGTGTCACTCTAAATAATGGACCTGCTGTGAGACTAATTCTGCTGTACCTGTGTGTAACCAGCGTGAACTGTTTTTATTTAACCCCCCTTCTCCCCTCACAGACTTATGACTTGTTTCCGGCATCTCCAGCCTGCAAGTCAAATTGATTGAGCCGTCCTTGAACATCTGTTGTTCAGCCAAGCCTCAAAGGTAATCCCACTAATGGCCCTCTAAGCTATCCACATAAACACACACATAAATAAAAATGTTTCCAAAGAGATTTGGTCATTGACTCGCTGCTAATCAATTTTGCAGCCGCATCTGTTGATGAAGGTTTGCGAAGTACAGAGCAAGATATATGTAACGATCAATGCCTGGCACTACGCTGGCTGGGCAATGAGTGACAGTCACAGCTCCACTGGGAGTCAACGTGTACACACAGATGGACCAGCTGAGTTGGATGTCTTGGTGCACACTGCTGTGCACACACATGCACAAACAACAGTTTAAAAAAAATGACCAGCAGGATGTTGTTGATCAATAACAAAAATCATGAGCTCATGAGATGAGGAGTCTACAAAGTGAAGAGTTCTTTAATCTGAGCTGTTCAGCTCTGGCACAGGCCGATATAACTGTCAGATGGAAGTCACGTCAAAAAGAAAGTGTTTCCATCTTTAAGAGAACAAAAAAGCTAAAGTGGACTTTGGAAATAGCTGACCAAGTCCATTTTTATCTGTTTTATCAACAATTTGACAAACTTCTGTTGTCTGGGGCCTTCTTACTGTTCACTGGATGCAATGCTATTGTTCAAGATTAGTTATAGAGCATCTCAGTTTTGAAATGATATTTTTACAGCTAATGCTCAACAAAGGCTAGTTTGAAGTTTTAGAATGATCAGGGCATCATAATGATTCACTTTCATTATCACAGTCCTATACTTTGATTTTTTTCATGTCCAGTTACATCAAAGAAACCCGAAGCGTGGCTCTCTAGTTTTGAATGATGAAAAAGTGAAGGACTGAAACAAACCTGCTGCTCTGTACACATGATACTCATGGGGAGACACTCAGAAATATCTCCACCTGTGCGTACATCAAGAGAAATATCTGCATATGACAGACCAAGCTGGGCTTTTTTGGATCACTTCTGCTGCCAAGCAATATTCATAAATTTAATTTCCAATCTGCTCTCCTTTTATTAGTTTGGGTGTTATTAAATGAGATTGCTTCTTATTATAATATATTTCCAGGGCCTGCGAATGTGGCTAGGAGCTGATATTCAAATTCAATAACATGGCCTGTACTTAGTGCATGCCACTAATAAATGCCAATGTAAGATGCATATGAAGACGGGGCTCAGTGTTGAAGTCGCACACGGGCAATAATAATGCTGTGACTGCCCTTCAGAGGTGAGACATGCCTCTATCCACCCCTGTACTCCTCTGTTCATATGCCTGAAGAAGCCCAGGTGACCTACATACAGAGATAGGCAAGATGGGAGCGCTGAGGAGAGGAGAGGCGGCTGTTCATATTTCCATGTGTTTTATTAACTAGACCAGACAAATCCCTGCAGAATGTAGACACTAGCTTTGACTCTGCGCATCAGGGAGAGGACCACAGTTAATCATAACTCTGTGACTGACCTTTAACCTCTTCACTGGACGCGGAGAAGAAGACTGATCTGCTGGATCCATCGTTGAACTGACATCTGTACTGTTTGCTGTAGGAGAAAAATATACAAATGACCACAGAGCAAAAGTACATAGTGGTGGCTTGGTTGCAGTGACTCACCTCTTGGCCTCCGTTGGGTTAAAACTTGACGCCTCTCCCTTTTCTCTATTTTATCGCTGTAACCTGACAACTACTCTCGCAAAGATTGCAGCTTAGGAAGCTTAGTAGCAAGAGCGAGTGACCTTTACTTTTATTATGAATATTTCTATTCCGTTGTTATTATAGAGTGGAATCTATGCATATGATCAGCACAATGGATTTCTTTTTCATTAGTTGTGTAAAATGCCACTCAGTGAATAGAGGGGCAGCCAGGGCCTCTTGCCAGATTACCCCCTCCCCCACCAGAGGGATCTGACAATTGGAATTAATATGCGTGGAGCTTTCCATCTCCATTTGTTGGCTGAGGTTTTTCAGGCAACTTTATCAGGGGTAACATTATCGAGAGCTTTGCCAAGAGCTTCTTCATCATGCTCACATCCGAGTCTGCCCAACACTTGTCACTGTCAATCACAAGGTGATAATACACAGATGATTCTCTCATTTGGTTTAATAAAATCTCCAGGCTTATTTCAACCGCAGTCATTACAGCAAATAATTGCTGCATTGAGGTTTTAGCCAGGCCATAGCCTCAGGGATAAGGGAATACTATTGCTATATGAAAGATATGGCTAATGTTTTTTTTTTTCCTTTACCCCCAAGTTGTTCATATTTCTACAATGGATATTACATTTAAATCTAGATATGGCTTTCTTTATTCAAACTAACATTGTTATTACGTACTATCTGGACATGGAGTCATCTTTTCTGACTTTTTTATGTCTGCTCTGGTAAGACAGGTTTCACCAGGGACAGTCATTGTAATTCTTTACTGTCTTCTAAACCAGATTGTATTTCTGAATCAGAGGGCATGAAATTCTCGGAAGAAATGGACTGACAGAAGGGAACATATTTCATCTTAAATTTGAATTGTGAGGCCAGTCAGAGGTGTGGAACTGGAAAATGCTGCAAAAACAAATCTTTCACACATGAAAAATCAGGCAATGAAATGTACCATTATATTACTGATCTGTGAAGTAAATACGTATTAAAGTATATAATGTGGATAGAGCATCACCTCATGGATTTTAATCAAGATAGGGATTTCTTTTTTTCAAATCTAGTCTCAGATATGTTTTTAGTCAAGTGTATGAGCCTGTAAGTTATTTTGGCCTTCGTGAAATTAAAAAAAAAAGAAAAGAAAAAGAAAAACATATAAACTTTAACAGCACTTGTTACTTATTTTAAGCTTTAAATGACAACCCAGCTTCAACAGGTCACATATTCAATTAGTTAATTCAATCTACAGCTTTAATTACATTCATTAGTATATTTGTTTGACCAAACAAGGTCATAATAGTTGATTAGATAAAGAATCCATGACAAAGACAAAAAACTCATTACGAAAGCACCAGTGTGGATATTCGCACGCTGTGTGAGACGGTTTATCTCAATGTCGATGAAGGCAAAGCAGCCATAAAGTTATTTGTTTTGAGGTGGTCTTTGATTTGTACGTGTCAAATGAGTGACTATGACCTTGCATTGTTGGCTTCCCCAATGAAGAAGCAGGACACTAATTACCTTTGTCAGTGAAGTGTACTCGGGACAATATACAATCAGATAACAATAATGGAGTCAATAATTTGTATTTACTCTGAAACTTGGACAATGTCATTTCTCCCAATTAATACAGTCACCCATGCATTAAATTAGTTTTTTTTTTCCTCACCAAGAAAAATAATTAGAAGTAATTGTTAGGAAATCAATCAATCAACAGGATGAACTGCCAATGAAGCGTGGTCAAAAACTAAAGAAACGTGTAATGCAGATGGCTTGGATGCACCTAACCCTCAAGGGCCTTCTGCTGTGCAGTACAGCGAAACATTACAATTAAGGCTGGAGAAAACGTGTATAATTTCATGTTTATTAAAACGTCTCTTGGGACCCATGAGGAACTATTTGTAAATGTTAGTGAAAGGTAGTCAGACAATGATTTGGATGAAAAGCTGGAATATTATATAATAAGACTCGATTTTAGCCTTTTTGTTCATGTAGAAAGCATACGCTGCAATAAAATACAAAGACCAGTGTTTAGTTTATTCAACAATGTTATTTACTACTTTGAAAATATTTGATTGATTTTCTACTTTAGGACAACACCGTTAATAATATGAAAAGAAATCTCATTCCTATAATCTTTTCATACAGGAGAGTTGGTGTCTTATACTAAATGTACATTTTCTGGTAGCCCTCTGGCCTAACCGAGTGTATTTTGTAAATAAATACATTCAAGTACCGTTTTTGAAAAGCTTGTCATTTTATAATGGAGGCTATAGGGGAGAGTGGGGTAAGCTGAGCCAAAGGGTAAGTTGAGCCACCCCTTGTTGTTTGGAAATGGTAAAAGAAATTAATCATTGACCAGATATTTAGGAGATGGGAATCAGGAGTCTGTAAAGGTTAGAAGCACATAGGTGAAGGGATTAGACATTTATTTCCAAAAAAAACATTTTTCACTCTTGAAAGTAATTGTGGTTGCTTTCAACTTTTTAATAAAATTGTGTTCAGACCAAAAAAGATCATTTTAAATTTGTTTTATACATCAATTGTGGTATCTATGAGCAACAACATGAGGTCAAATACCGAACATAAAAGTCCACCATTTTAGTTTAGAGGACTAATAAAGTCATCATAGTAGTTCTGGGGTAAGTTGAGCCAGTGGCTCAACTGAGAAAGTAAAGAAGTCTGATGAGAGGATCAGAGTTTCAGTTCAGATTGTTGAAATGTGTTACTTTTTCTTTTAAAAAATACAGCTGTAAATGATCTGAATCACTTAAAGACATTCTCATGTTAAAATTACTTTTTACAAAACAGCTTTTTAACAGTTACATGCAATAATAATAAAAGAATTATTTTACCAGTTGAATAGCATATAATAGATAAAAATAAACATGAATGTGAAGAAGTGACTGTTATTTAGGGTGAGAGAAGGGGTGGAGAGTGGGGGGTAGTAGGGATACGGCTGAACTTACCCCGCTCCTATGGTCAACTTACCCCACACACGGGGTAAGATGACCATAGGAGACTACTTTTTTTGGCATACTATATTATCAAGACAGTTATGTTTACACTCATTCTGTTGGTTTGCAGGGATGCACAACATCTTGAAATATATGCAGATACACGAGTTAGAGACAAAACTATGATTGCCTTGACGTAGTGATCCGAAATGTGAGAAATGGCTCACCTTACCCCACTCTCCCCTACTTGTGGGTTGGTTGGAGTTTAAATCTGACTTAATCTATTGTCCTTCACTAGGTTTTCTCGTTAATAGGAGGAGATCAGTGTTTAAAATTGTCATGCATGAGCCAAAAACTGAATAAATTAGCTCTTTGTAAAGTGCTTTCTGAATAGTACACATTAAGCAACTCACCTTTTCCAAAGCATTTGAACATTTGAGCTTGTCACAGTGGAAAAACTCAGGTGCAGTCGATGACAATAACAACACAAACCATTAGACTGGTGTATTCTGACTACTGCCTAACTCTGCATCTAACAGGGAAACTTGAAGGAAACAAACTGTCATGGGTCATCTTTATCCACACTTGTGCTCTCCTGCTTCCAGAAGTTAAATATCTGCGGTTAGAGGACTATTTCCACAAACAAATTTTACTTGACAGAAGTATCATCCAATCAACTGCGAGGACGTTTGTCGCGTAGACCAATAAGAAACCTTATTCAAACCCAGAAACGCCCCTCATTAGGTTAGATTGAACTCCAGTTTGTAGGTCTGTCATGAGTGTCTGTCAAAGTATTTAGCTAACGTTAGCCGAGCACTTTCTGGAAAAAATACACCAGGAAGGACGTTAGTTTCTCCGCTAAAGAGATTTAACAGCTCTCTATCTTATACGGTGAGTAATATTTTACTGCTGTCGGACGTACAGGTGCTGAAAATAGAGCGATAGTCAAGTTGTTAGCAACGCAGAAGGCAGCATTATAAGCTAACGTTAAAGGTAAGACAAATGAGTGAAGGAAATCAGGTGAGGCGGTGTCACTGCTGGATAAAAACTCTAACTTTAAGCTCTAGTTTGGCAGTGTAAAGTATTTAGTCAGGTTTTACCGTCCACTTTTGACTGGCTAACCTCAAGTAGCTCTGTAATGTTTGCTAACGTAATGTTGGCACAACATCTTCTTACTGTATCAAATGACACTAGACACTTTAGGTCTAAAGCGATTAAGTTTGAGTAAAGATTGTTACTTGAATTTAAAAAAAGTTGTAGACTCATAGCAGGTTACATCAGCCACGAAATACTTTTTGAACACCGATTAGCATACTCCACGAACCAGCCAAGTTAGCACCAAGCTAAGCTATCACAAACATCCACCCATGTCAGATTATTGAAGACATTTACCTGCCCCACCTTCATAACTCTGTCTGCCCTGTTCGTCACAACACTCTAAAGACAGCTGTCACGTTTCGATCATGTCCTCCAGCGATACTGTCAACTTCATAACATGTAGCAGTCAACATTAGCAGTAACTTTTATGTTTGTTTGCCTGTGTTTTCGTGTTTAAAGCAAATCTGAAGTGTCATCTTTCTGTCACAGCAGCGGATGGCCCGGACAGCAGCTGTCGTTGGACCGACATAAAAAAAGAGGGACACGTTTCTGAACCTCTTCATGAGTAATGAACCTTAACCCCTTCTGGAGCATGTCTACGAATCCAAGTCGTAAGGTACAATAAAATGCAGCAACAACAGAATAGTCAAATTAACTTATCTTTGGATACATGTGTGATAAACAGCACCAAGCTTTTATCACACTCCCTTAGAAAATTCGCATTAAATGTATTTACAATCATAAATTATACTCGATTGTGCATCAAATTGATCACATGTTTGAGTCAACAATATTGGAGTACATTTAAAGACTTTTAAAGATCTTACAACATGAGGTGGAAACTAGCTCTGAGGTCTGCAAGTTTCCACATCATGCTGTAAGATCTTTAAAAGTCTTTTAAAAGTACTCTAATATTGTTGACTCAAACATGCGATCAGTTTGATGCACAATTGAAGTGTAATTTATAATTAAATACAATAAATGTGAATTTTCTAAGGGAGTTTGATACAAGTATAGTGTTGTTTATCACTCTGAGGTCTGTAACACTGTGTAAATGTTAAGATTGTCTGTACTCAGCCTTTTCAACTAGTTTATGATTTTTAGACAGTGTTTTGATAAGTTCAAACATTTGCTGTTATTTGAGTTAATTACTTTTCTCTTTAAGAGTGTATTGGTTTCGGGAACCCACAGCCTTTAATCAGAAGTCTTCAGTCATATACTCTGTCTCATTTCTATTAATTTCCGGAGGAATCTCAGTCCTTGAATTGTGAGAGATCAAGTTGGGGGTGTGGTCTTTTTTCCCTTTGGAAGAGAACTTTATCTTTTGAAACTGGCTATTTTCTTGAGGAATCTTGTTTGTGCTGGAAGTGACTTAGCCTAGCTTATGTCAATTGTTAGATGTTGTTGACAAGTACTTGTCTTAATTTATGTAAACAAAAAGGAGAGGGGGTAGATGTGGCATGGTGGTGTAACCCTGGTGAGAGAGGGTGGAGATGATGTACCTTGAGTATGGGTGTGAGTACATTTTTTTTGCCATGCCCAGTCAGAAGAGCATTCCAAAAAGATTTTGAAGTCCGGTCAGTTATATAAATGTGAATGTTAGATCTGTTGCATAAGTGCACATTTTGCTGTCAGCATTTTTGGCATACTTGGAAGTATACAAAGGAAACATCAGTCAAGGCCTCCTAATGCATTTCCAATATCCTGCAGCTCAAGGCTCAGTGTGCACAATGACCATGTAGGAAAAACTACTCCAGATATTCTGAACAACACCAGTAATTAATGATGGTCACTGTACATGTGCTTATGTAGACACTGCTACTTAATAAGCAGCAGACCAGATGGAAACCTAATAGGTTTGTCACTGCTCCTGGCTGCTGTTCCCAGGCTTTCGGTCTGATTTGAGTGTACAGAGTGGCTCATAAACTGTAACCTTTTCTTATCGTGTTACTTCTTCTTTCTAAGGCATGCTTAATGTTTACTTTTACACACAACTAGATTTGTTTCATCTAATGTATTTCTTTTTTTTAAATTTATTTCTCGTGCAAAAAAAAAAACAGCAAAGATCTGACAACGAGGAACAGAGCGGGCACGTGGAGCAGAGAGCCAGCCCAGCCCGGCTTTCCTTTGGCAAAAAACAGCTTCCCCCTATTCCCAAGAATGCTGCACCGATAACCAAACCTGTACCAGTTGGCACTCCAGCCCAGTCGGCCAATGGCACACATGCCTCCTATGGCCCCTTTTACTTGGAGTACTCTCTGCTGGCTGAGTTGTAAGTATTCATCCGGATTAAACTTGGATTACTTTTCAGAATTTGTCAACAGAATAAAAATTCCATGGGTTATAATTTCTCTTTCATTTATCTCACTTTTTGCCCTGTGACTGCAGCACACTGGTCATTAAGCAGAAGCTCCCTGGAATATATGTCCAGCCATCCTACAAATCGGCGCTAAGTAAGGACACTCATTTTGAAGATCAAGCATGTCTAACACATGCACCGAATAAAACAGCTTATGCTTTCGTTTTGAATGATCAACATCTAATTTGCAAAATAATAGCTGAACTGTCCATGCACAATGCTTTGTTAAGCAAGAATTAATAAATGTCTTTTGTTTGTCGCTGTCCAGTGTGGTTTGGGGTCATATTCATCAGACATGGCTTGTACCAGGATGGGGTCTTCAAATTCACTGTGTATATTCCAGACAACTATCCAGATGGAGAATGTCCTGTACGTATTGTAGACTTTATCAGACAATTTTCAAAAAGCTTTGTCATCCAGTCTTTTATGTTTCTGGGTATTATCAGGGTTCATGAGTTCACGATCAAAACAAAAGTTAGCAAGGGTTCATAGTATAAGATTCATGTCTTTTAAACTGCTCAGACTGCTTCCATAAATGTATAAATAGTCATTTGACAGCTTTCAAACTGCAGGTTTATCTATTGTTAAGTTAACTTAGGACAAAGTAACACTCCTTAGAGCCATAAGTTGATGCATGTACTGTTGTTTCAAAGTATGGAAATGTTTCTGTGGTCTCTTTTCAGAAATTAGTATTTGACATCCCAGTCTTCCATCCTCTTGTTGACCCTGTGTCCGGAGAGCTTGATGTCAGAAGAGCTTTCACCAAATGGAGGTATATGTCCTATTTTTATGCTCACACTTCAATACCCCTATTCTCTCATTGTGTTACTTATTTTTCAAATACAAATATTTCTGTAAAACTGAATTTAGTAGTCTGTCAAAGGAAAGTGCTTTGTAGTGTTTGACTAACAGTATGTGGAAAAGGTGACTGATTTTTAGTGACCAGTGAGTATATCCTCCCTTCCAACAAAGTTATAACTGAAACTGCAAATCTTTAAACCCACTGTTTAATTTCACACCATTGCTGTCTCTCCTAAAAAAAAAAAAAGTTAACCTTCTAGTGATGGCATTTCTCACAAATGGGTTTAAAGGTGATGTGAACCACTTATTTTGTCTTCCTGTAGACGGAACCACAACCACATCTGGCAAGTCTTGATGTATGCACGAACAATTTTCTACAAGATTAATACCACAGAACCCCTCAATCCAGAGGCTGCGGTGCTGTGAGTGTCTTGGTATCCCTTTAGCTGGTCTTATACTTAAGTGATATCTGTGATATTAACAAGCCATTCATGTATTATTTTTTTCCTAAATAGAGTCCAGGATTTACTTTACCCTGGGTTTACATACCAGAAACAAGAAGGCTTTAGTTTTCTTTGCTATTTAGTATTATTTGTTTGTCTGTTTTTTTACAAATGTACACAACTGGACCTTGAACAAGCTTTAGACCGAAGCTCTCGTCCAGTGCCATGACTTTCAGGACTCAAGCCATAACATAATGTTTTTTACTTTCAGATATGAAAAAGATGTACATCTGTTCAAAAGCAAAGTGGTGGATAGTGTAAAACTATGCAACAGTCATCTTTTTGACCAGCCCAAAATAGATGACCCCTACGCAATAAGGTTGGTAAACTTGCCACTAGTTAAGCAACCCTCTACCTGTACCACCACACAGACACTTACCGTACTATATTTCATATTGCACTACTCTGCTGGAGGAGCGCTTTGATATCTCACTTTGCCACTCTTCTATATTCAATAGCTTTTCTCCTTGGAACCCAGCTGTTCATGAAGAGGCGAAAGAGCGAATGTTCACATACAAAGTAAGTGCAAAGAAAAATGATTTATGGGAGTTTAGCATTTACTTTTACATCTTCACAAATCATATGAGCAGCTGAGTGCAGACCTACCCAGTTCTTTCTGAGAACTTAAACTGCAAAGTTAGGTTTAGCAATAGTGGGGCCTATCGGCTATCTGTGCCTGTTGTGTAACTGTTAATTTGCTTGTGTTGCTCAAGAGACGTCCTGAGGATCACCACAAGGGAACACAGGTGTCAGGGTTGTCTTGGGTGAAGCCCGGATCGACACAACCCTTCAGCAAAGACGACAGCTCTCCCCAGAGCTGAGGATGCAGTGTCCGAGAAGCAACCACTAGAGGGATCCACATGCATCAAATGCCATGCCATTGGCTTACCTCCGCTGTTTATGGGAACTGGGTCCTTAGAACAGTTTGGAGAACTTGATATTAATTCTCTGTTATTGCTCAGCTTTAAAGCTTTGTAGCTATCTCCTCAAACAGCTTTAGAATAAGGAAACAAAGTTTGTATCATATGTAAACCAGTGACGACAAATGGATGTCCCAGCAACATCATCAGGCTGTGATGCAGTGCAAAGAGCTTTCTCATTTAGCTATCAGATCCATACACATGTTGGGCGAGGTCATATACCATGCTGTCCATAAAGAAGCTAGAAAGTGTGAGATTAGCAATTTGCCAATACATGGTGAGTACAGTGGACAAAATGTACTGCTTTGTGAAATTGGCTCAGGACTGTTCATTTGTTAGACCTGGAATGTTTTCGTCAAAGCTGTGTGAGCAAAACATCCAAATCAATCCCTATCACACAATCCAATTTTAAAGATATGCTTTATATTTGTCATTGGACAATGATTTCATTTTAGTTCCACTGTGTAAACTGTTGTCTTACATAGTCCCTAATATATAAGTATATAGGAGTGGGAAGGTATGGATTTTAATGAGATGCTAAATTAGTAAGCTCATGTATTTTATTTTTTCTGATTTTAAATAATTTTGAATGTTTTATGTATCATTTGTTATTAAAGATTTGGCGTGTAAATAACTGATACTGTGCTCAGCTTTGACTTTAAGAGAAGAGTCTGCATCACCGCTTGGGTCCTCTAAGTGAATGGCTTGGTTTTAGCTTTCTTTGCAAGTGTTACTTAAGTTTCCTTATAGTTTTTTTTTTTTTTCTTTTTTTTAAGTCAAAGAAGTTACTGCAGGAACACTACATAGGTCTGATGGACAGTCAGGCATGTATTTTGATAAGATTTAGTTATTAAATAGCTTCTGATTAGCACAAAACCTTTTGATTTTCCAGGAACAGGAATACACATTTTCTGCTGTGCCAGACTGTCGCCACTCCTTGAACGGTTTATCTTTAGAGGACTCTGGCTTGATTAACATGGCTACATTGTCATAAAAACAGATTTTGTGTTACACCTGTTCAATCTATTTATAACTGCAATAAAAGGCGAAAACATAACCAAATCTCAGTGTACTTGACATGCTGTCATTAGGGCTGTGGGCATCTCCAAACTTGAGGCACAAGTTTGTGAAAGATATTTCTGCATTTTAGAGTCACAGGATTTAATTCTTTACTCTGAAATCAATAAAATGATCAAAAACTACATTGATTTGTTTTTGTACGCTCTTTGATGTCACGTATTTCAGATTAGTGTAACAATACTACCTAATCCTGTTTTTTTCACACTTTTCATACATATAATGTAGCACAAAGGGCTGTCCAGTCAAGCAGGATATTTAAAACAGTGAAATAAAATACAAATACCAAACCCCAACCCCCATTGAACACACACTGCAAATAAACTGCAGAGGGAAACAACACAGAGAAGATTATGATGGTCATTGTGTCAGTTTTTTAAATTAATGATAGTTTATTTTGTGTTTTGAGGAAGGCTGCTGGAGTCAGTGTCAATTTCAGGACACTGAAAACCATTTGTTTTGCTGTTTTTCAGTCATGCACATATTTGATGACTGATAAACTCGAGTTAACTTAGATGAGGGTGGTCACTGAGCCTGCCAGCAGATGTCAGTATGTACCCACAGAGGGAGGCAGGTCTCCCATTCTTGTCATGTTTGCATTGAAGAGAGACTCCGGTGCATGTGCGAAAGTAAAACCTCTCTGGATTGGCTCTGGCTCATACGCGGCCATCTTATGCACTCTGTCAACACAGGACTTTACACACGAATACATGATTTAATCAGCGGCACTTCTGGGACAGCTGGGGGCGGGGCCTTACCAAAAGTATTCATACTGGGGCGGCCAGTTTTTAATTTTACAAGAAGAGGCGAAATTATGGCAAATTATCGGTGGTCCAATCACAAAGAGGGTCACTTATATGCAAATGTCGTGTTATCAGAGTCACGTCAGCAGCAGCGGTAGAGCCGCTGTGCCGTGGTCGCCAGCAGGAGTACAACTAACAACACAGTCACAACTTCGCCGATAACACTCTCCCTGTATTCACGTCTTGAGTTGAACCTCACTGTCCGTTTCAGGTAAGGACTGCCACTTATCTCTGTGTATTTTTAAGCGGCGTTACAGGCTGAGGGAGTTTGGTTTTCATTCAGGCGAGGAGCTGTCAAATGTCTGACAGTCAGTGAGTGGGGCTCGCCTCAGCTGTCTGATGACACACCGCCTTGCTGAGTGTGTATCTTCTCCGCAGGAGTGAGGCCGTTGACTTGACAAACTTGTTCGCACTTGTTTCCCGTATGTTCGTACTTTAAACCCCCCATGTTGTTCTTTCGCAAAGTTTGCCGGGTTGAATTAAAAAGAAAAAACCGCGTGGCTCCTAAATACTCCCATTCGGTCCTTGGTACACGGTGGTCCTGAACTGACAGCGACCAGCCGGGCTTAGGCACAGCTTGTGGACGCGACAAGTCTAAGCCGGACCGTTTAGTTGGTATCCTGACTTTAAACGCAACAGAAAGTCAGTGGGAAACTAACTGCTGGTTGTTTTAATCATGGACACCGTCACTGTCGACCTCTCCATCCATCTCCGGCCTCCTCCCCCTCCTCCTCCTCCTCTTCCTCAGTGAGGAAGCGTCACGACACCTCTTGAATCCCGTGGCTTTCCTGGTGAAGCTCCGGTGAAGAGCACATGGTATCGGCTCTAACAGTTCGGGAATAACGAGTACATTTTGAAAAAAATCAAATGTCCCGCGTGCTTCTTCAGTTGTTCTCACTTGGCGAGCAGTTGCGCTGAAAAGTAGCGCAACAAATTGCCGCCTCGTTGGCTTATCAAACAGCGCGCTGGGCTGGCAGGAGCTGAAGCCATTGCTGATTGAAGATGAAAGGATGCGGCTGATGTCAGGGGTGAGCCGGTGTCTTTTTTCATGATAGTGAAGATAGAAACACACGAAGAGCGTGTTAATAAGTGTTAATTGACGGATTAGTGACTATTTTAAACAATTCAAGAGTACTGAGGAGGCTAATGTACCTCCATTTTTAGTAACACTTGGTCCACTTTTTCTTTAAAATCAAAATGTGACAAACTTTTTGGTTGATATAACCATAATTTAGATTTTCTCTGAGATTAAACGTGTTGTGAAGCTGTTAAATTGCTGTGCTCATGAGTAGCTAATTGAGCAACACAAGCCCTAGAATGTCATGGCGACCTAGGTACGGTAAGGCTCACAGGTGTCGTCGATATTGTGTTGCACGTGCTCACAACGTCAGTGTTTTCAAGGAAACAGCTGGAGGGCGGACAAGTCTGTGCCTCAAGGCTAGATTGGGGGTGTTACAAGCTTAGCAGGGGCATAGCAGACTCAGTTGTATACTGCACTGATACATTGCCAGTGGATATGCTCATCATTTTTCTCAGACAAAATGCGTGGAGTGTGTCTCTATATGGCACATTAAGCATTTGCTCCTGTTAACCCTTAAAAATCAGCTGGGGGGATAATGAACGCCTTACTCCTCCTCACTCTGCAACCACTATGATCTCAGATCTGTCAACTATGAATCCTGTTTCCAAAAAGTTGATGTTTCATTGAAAAGATACGGTTCTGGCAGTGCCTTGTCTTTTCCTTGGCATTAACTAAGGCTGTCTCACTGATTTGTTTGTAAAGTTTAAATGAGAAGCTACTATCTTCATTAGAGGTAGGATAAATATCCCGTCGATAAGACATCCTTTTTTGAATATTAACATTATCTTTGAGATGTGGCAGTCTTGCTCATGTAATATTTTGTCATTCGTGAGGCAAATATCACATTCCAGGGGACTAACTTGTCATGTTTTTCTTTGGATGGATATCATTTTGGCCAGTATACTGATGATTTTTAACACACTCAACAAGAAAAACAGGAGGAACGTGATATTTGCCTCACAAATGACAAAATATTACATGAGCATGACTGCCACATCTAAAAGCTAATTTTAATATTTGAAAAAGGATGGCTTATCGACAGGATATTTACCCTACCTCTGATTGTTTTTCTTGTTGAGTGTGTTAAAAACCATCAGTACACTGCCCAAAATTATATCCATCCAAAGAAAAACATGACAAGTCAGTCCCCTCTCAGGAAAGTCCCATGATTCTCTAATAATTAGAATAATTAGCTAACTACTGATGTAAATCTGAAATTAGAAACATAACCCAGGCAGAAAAGAAGATGGATTTTGTAATAGTATGAAAACATTTTTATAGGTAACTGTTTAAAATCCAGAGTGACAGCATATGGTCGAGTCTCATGCTAATTAGCCTCAGAAATAACCGAAAGATTCGGAAATAAAATGAGCTGGAACATTTTTAATCCCTGTTTTTGTCCAGGTGAAGGTTTAAGCTCCAATGAGAAACTTTTGGTACGGAATATGCTTGTAAAGTGTCGTCCAGCAAAAAAATCCTCATCCTGCCGAGATTTGGCAATCAAATGCAGCATTTATAGGGAGTATTGAATGTGGAAAATGTAAAAACAGAGCTGTTTCTTCAGCTGTTCAGCTGACACCTACCCCCTTACAAAAGTTTCAGGCATTACAAACAGCAGTGTCAAAACTCATCAGCGTTGTTGTTGTTGGTCTTGTTTGCGTTTATATTTCATAAAAAGGCACCAGTATGAATTTCAGTCTAATTTGCAAATATCAAAAAAGTCCTCCAAGTCGAGCTTTTATGCACTTCAGCTGGTCAGATTAGTTTAATGGTGTGGGTTTATTGGGTTTTACAACAGAAATCCTCTTTATAGCTGAAACTCTAAAACTCTGTGTGTTTTGAGAGAATGAAAACTGAAAATACTGCAATCTCACCGTTATCTTTTTTTTACTGCTTGTGAACCTGATGGAAAGATTAAATATCAGGTTAGCTACTGAAAATAAGCAACTCAAGAGTGGTAGACACTGGAGAAATGTCTGTGTTCGTTTGTGTTTTTGTGGGCCTGGCTGCATGGCAAGTCAGCATATAATGACTGACCTGGGTAAGCCTCTGTCATCTTCCGCTGGTCTGCGGTTGCAGAACACACATGTACACGCACACACACCCACAAGCACACAAACACACAAATGCATACACATACACACACACACACTCACGCTCAAAGGACCTCATCTGCCTGTGTCCCTAGCTGTTGAAATTCTATCAGCTGTCTGCACCTCCCACACATTCTGCAGTAGCAGGGCAGGCAGCTCCATTGGTTGTGGGGGTTGGGGGCTTGAGGTGTGTTTTTGTGTTTGCGTGTTAAAGAGGAGGGGAGCACAGGATGAGGCACCTGCTGATGGCTGGTGGTTGGTTTGCACCAGCTGCTTTGACACACAAATGAAAGGCACGGCCGATAGATAATTGACAGCACCAAATTTCTCTCAGATCTTTTTAGCCCAGCTGTGAACTGTCATTTTATTCCCCTTTTTATTCAAACACTATCTACACAAATGTTTGTTTTATCAGCCAGCAAGCTTATAAGTTTTGAGGTAATTGGTGGTTAAGAATTGATCAACTGTAAAGATAGATATATAGAGTAACAAGTGCCATTTCATATCAGGCTGTAGATGATTTGTGTTGAACTGTATGTGTGATGGCAGGGTGATTGCAAACTGGGATCTGATTTTCATTGAGAGACCATGCAGTACTTTGCAAAAGCACACTGTTATTATGTTCTTGTGTTAAATTTGTGTTTTAATGTTTTTTTCACTCTGTTTTCGTCTAGGTGCACAATATAATGGACATGCTGTAGCTCTTCTCACAGTAAGGCTCATTGCGACCAGCTTGGATCCAGTGGGGTTTTGAAGGTTCCTCCTCACCTCCAGGTATAGCCATGGACTTCTTTAATGACCCCAACCTCTTTGTTGGGGGTTTGGATGGGCTAGATGATGATGGCTTCCCCTCAGCACCTTCGCTTGTGGATGAGCTAAACCTTGGCGCTGACTTTGAGCCCCTCCAAGTGGGGCACCTAGGTCCAGGGAAGCACCAAGACATGATGCCGTCAGTTTCAACTCAACAAACTATGCCTGTGTATAGTGATCAGATGGGTCACTATGTGGGCGTTAAGGGGCAAAACCCAATGGAACAGGCGTTTTCTGGTACTGGGGGCCAAGGTGGTGGAGGCCGAGGCATGATTGCAGATCAACATGGCCAGTACCACAGTGTCAACATAAGCCAAGTACCTCAGTCCAATGGGCTGTACTGTAACAGCAGCAGTCCAATGTGGGGAAACCAAGACCAGAATGGGAATATGTACCACCCCTTATCTCAGCAGCAACAACAGCTTTGTCATCAGCCGCAGCAGCAGCAGCAACTACATGTCCGACAGCAACAAACACAGCAGCAACAGCACCACCCATGCCATCATCCACAACAGCTGCATCAACAGCAAAGCCACCGGCAACAGCTGTTAAACCAACACCAGCAACATCCAATCAACACACAGACTTTGTCTCTGCAGCAACAGCAGCACCATAATTTCTCCTTTCATCAGGGAGCTCATCCTCAGAGCCAACAGCAACTTCATCATTCTCAGCAGGTTCAACATCAGCTCGCTGTAGGAGGACCAAGGTTCCATTCAAGGGCTCTACCAAGTAAGCCCTATTTGGAGCAGGATAATGCGTCTTTGGGTGGGGCTTGCTTACAACCACAGCACCAGCAGGGTAACTATCAGCTGACTAGGGGAAGTCAAGCTTTCTCTGGATCAGGACCCCAAGATCCTACTTTGTCCTTTCCCATGCATTCATCATCTATGGCTCACTCCTTGTCCACATGCTCTGTCAGTTCCGCCACTGCTTACCAACCAGCTCAGTACCCTACATACCCTGGAGAGCCTGAAATCTCCCCTTTCTCACAGCAGTCCACAGCCTTAGCACATAGGCCCACTACCACCACTGCACCCCTCGCCAATACAGTGCCGGAGCTATCGGGGGCAGTGCGTCAGTTCCCATCTGCAGCTGTTATGAGTCAGCAGCACACTAGGACACCAGTCAGCCAGGCAGAGGAATGTCCCTTCCAGGCCCAAAGCACACCCGGGGAAACCCAGGGAAATGGTGAGCCAACTGAGATGTTTGGTGAATCTATGAGCTGCTATCCCAGCATGATCAACCACCTGCCATCTGAGCAGCCCCAGAGCTGCAGGGCCAACCACACTAATGGATACCAAGCACAGGGAAACAGTCTCCTGCAATCACAAGCACAGGATGGAGACTTGGAGAGCCTAGAGCCTCCTGACCTCCTGCCTGACCTAATGCCCCAGCTGGAGGCTGCTCTCAGCCAACAGGATGAATCCAACTATTCCTGGGCCAAGTCCAGCCAGGAGAGGGGAGAGGAAGAAAAGAAACCCAGACCTGTGGAGATCAGAGGAGGCAAGGTAATGTGATGCAAAAAAAATAAGTTTCGGCTTCATTTTGGGGCGGTTTCAAACATTAATTTCCAAGTTTTGTAGTTTGGCCACAATGCACACTGTTGGAGGATGAGTGCAAATAGGGTGAAATTAACCAAGGGATGCAGACACTGTCTTTGCATAAAAGTCTACTTTACTATTTGAGTATTCCCTTGCTGACTTGAAGCTTTTTATGTTTACTTCCCATCACAGCATGGCAGGGAATCTGGTCAGTCATGTAACGTTTAACTTTAACTAACTATTCCAGATAGCTCCAGTGCTTGTCTGGTAGGAAACCTGCAATCAGTGGTGGAGAGGGGGGAGGTGGAGAGACAGCACCTAGAGCCATCTGAAAGCTTTCTGAATATGATAATGGCCTGTCCAGCCTGGCCTGTATCTGCCCTGTGTGCCGACAGCAGGTCAGGCCTGATTAGGCTAAGAGTGGCAGGAGTGTCTTCAGGACTTAGCTGTAAGCATACTTAGGGCTATATCAAGATGTGGGTCAGGGCAAGCCAGAGGCACTTGCACACTGCCTCGCTGGAGTGTGGGGGAGGTTGCATGCTGTTGTGGTAGCTGCCACTGTTTCTGTGTGTCTGTATACGTGTGTTGGAGTGCACGTGCACTTGTGAAAGAGTGAGTTGGAAGAAAAGAGCATGGTGGAGGAGGGTGGTTAGCACTATGGGGGGAGGGGTTTTAGGAGATGGAGGGAGCGGTGGTTCATGGAAAAAAAAAGGAGAGCTTATGAAAGAAAGAAAGGGAAAGAGACAGAGAGGAAGAGCACGAGAGGGAGAAGAGAAAAGAAGAGGGGGAGGTTGGGAGAGTGCATTAGCTGGCTGTAACAGGCTTCAGGCGGTTCCTGGACCTCAGTTGGATTGTAACCTAGCAGCATCCGCGCATCTCCTGTTTGTCCACAGTGTGTTTGCTTCAAAGAAGACATGGTTTTCAACACATCCTGGTATTTCTGATCATATCTGTTTGATTTCAGCTATGCCATTATTTAATTAACATACTGTACATCGCACCACTAATTACATAATATGGCTCAATTTGGCGGAAACAGGTAGCCTAAAACTGGACTCATATACATGTTGAAACCTCACAGGTCTTTTCACAAGAATTCTGTTTTTTTAAATTGCCAGAGTGACAGAGTTGCTGCAATTTCCAGTGTCAACAATAAAGTATTGTTTGACATTATCCTAAACAAACCCACCTTTTCAGTCTGCACCTACCCTGTTGTAGTAAAGTCATAAGTCCCTATAGTTTTACAGTAACAGTCTGAGTGAGTCTTTACATTTTTCTAACAATGTCATCATTTAGCAGCAGACTCATCAGGTCCCTTCACCTGTGAAACCAAACCCACAACCATGAGACGAAACACAACCTGTGTGCTGAATACGGCCCCTTCTGTCCCCCACAAATGACAACCACAGCAAGGTGACAACACAGCTGGTGGTCTACCCAACTGAGGCTCATCTACAGCAGACATTTACCCACTGCAGAGGTCCGTGATTGAAATGTGACCATGTACTGCAGCCATACGAGCCAGCCTCTCCCTGTCTGTGTCAACATTCAGCCCTGTGTTGATGCTTACAGGCTGACTGTGCTATTCATGTGCACTGATGTGTGAAGAGCCCGCTGATAGTGTGTTTGCTGAACAGGCAAGACATCAGGGGATCTGCCCACTCCTCAATCCCTTGGTGAATGTGGCTAATTAGGATTTCCAATGGTTTAATGGTCAGCTGCAGCTGTGATGAGAACACACAGTTGAAGATTGAGCAGTTGTCCCAGGTCACCATATTCAAAGATAAATTGGGGCAAAAATAACATTTTCTTTTTATTGCTATGGATCAAATGAACGGATGAGTGTTTAACAAAAGCCTTTTTTGGAAATATTTTCAACCCTTTTGAGCTGGATGCCAGTATGAAACTCTCAGTTGTTCTCATTGGAGTCAGCAGTGTAGCTTTATGCTGTAGATAGCCACAAATTTTAGACTTTGTGCATGTTGAGGTGACAGAAGAGAGAATTTTGAGATCGTACAAGTTTGTCAAAACTTTGTTGACAGTAAGTTGTTGTATTTAGGATTTTTTTGGCCAAAATCATGTTACCTGTGTAATTTTCAAGGGCTTTTCTTCTGTGAAGCTCCAGTAGCTCATAAGCAATTCGCCTCTGAGTCGCAGCTGGAGACAATGATGCTCTGCACACTCCTCTTCATGCTAGCTTGTAGCTTAACATTGCTGGTGTAGTAGAAGTGGCAGGTAATATAGGAGCTATGCAGCTCTCAGACACTAATGTCTTTTGGGGCAGGATGAAAGCTAACATCACAATTAGCTTTCTCACGAGCATTGCAATCAGCTGCTGTACACACTTGTTCTGCGACCGTCCTCTCTACTTCTCAGAATCTGGCCTGCAGAGTGGGGGCAGAGCTTGGATTTGTGACAGAGGAAATCTCACTGTGTCTGAACCTGCTGTTTGGGTCTGTGAGAACTTCCAGGGTTTCCCCTATATGCAATTGATCGTGGCGTACCGCATCTATCAACGTGAAAGGTAATGTTCAAGCTTATACACGGTCTATATAGCGAGTAGCATTAATAGCGTTAGTAGCATTAATATCAATGCGGCACTAATGATTTCTACTTGCGCTGTGTGAGCACAACAACACACAACGTTATTTTCGACTTGTTATGAGTCATCAACGAGTGCATCAAATCCTGTTGGACCCTCTTCCACTAATGTGAAGGGTAACGTGTAAGCTTATACACGGTCTATATTGCGAGTATCACGGGTAACGTAATGTGAATGTAACAGTGTAGTTCCTGGAGCAGCAAGAGAGTGGGGGTAACAATGACCCCACCACCACCACAGCTGAAAAAAATTCTAGGGGAAACACTGGCTTCGCAGCGATTTAAATGAAGAAATACTCAGAAATGTGATTTTTCTCACGATGTGTCCTCTAGCATCAGAGAAATGCCATATGAACAAGTAGACAACAAGAAAAGCATGATTTTCATCAGAGTGGATCTTTAAATTTGGGCGACAACAACTAAAAAATAAGGTTAAGAATAAAAGGCTTTCTCACCAGGCATGTGCACACTTTGACGCGAATTGATGCTTGATGTGTGTAGAGGTCATGCTTTCACACAATTGTAATGCAGTTAGCTGAGATAGCTGGAGCTAATGGCTCTTCTCACAGTAATTAGTGTCAATTTCGTGTTAAAATGGATTTAAGAGGGTGTTGATGAAAACAAAAGTGTTGAGGTTTCAGAAACTGTTCTGTAACTAATATGATCTCTTAAAAACTACTGCTGTTATCACACTTTACATTATTACAGCTGGGCAGAATTAAAATTCCATGATATTATAAAGGTCTGGAAAAGAGCCCCCATGTGTCACCCCCATAGTGTGACACCCCTATTGCATTTCTCAGCAACACAAGAATTGTCTTCAGAAATGGGTAAAACAATGCGGCATATGCTGGTCCAGATTTAAAAAAAAAAAAAAAAAAGATTTTTCTGCCAAAGAATTTTCTTCATTGTCTGTAAGCAGCTTAGTTTTGCAGGGTCTGATCTGAAGCAAACCACCATCACCTCCTGAAGTTTGTGGCATGGTGGTACGGTTTGTATCATACAGCATCTCTACTGAGGCAGGCTGCCAACTGGGAAATGTGTGTAGCGCTGCAAGTTGCACGAGATAACTGAAAGCTGGAAACAGCTGCTCGTAAGCTGCAATAGCAGCAATATAGAACTAATTTAAAGAGATAATCAGAGATACTATTTAAAGTCTATTCTGCCCAGCCTTACTTTGAGGGACTTTTTCCTCTAGACTGAACCATGAACATGCAGTCGGGGTTTGTTGTCAATGAGAGATCTGTGTCTTCCTTACGTCTTGTGTCTTGTTTCCTTGATCACAATCCCTCCGGATCTGTTTGAGCTATATAAAGCTACAAATTAAACTAAGCCCTGAAGGCATAGGGGAAACTGGTTCTGAAGATTTGTGGGGCAACAGCACACTCAAAAGCACTCTGAAAACACCTCTTCTTGCCGTACACAAACCAGCATTCTGGTATCAGTCCTACGGAGTGAATCGGTGCACAAGGAGCCATATTCAAAGTCACATGTGCCATTGTGTTTGTTTGGACACAAGAAACCTCTGACTGAATGGACTGCTTCACTCTTGAATGAGTGCTGCATAGCTGTTCCTCAATGATGTTTATCTTTTACTATATTGAAAAGGACTCGAGCATAGCTGAGTGGATATTTTCATGCTTCACATATAAAATGCACTAATAGAGACTTGACTTGCATAGATTTACAATTGAAAGTCTTTCTCTGTTGACTTTTGGCCTTGCTGTCGCTTGGAGAGTCAAGTATTTCTGATTCGATATGATTTTTAGTCGCATTCAGCTTTCCTCTATCCTTGGACATCTCTACATTTCTCTTTAGTCCCTCTTGTATTCTACGAAAGCTCTTTCACTGACTTGTTTTGCAATCTATTCCCTGATACTAACTCAAAGTTTCTGTACTTTCCATCATGCTTCAAATGGTGCAAATGCTTCTTTTGCTGACCAGAACAAAAACATGGACGGTAATGGAGACTGATGGATACTGATGGCCTGAGCTGCTCGCCACCACAGCCCCCCTGGCAGTGACACTGAGCAGTGGCCTCCTCCCTGCCTGCTTGTGTTGCTGGGTTAGATTTATTATCAGACTGGGTATCACTGCTCACTGCTCGCTACCTTGCCTTGGCCTCTGAGCTGTGTCACAAATAAGTGACTTAGGATATGTTCATGTGCTCTTGGAAGAAGGGTTGGCAGTGTATAAGTGTTTGATATAACACCTTCCTACCTGACCTCTCTCAGGTTTATATAACTCTTTAACAGACTGAGCAGGCTATGCCATAATCAGCCCTGAAACTTGACACCGTGCATCACCCGGGCCCTCACCCCACCACCCACATACAACACACACACACACACACACACACACACACACACACACACGCATTTTGCATGTGCGCATACAAAAACCCTCGGGAAACTTGCTGCTTCAGTGGCTGCATGGTGATAGGCTGTGTCATTCACACACTTTCTCTGATCACCTCCCCCAACATCCATACACACTCTCTCTATCTCTCTCTCTCTCTCTCTCTCTCTCTCTCTCTCTCTCTCTCTCTCTCTCTCTCTCTCTCTCTCTCTCTCTCTCTCTCTTTTCCTCTGTCTCTCTCCCTCTCCCTCTCTCCCTCTCTGGCGTGCTCTCTCTGTCAAGTGTTCTGTCTGTTTGCATCCGGCCCCATTGGCTTGTCTGTTTGGAGGCCTGCCAGATAAGAGGCGGGAGGCGGGGGATAACGAAAGGGGTCAGAGGTAAACAGGAAGTCAGGCGGTCGTTGCTATGGGTTGGAAGAGGAGGGCTCAGTGGAGGAGGCGGGGGAGGAGCTGGGGGAGAGAGAGAGAGTGAGTGTGAGAGAGAGAGAGAGAGAGAGAGAGAGAGAGAGGGAGGAGGGAATTGTACTTGGATCGAGTGTGTCAGGAGCATGTGGGAAAGCTGCCAGCCCAAAGTGCACAGTAGGTCTGAATTTCAAGTATGCTCTTTTATTCAGCTTCGCTGTCCTTCCCCTCTCTCTTGCCTTTTTCTCTGGGGATTAAACGGCTTTGAATATTTTTTAGGGGTGATGGTTGGGTGAGTGTTTGCTCAGCAGTCAAATATGGTTGGACTTTTTGAGAGTATGTGACTGGAATGTTTTTTTTGGTTGTGTCATGACACAACCTTCTTTGACTGGTTCTTTGTTGACATTTGACCGGCAAAGAAGCTGAGACCACCTAAGTGTCCCTTGGCTTTGGAAAACTCAACACTCACGCAAGGAAGATGAAATGGGAACCAATTGTGATTTAGTCTTAGTTCAGAGTTCAACAAAGAACTGTAAAACAGCACGAAGGAGAAATGCAATGACCCCTTTGTCCTTGTGGTTTCAAGTGGCACAATGAGTTTCATATTGTGGCGTAAGGAAAGGATATTTGACAAAATAATGTCATAAAACATCTGGATAATGAGTAAAAATCTGATAAAGTTCTCTAGATTACAGCTCCTTCATTCAGCTGCTCTCTTGGACTTGAGACATGTTTCTTTTACACAGTTTGACTTTGACAGAACTTAATGTCGGTCACATTGTCAACAGAGACGACGGTTGGCTTACTGGTTACTGATTTCTAAGATCAGCAAACAGGTTCATGTCAGTAGGAAGTCATTAGCTAGTTGCCATGGACGCCAGCCTTGTAAGTCAAGACTTTGTTTATCAAGTGTCACGATTGCATTCTATAACACTTGAGTCCTGTTGACACAACTACTCAATCGTTTCAGCGTCAACTGCTGAAAAAGAAAGATCACAGCGGCTAGCTTTTTTTCCATGTATCCGTCATCACTCTGTTCATAGTGAGCTCAGTTACAGTACTGCCTTACAGGCCAACAAAAATAGTAAATTTGGATAAACGGAGTAAAAAACACAATATTGGAAGTAGAGATTTAAAAAATAGCTGGATGACATTTTTTAAAGCCTTTAGGATTTATTTAGATAATTCATTAAAAGTTCCCCTCATCCACTCTTCTTGTTTGTAATGTATGCTTGTTTTTAATCTTGATAAAGCGCTGCATTATACGTGGTTAAACAGGTGTCAAATATTGTGCAGTCCGCCTTGAATTTCTTCGCTTTGAGGATTTAAATGTGCTTTGTCCCAACACTAGTGTAACAACAACACACCAATCTCTTCAATAGGAGCTGGAATAGCTCCGTTAGCCTGATGTAGCTTTTTGCTGTGAGAGCTCCACTGTGTGTAGTAGGAAATGATTCATAAAACGGAAGAAAACAGTGTTTCTTTATATACTGGCAACATGCAAAGGTTGATTAAGTCATGCATGTCTGGAAACTTCAGATTCTAAGTTAGCGACACAGTAGAACAGATTAACGGTAAAGATCACTGTCTCTTTTTGAGTCATTGCCCACAGTGTTCAGTAGTTGGAGAGCATACGTTTGAGAATGTTGTCTATAAAGTGTTGGATGTTAAATTTGAGTAACACCCTGTTAAAGTTATTTGCTGCTTGTGCACATTTAGTTTTGTATAACATTTAACTAGTCATAAACATTTTACTCTATTGAGCCTGAGTTTAATTCAAATATAATCCAGATCAATTTAATGTTTAATCCGAGTCTGGATTCTGTAAAGCAGAAAAAAAGGGGATAAAAAATACTCTGAACTCACATGATAAGATTTTCACAGTTTTAAAGTTTCTTTAAAATTGATTGTGCTGTCCAGAGACCCAGAGTCCATTGAATTATAAAGATACAGAAACGGAATTACAATTGACACTTTGAATACTAAGGCGTTGCAAGCGTAATAGTGCTGAAACATTTTTTTTCTAAATATGTTCAAATAAAGCCGCAATGGTATTTTTGCCAAATTCACTTTAAAAACAGTATTAGCACAGTATTATAGTTTAACATAAAGAGCCGTTAACTAACTCCTTCCGTCCACTAATAAATCACAGAAAAGAGCATGACAGTCAACTTGTGCTTGAAAAAAAAACAGACATTTTGATTTAAAGAGACAACTCAGTGTTCCTCAAACCATCTGTCTTTCTCACAGTTTTAGTTGATTTCTGTTATCTTTTGTAAATCAATGCGAAATTTGATTTGTTTCGGGTTCCTCTGGTTTTAAATTACTAATTACCCAGATTCAAGCTTACCTGAGACTTTCTAATTTTGCACCTCGACAGTGTGGTAGCTCTGATTTGATCTGATTCATTTCCTGTACATGTGTAAGTGGTGTTTTGTGATAAGGCATCTGATTAGTTTCCTTTAATAGTAACACTGTGGTGTAAAAATATACTATGGGTAAAGTTAAAAAAAAAAGAAGATGCATCACTGGTATTCACACTCAGTTTTATAATCAGTCAAAAGAACAACGTTTGGCTTTCTTTTTTTTCATCCAATGTTTTCTTTGTCATCACTGGAGGCGTGTCATCTGTGTCACACTGAGCCGCCACTCTGATTGTCACCACGAGTGCCTGTACTCACATGAGTGGATTTGAGAGTATTAACAGCCACAATTGGATGAAATGCAGAAACCAAATGATACCAAATTAAATCAGTCCTCCTTGAACAGCTTCCTCTGTCACTTAAGGCTGCAAAATCTTCATCTCCTCTCATCCACAAATAAATCACAGAAAAGAGCATGACAGTCAAAATTGTGCTTTAAAAAAACCCAGACATTTTGGTTTAAAGAGACAACTCAACATTTTCAAACCAGCTGTCTGTCTCACAGTTTTAGCTGGTTTCTGTTATCGAATCAAAGTGAAATTTGATGTGTTTGTGGTTTCTCTGGTCATAAATTTTCATTTGTTTGTTGTTTGAAACTTGCATTGCCTCTACTATTCCAGCCTAGCTTTACTCCACAGACAGTTTGGTCCATTTAGCAGGAGATTGAAATCAGAGCAGGGGAAGAGGAATCCCTGCCTCATCCTATCCTCGAGGCTGCAGGACGATTACTGACTCGCCTTGTCTTCCTTGTGTGCAGAGTTGCTTTTTTACGCCGGCGTTGGCCTTGCTCTCAGTTTGCGCCGCTTCGATAATGAAGGAGTTGTAAAGGTCTGGCAGTCAGCCCCTCTCTGAATTCCCTTCTTTTTCATCCTTCCCCTTGCTCACGGTCTCTGTCTGGCTCGCTCTCTCTCCCTCTTTTTCCCTCTCTCTTGCTCTCGCTCCCTCTCTCACATCCTCAGGGACCTCCTCTCAGCTCCTCTCTTTAGTTTGAACTGATGTTGCCGTTAATGAATGGCATCATCCGGCTTGCTTGTTTTGCACAATTCAGCTTCACATCACTGCCTGGTGTCTGACCTGCTGTACCATCTCTCAGCGTGCTGCGTCATTACACAGAACATCCACGACTAAAACAAGACATGGTGGAGGTGGTTTACTGTTTCTATTTGTAACACAGCATATTATCTATATAGATAAAAAAAAATTAAAAAAAATTGGGTGGCTCAATATGCAAATCTCTTTCCTGAGGGGCAGATGAATCATAGAACACCTGTCACTAGTTTAGAGGGCCAACAGTACTTTCAGGTCAGTTTTGTTTGCAGGAGAGTATAATTTTAAAAAAGTATTTTCACCAATTTACTATTTTTTGATTGTTAAGACAGTAGTTGTAATTTTTGAGGTTTTAGTTGTTATAGGTTTTGCCACTTTTTCTCTGGTTATGATATTATTGTATTCAGCAACAGGACTGGTGGCAGCTTAAACTACTCAGAGCAAGAAGTGGTGTTTTGATTTTACAAAGGACTGTGTAAAAAAATATTCATGAACAAAAATGTTAATGATTAATCAAAATTTTCCCCTCTAAGAGAAAAAAAGCATCCAACTACGAATTCATTTATCGTTTGGGGGCAATTCAGAGAGTTAAGTTGCGGTAAAAAGGCAGAACTGATTTTGAATGAAAGCTGCAGCAGTCACCTCTAAACAAAAGTCTATTAGTGTTTTAAAAGAGGAGATTTGCATTGAAACTAGGCACCACTGTTTGCTGCTCAGTAAATCAGTGAATCAGGAATCAGCTGCTAATTGTGAAGAGTGTCCCTCTATGGATGGATGGCATCTCTCTTTCCCTTTGGCTGATGCTTGCTCTTTATTGCGCACCATGCTGACCCCTAAAATATCATCTCGGATCTTGCTGAGTGACTACCCTCTGAGTCGACGCTTAAAGGAACAAGAGCGGTAGAAGGCCTCGTTTGAAAAATCACTGCTCTTCTCCATTACTGGGTCTGATTGACGAACTATCAAACCTGAGTCCCAGCTGTTTGTCTCTCTGAGGCTGGTGATCCAGTTGAGCTTTATATGGAAGCAAATTTAAATAAAGACTTAAGACTTGCCCTGAAGTAACTGGACTAAATCAATAACACCAGGGCTTGTCAGATGGTACAGCAGGTTATTTATGACTGCTCTAACTGGGTTTAAAATTTAAGAAATGTGTGTTTTTCCTGTACTGTCTCTGATATAGCAGCTACCACACAAAGGTGATGATGGCAGACGTCTTCTCTCCTTCTCATGCTGCTCTCTCCTCACAGTCACCCCCTAGTGTTCAGTTCTGTCCCAGCAAGACAATTAAGTACAACGTGCTGCACCTGTAACACCTCACACGGATCTCTCAGCAATCATGAACCTTTTTTTGTTAGGAGTTATGCTGAACTTGATTAACAGCTGAATAAATTAGCTAATTACATAATTAAGAGCTAATATGCCGTCATCATTAAAGACTGTTGGATTGGAGTCGCTTAAGACTGCAGCAAGGATGTTCTCCCAGCTCAAAGTGTACTCATTGGTTACTTTAATCTGCTGTACTCTTGCTTTATTTACAAGGCATTTACATATATCTTTACCCCGAAGAAGGGGGAAGACACTGGGTGTTTGCATTTGAGCTGCAATCATGTTACTGTGTGTCTTTAGACAAAAGTGTAAGGCATGTAATGATGAAATATTCACGGCACCATAGAATGCAGCACCAGTATTAAAAAAGTTAGGACGCTGTGTTAAAAGTTGATAAAACAGAATTCGATTGGTTATCATTCAAATTATTTATCAACTATTGACTTTCATTGGCTGATGCTGTTACTGATAATCATAGGTCAGCCCTAGCCAAAATATAATGCTGATAGCCTGTTGGTGTAATTTTGCATTATTCTACACATTATGGATGCTTTATGTTCACTGTCATTTAGGATGGGAAAACCTGTTATCATTTTAAGAAGGCATGGCTGTCATAGTGCGATACAAAAGCACAGGCCTCTTAATTTTACCACCATCCCAAAACTGTCCTGAATCATATTTTGATACTTAAATATTTTGCTGTTTTTTTTATCAGGTTTTTTTTATGTTCTCATTTTAAATTTAATGCCATATTCAAAACAGGCCCCAGTTTACCAATGAGTTGCATCACCTCTTTTTTCAACACTGTAAACATTTAGGAACTCAGTAGACAAGTCTCTTGAGTTTTCAAAGTAAAATTTTGTACCATTCAGGATTTCAGCTGCTGTACAGTACAATACAGAGACACCGTCATTGTAGTTTTTGTTTTATAATGGGCCAAATGTCTCTGCCAAGTTGGGACTACACCTGGACTCCTCTGCTGCGTCACCATGCTGTTGTGTTCGGTGCAAAAGATGGTTTGGCTTTTTTTTGTTGTTGTTGCTGAAATACACAAGGTCTCCCCTGAAAGAGGCACTGTCAGGATGGTGGTTCAAAAGCCTCTTGAAAAAGTTTCATATTTAATGCGGTAAATTGCATCTTTATCAAAAACAGGAGAGATGTGCTGTCAGACATCTCTCTCTCTCTGTATAAAAACCTGCAGCAGAATATGTGTCAGGTGCTCCAGTTAATTAGATAAAAAGGACAGAAAACGATAAACCAATAGAGCCTGTCTAATAAATGGATGGTGTATGGCGATCTCATATGGGAATTCACTTGTATGACCAAAAATACTCTCGGTCTGCCTGTCCAGTTATGGTCAAAGTGTGGGAAACCTCGTGTTAGCTTTGTGATGCTGAAAGAAGTTGAAATGTTTTCTGTTATGACTACACAGCAGAGTCACTGGTATGCTTTCCTTGATCAGTTGGAGAGTAAAACAGCAGCAGATAAATGAAAACATTATTCTGTTGTTTTCCTCCAAAAATCTTTTTTACAAGCAGCCCACACCTTTTCTGTGTTCTCATCTTGACTACCATGTTTCTTCATGCATAGCTGTTCTGAGGCTGTGTGCTCACAGTGGAGCAGGCCAGACTGTTGTAATAATGCTCTGATAGACTTGCAGCAGCTTCTCTGCAGGGCAACATGCTCGGCCCAGCTACTCTTGGCCCAGAATAAAGAATCATTAATGCATGGTGCTGTATTTAATTGGTTGAGGAGGCATTGCTGTGCATCACGTCTCCTTTCATTTATCAGCCCTGCTGCTGCTGCTTTTACACTCCAGTGTGGAGACACATTGGCCCATAGTCACGGGCCTAATTAGTGGGGCCTTATCTTTCTTTTCACACCTATACTTAATAGTTTTACCAACAAAGCCATAGGTTTGAGATCCGGTGATTAGGCCTGCCTTTGCGATATTTTTATCTCTGAGACGACGACCAAAGGCCAAGTCTATTGTGAGTTAACGGCACTGAGAAATCTTTCACAGTAAGTGTGAAGAGTGAGGAAAAAGGCTCAACAAAGGTTCAAGGTGAAGGTGTTTAAACATGACGATCAAGTCTAATGTTTGCATATTATCTTTGTTTTTTGTGGTATCCTTTCAAGAGGTGTTTCCCAACGTAAAGTGACTTTAAGTCTGTGACTTCAACTCCATGACTTACTATTGATGAAATTCTTTGTGAAATTATCAGATCTCTGTGTATGAGAAAGTGGAAGCTCAGTGTGGTCTCTGAAGCACCGGTGAGTGCTAGCCATCTTGTAATTTTCAGCCTGTGTGAGCTCTAGGCTTTCATTTTCCTAATGGTGACTCAGAGGAGACTCTCACTGTAGTACTGTTGAGGAAAAAAAGAGCTGCACTTATTAGCTAATACAGTCCCTTTGATGAGGAACTAATGGCGTGTACTGAGACAGACACCTGTGCCTCTAAAGCCACCATGCCTCGTTACACACACACACACACTCTCTCACACACGAATACACACACACACAAAATTTTCCCTCTTGCTTCCTTTAACCAGCCCTCCTTTTCTCCTCCCCTTCCTCTTCTCCCCTCCCCTCCTTTTCCTCTGCCCTCCCTCCTCTATTCTAAAACGAGGCCACACCCCCTCATACAGAGCTGCCAGACTTGTTTGCATATTAACTGTTTAGTTGCCAAGTGGCTGTGTGCCATGTGACTGTAGGAGCATGTGTTGACTGTTATTTTCTTTCCTGTGCCTTTCTTTCTCTCCTTTTTCGAAACACACGCTCATCTTACCCGTGAAAAAGGATTGTTTTATTCTGCAATAATGGAAAAATATGATTAACTCCTTCAAAGGAGGTGTCATTCAAACTTCCTAAATGCCTACCTCTCTCCTGAAGGTATTCATTTTTATTACAGGAAATAGATGATACTCACCACTTTTTGAGTGAAGGTGTTTTTCACCTATTCCAGACTTTATGGTTCAGCGTTATTGAGATTTAAGAGGATATAACCAAGTACACCTAATAATGAACACTTTTCTGTCAAACTGTTAATGCGAGAAGAGGAGATTTTATAATCATAACTTGGGGAAAAGAACAAGTGCCTGCTACTGTGTGTACAGTCGAAGCTCACCCCTTACCACAGTACCCAGGTGGGCATTATCTGTAGGTGGATATGTTTAGCTTGGAGAGGAAGCTCAGCTCTCAGTAAGCATGTGGTCTGTTTTAAAGTCCAGAGTCCAAGGCCTGGCCTGGCAGGTGGATCTACGGCCGCTCACACTTGGAAAGGAAGGCCATTGTTGTGATCACATGGCAGTCTCTGTCTCTGTAGGAGATATAAAGCTGTAAAACGCAAAACTGCGCACCTGAGTGTGATAATGAGAGAGCTTTCGCAGCAAAGATCACACCTGGCTGTTAGTGTTGATTCCCCCTCTTCTTCTTTACACACATAAACACTGAATATAGACACATTAACCACACCATTCCAGTTGGTCAGCTGCTTGAAACTTTATTGAGGTTATCTGCTCAACATAAAATCTTTGGTCATATTGTTTTGGAGCCGGCACAGTTCACCCACATAATTCACACCATGCGGGCTGAGAGGGAATAAAGCAATATGATACATAAAACAAAAATAAAACAATATAACATATGTTCGTTTATAGACGTTAGACCCTTCAAAGAAAACAACAAGAGGGACATTGTGGAAGATACACTCTCTGTATATGTGTGTGTATATAGTGCATGATCAGCTTCACCTGTCAGGTAATGTGTATTGACTTGAATGATGATTTCTCTTTAGATCCCCACTCATTGTGTTTCTTGTTTTTAAACCAAAGCTTTTGCCCTTTGTGGCTTCTTGCTGCACAGGCAGCAGTTCTGTCCGGGACTGTACAGCTGACTTATGGGCAGCTGCATGCAAAGCGAACAGTGTTTTGACTGGGAAGAAGCCTCTCAGCAGCTGATCTGGCAGAATGAAGAAAGGTTTTAAAGCTGATGGGGTATCTGTTGGGAACTCAGGCCTGACCCAGTAGTGCTTTGCTCTGCACCTGGCTTGAGGCCAGCCTTGTGTCTCTGCATACTCCCAATACCATGTGCCAGCCGGTGCACATGGCTCCTGCATTATGGTGACAGGAGTCCCCTGAGAAGCTGGTCGGCTCCTCCAAGATCTCTTCTGGGGCACAGAAACATCACAGTTTCTCCACTTTTTTTTCAGTTGTAACAGGCCGACAAGGCCTTGACCTCTCCAGGATTAAGGTTAGACGGGTTACATGTCAACCATTAGATCCTGGATATGGTATCTTACAGAGTAAAGGAAAAGAAAGTCTGCTGTATGCTGTGTTCAGAGGGAGTTTGTTATCTAAACATTTGAGTGTGACGTTCCTCCACAAACCAATCAGCAAATCATCAGCAGTGACCTTCACGGGTCCAAAATAAAGCGTCAATGTTGACAATCTGTGGTGTGGGCGAAATCCAGTACTTTGGGGGTTAAGTTGTGAAAGTTAATGTAATAACTGCTAGCACCATCTGCTGGCCTACTTCCCTACAAAGAGTGAGAGAGTGAGAGAGCGAGTGAGTGAGCAAGAGAGAGAGAGTGAAAAACGAGTCTGGGTTTTAACGACATCTCTAATATTCATGCTGATGCATTTTGCTGCTTTGTGCTTTCATTTTCCGCCGCTCTGCCTGCCAGAGTCTCGAGCTTGCCACACACGCCCCAGCCAGGGAGAAGGGGAGGGCAGCGAGGGAGAACGAGGAGAAAGACAAGTGGGGAAAAGGAGGAAAAAACAACCATCCGAACAAGCAAGCAAGCTGACACAAAAGCCTTTTTTTTGTGAGCAATAAATGGAATAACCTACCTGGTTGGTGGGGAAGGCGAGGAGAGGTGCTAAAGGGGAAACAGCAGAGCGAAAAGAGTGAGAAAGACTGAGAAACACGAGGAAACGGCTCAGAGGGAACGGAGAGCGCACACGAAAGGCAGGCGGAAAGAGGAATCAATGAGAGGGGAGGAGAGAGAGGAGGCAGGGTAAGGCAACTCTGACACACACACACTGAGAAAGAGTGAGGGAGACTTGGATGAAGCCGGACGACGGCGAAGCAGCACGCAGCAGCAGAATGAGAGCTTCCTGGACTGCCACGCACCTCCTCTACCGCCCACAGCGCTGCTCCCTCATCACCCTGTGAAGAGACAAACGAGGGCGAGAGAGCGAGCGAGAGAGAGAGAGAGGGAGAGAGAGAGAGAGAGCTCCCATGCGCTCCTCTTGAGCCCTGCCCGCTGGGGGAGGAGGAGACGAACGGCTCCGGCGCTCTCGCACTGCCTGAGGAGAGAAGCTGACCGGGGAGGAGGAGGGGAGGCAAAACCAGGAGCGAGGGAGGGGAGGGGGGGACAGCGCGGCTCTAGGAAGAGTGAGAGAAAACGACTGTTGGAAGGGGAAAAGAGTGAGTGTGTTTGTAAAAAAGGGGAAAGCCTGAGCGAGCAACAGAGAGAGGAAAAAACCCGGCGAAAGGGCAAGGCTTTTGTTAGCCGGTTGGAGAGGGGGGAGGAAAGAGGAAGAAAAAAAACACCATGTCTACAGTGAAGAGGCCAAGAGGAAGGGTAAGTGAGCTGTTCTGAGATCTGGGAGGAGGGAGGGACGGGGGGGTGGTGGGGAGGGAGGAGGGGCCGGCAGGAACTGAACAACCTCCTCTGCTACTGGCTCATGCTGCACTGCCGCCATCTTGAACTCATTGCTGCTTTATTTTCCTCCCCTCCATACTCATATGCTCTGCTGTGCTAGACCGTATCAAGGCACACTTTCCCAACCCCACCCCCACTGTCTGCTCATTCCATACATCCCATTCCTGTACTCTTCTGAATTCCTCTCCCTGAGCTGCTCCTCACTGTACTTTGTGTAGTGAACGCTGTGTGAGTGCGTGTGTGTGTGAGAGTGTGTGCCTGCGCGTGTCCTCTAGGAGTTGAACCTGTCAGTCAGCAGAGCACTCACTACATGTGGAAATGAGGGGGTGAGAGCGAGGGAGAGCTGGTCGCCCCAAATGGAGCTCACTCTACCTTCTCATAGGCTGTAATGGTCCCCACCGTTTCCATGGGACTACGTGCTGCTCGAGAGATTGAAATCACTGCAGTGCTGGCAGGCTGTAATTTCAGTTATTTATAGATGTATTACACAGCTGCAGTGCTCTCAGATTTGGTGCATTTTATCTTTTCTCTCCCTCTCCTTCCCTCTCTCTCTCTCTCCCTCTCTCTCTCTCTCTGATAGGAGCCTATTTTCATTTTTTTTCTTCCGCTTGCTGCCTTTTTCATGTGCTCTTCTGCTCTTCCGCTCTGAAGCATTACTTTCAACCCCTCCCCCTCTCTTTTTTTTTTATTTTTTTTTTTTACCTTTTTACTTGAATGGGAACATTCCAGTAAGAATCAGTAAATATCTTCCTAATAGCCTCAGCGCTGTTGCACACGTGAAGATCATAATGCAGGTCTTGTGTGTGCGTGTGTGACTGTGTTTCACCCCTTCCTTTCAAATGAATTGCTACTTACTCAACTCCCTCCCCCAGTTTGTTGGTGAGGTTCAAACTAATTCTCTTTACTTAGCTAGCTGTGTGGAAAAAAAGCAGCTGCCTGTGCTGAGGCCATGTAGGCATACACAACACATTTTTAGATTAGGTCATCCATTTATGGGTTCCCTCTCTGCCGGGCCCAAGGCCCACCTCAAGGCGCTTGTGTAGGCATAACTGCAGTCACACCATCTATTATTCACGTATTATCATGTATCAGCCAGGTTGGATTATTCATGTCTACGAGGCTCACTGTAACCTGCGACACTGTGTTGGTGTTTACTCTAGCTTTTGAACGGCTGACACTGAAAAGAATTTCAGCTTTGCGCTCACTGAGTGTTGGTGTCACATGGTGTGAGAGTGCTTAGATCAGGGACGTGATCTAAATGAATCCTTGTGAGGAACTATGGGCATTTCTTGTAGTGAAAGTCTGCTCTTAGTGTTTCGTGGGAGGTTGAGAGCTAAAGTGAGCATCATGCAGAGCTATGCGGGCCACCCCCCACCCCCAGCATCTGTGATGGGGACAGCAACACGCTCTGCATGTCTGTACAGCCTCCAGTGGTTGGTGTTTTTTCTCAATGAGTGATAGTTGCAGTGGTCGCCTCACATCATCGCAGTATATTGTATTTGTATGAAAGGATGGGTGTGGAATATTTACATCCTTCTGCGGTGAAACGACATCTCAATCAGCTTACACCGTCATCTCTGAAGTGAATTAATGTTTTCCTGTATTATTCATACATTAGCTGAGCTGTCTGACTCCATAATGGCCTCATACGTTTCGCCAACACGATGAAACACCTACTTATAGCTTTCATAGTGTTAACTTGACTTGATGGTTCATGATCCGAGACACAAATTGAAAACATAAATCATAATGCCAAAAAACACCTTTAAAACCTTCAACACTGAATACCAAATCTGAGTAAAGGATTGCTCTTTTATTCTTTGTGTTCAAAACTGCATGATGAAGAAGTGCTGAGACTTGAATCAGTGCATGCAGCACTCGATCAGCTGCATTATCCACAACATGTCCTTCACTCTGCTCTGCTTCAAAGGTCAAGGGTCACCTTTTGAGGTCTGTGTGCTAATAGGACCTTCTACGGCAACTACAATGTGTGACATCGTGTTTGTAGTTTTCTTTATGAGATGTTTTCACCTAGTGCTTTAACACTAATTATCCTTCTCCGTGTTTTTCTCCCTCCTTGCTTAGCCTCGAAAGAATGCCAATGGTCCCACTACCCAGGTACGGGTCCTCAGTCCCCCAATGAAGAGCAGCTCATCATCCTCCTCCTCGTCGTCATCGTCCTCATCCTCATCCAGCTCTCCAGCCGAGAAGAGGTCGCAGCGGAGGATGCATCACCAGATGGAATCAAATCTACAGGACAAGCAGGAGAAAGCAAACAGAATAATATCAGAGGCGATTGCCAAGGCCCGGCAGCGCGGGGAGAAGAACATCCCCAGAGTCATGAGCCCTGAGAGCTTCCCCAGCTCCTCATCACAGCACAAGAGCCACCGTGACCGTGAGCACAAAGGAAACAAAGCACGGCCGAAAGAGAAGGTCTCTAGGAAGGTCTGCATCGTACCCTCCTCCAAGCCCAAGCAGAAGGCCAAGATTGGGTATGTAATCGCAGCCGTTAATACTGTTCCGTAAAGCCCCGAAATGCTCGTTATTTTTAAAAATAATCCAGTAAGTAGAGCTTTGATCAGGTCCTTCCCTCCCCACAGCAGTGTAGAAATTCTTTTAACACAACCGGAGCCTAACCACTGTGGCGTTTAATGAGCTTGAATTAAAAAAGTGACATATGCCACTGCAGTGGGTAAACCCCCTGTCAGTGTACCAGCATACCTAAAGAGATTTACACACACATTTCAGCCCAGAGATAGAGCTGCAGTAAACTCTGATTTCATAACCTGTAAATCTGTTGCTTAAAGTCAGTTTTGGCCTGTAGAATAGCAATAACGAGGAGGAAATTTACATCATAAAATATGTTTGAAGGACACAAAAAATCAATCTTCAATTTACAAGGGTTCTCACGGAATGTTAAGTGAAGGGAAAGCAGTGAATCTGTTTTCTTAACATCAAATTCCTTTCTTTCTTTAAGCCCCCAAAACAAATCCTCTCTGTGCCTCTTCACTTCATTTATAACATTTTTCTGCTTTATGAGTATAATTAAACACATACTGGAACATTCTTGTAAAAAAAGAAGAAGTATGCCTAAAGGATGCTCTTCTTAAATTCTACATACATTTCATTATGTGTGTATGGATTACTAACACACAATTCTGGTGCAGTTTTTGCCTTTCTCCTGGTGCATTATTTACCTTGCGTACATTTTCTGCTCATGCTTGTCAAGATGGATGCTCAAAGTTCAACAGAATTTACTGCACGTAATAACAATAAAGCAGGCTCAGTCATCAGTAAAAGCAGGGGAGGAGCAAACAAAGGCTGCATTTACATGTGAGACACTGCTGCCGAGTATATTCAGGCAAGGAGTGCTGATGTATAGATACAGTGAGCAGTGTGGAGCTCTAAGCCACACCCAGCACGAGCTATTGAAATTTCAGCTGGTGTAAATTCAGAGGGCTCAGGCAGGGGGCTGAGGAGGAAAAAAGGTGGGGGGTTTAGAAATCCTAATGTGAGGATGTGATGCAGAGAATAATACATTCATCAATTTCAGGATTTGGAGAGGGCCTGTGTTTTATAGTGGTAGCATAAGCATGACTGACAATGGTCAGCCATAAAATCTGTCAGGCAGCTGTGTTGATTAATAATGAGGTGAGCTGCGCAGAGGGAGACGAGCTGCTGCTGCTAATAACGTGTTTTTCCTGTAGTTTGTTTAGGTGTGATAAATGATAAAGTTGTGACGGTGAGATGATGGAGAAGTCAGTGAGATGGTCCCACAAGATCACTGGGAGATCTGGTTGGATGTACCCAGATTTTTCTGTTGTTTGGTTGCTCTTGTGGCATCACTGATCATGCTGGGCTTTGTTTTTGAAACAAGTAAAAGTCTAATATGGTGTTGTAACAAAAACTTCAAACAAAAAGAGCTTGTAGATTTCAGGAAGTTAAACATTACCTCATTAGGTAAGTACTCATAATACCACTTTCCTCTTCCCTCTTGAATCACGGAGACACAGCTGATTAAACTATCAGCATTTAATCAAGTGAAACCTGAGACGTATTGGTTGTGAAAGGCGGCTTAAAGGTGATCCTGAATTCTGTCGTTTAAATGTGTCACTGGTGGCAATTCTTGTTTTTCTGAGGTAATGCGCTGTGTAGCCTATTTTCAGTCACTGTAAGCATACTTGGCCCAAATACAGAAAAAGCTTTGGATCAGAGTGAAACATAGCCCGCTTACGTAGCCTAGTATCGTCTCAGTCAACTCTTTACAGACCTGATTATATCGTGCATTCCACCCATTTTAAACATTCAAATCACTCACTCTGGCCAGATCAAAGTCTCGCACAGTATAACAAAAAAATAAAAAAAGGAAATATTCAAAGAGCCATAACCTCTATAATAAACTTGTTTGATATATTTTTGGATGTGGAATTTTTTTCTGAGGCAGCTTAAGTTGCTCACAGTCCGTGGAGTTAAAAGAAATGCTTTTGTGCCGTCTATTAGGCACAAGCATAGCAGCATCAAATACATACTATTGAACAATGCATAACCTTGGTGTATTGTATTTTTTCAATATAAGTTATGTTGACGCCCCTCAACAAGGTCAAAATGGATCATTATAGAATAGGTAGTGAATTGGTGTAAAGCTCCCTGATGTATTTTTAACATCACAAATCTCCTGACATGATTAATATAATGTGATTAAAAGAAGACCATTGAAGAAGATCATTATTGATTGCAGTATGGCCATTATCTAATCTGATCCTCAGACTAGTCAGGGTTTGTGACAGCAGACGAGCTTGTATTTTAATCCAAAGTCTGTCTGTATGAAAGAAGCCTGAATGCTGTAACGTACACGTCTGTGGTTGTGTTGGAGTGCCCCCCTCGATTTATTCTAATTGAGAAGAAGTTTGGATTTTCCAGCCTGTGGTGCAGTGTGGCAGTGATGTATATCCCCTCTGCATATAACCAGAGGCTTGTGGGAGTGTGTGAATATTTTGACTGAAGTGTGAAGACTCATAGCTGCAAATACTCATCCTAAAAGAGAGTCTTCTTTTCAATCAAAATCTGAACAATGAAGAAAAGCTATTCTGGAATATTAGTTTTATAGAGAGCTCTGCTTATTTCCACTTTCTTTGAAGTCTTAATTCTAGAAAAAGTCGGTGATAAACTTTTATTTGTGTTCTTTAAATGACAGTTTTACATTTGAAGGCTGGGCCTGGTAAAGAGTCCTGAGAAGTCAGAGCCTGAACAGTCACAGGCTAATGACACTGTAATGTAAACACGAAGACTCAAACATAAATACTACAGTACTGGACACCAGATGTCCTCATTAGTCTTCCGCCTTCTTTTTACACTTTCTCTCAGACACATTCATGCAAAAGAAAATCTTAACGCTAACAAAGAAGACAGATGCACCATTTTCAACACCATTAATGCTCATAATCGCTGTGTAAATACACAAAACAATACACTCTTGTCGGATGATGATGGAATTAGGCACACTTGACACACACAATAAATTATGGTATCTTAATCATGTGACTGGGATCTGACATAAAACCAACAGGAGGAAGCTTGTTGGGTGAAAGAGAAACAAACAAGTCCTTTTACAACCCTGGGCTAGTCGCAGTAGAGACAAGAAAATACACTATTGCAGCTCATTTCAGACAAAAGGAAACATCCACAGTTGCAAATTTGTAAAAATGACAAAAGAGCGTCTATTATGCGAGTTGATACTCTTGATTCAAAGCTCTGAATAAATCTTAAACCACCAAACCACCACAAAACCAGGTGTGTTTGTGCATCTGCATAGAGGATGTCGTTGTGTGTCTGTACAGCTTCAGTAACGGATGGCGTCTCTGTTGCTAATGTGAGGTGATGAAGACAGCCTGCCTGCATGATAGAGAAGAGCCCCAGAGAGAGAGGTGTGTACTGCAGAAGAGTCCTGTTCATATGCATGCACCGCCCAGGATATCCCCGTACAATATTAATGCGTCTGAGCTGCAGAGGTACTAACCTCTCAATGGAGTCATTACTTGGCCCTGTTGAGGGTGTGTGCTGGCCTGTGTTCAGAAAGCATGAGGCTGTGTGTGTGTGTGTGCATGCTCACTCTTTGGTTACATCTGACCCTTCTTTGAGCAGAAAATGGGACCTGAGATAAGACTATTATCCTAATTGTCTCTGTACTTAAGAGTCTGCTTCACTGAGACCACCGCGCTGGCATTACTACCTGTGTTACTACCAGCATCATCAGTCCTGTTTAATTGCTGGTAAATGCATCCTGGATCACTTCACTGGTTTTCTCTGCCAACCGCCTTTCGAGCAAGTTAGAGGTCATCATATGGAAAATCTGTCTGTCTGATGAACCATCAAAGAAAGCAGCTGAGTAAAATATGGATGCAGCAGCCGCTTTGACAGGTGGAGTAGAAACATGACACATAGCCAAGTAAAAGATCACTAACAAAACAAAAAAATAACATCTTTACTCAGATATTAAAGTGCTTTAATATCAAGCTCCAGATCTGGAGGCCTTTGAGTAAAACATCACCACATAACAAATTCCCATTACCCCCAGTCCACACTGATGTTTTAGATTGCTAAAATAAATGTAGTACATTAAAGTCAGCAACCCAGCAAATGTAGAAGAAGCTTCAAATGTGAGCAGATAGAGTTGTAAATGCGAGTTTGAGCGGATACATTCTTTATCAATATAATAACTGGTTCTGAGCCTTTATCAAAGCTGTAACAGACTCTCCATTCAAAAGCCTTCAGAAAAAAAATCATAAATAAACCAACAAGGAAAGAGGGAATTATCCTGGGAATAACTCAAAAATGATCTGTGAACAAATAACACAGATATGTCTGTCCTGGAAGCTGTTATTTGCTCATTTAGAGTGTTTGTTTAAAAAAACGTCCAATTAAACTTCATATATCCTGTTAAATGATAAACACGTAAAGTCGATTATTATGTTGCAGTTTGAAAGCTTTAGGAGATCTGAATTATTGAGGCCTTTGTTCTTGCAGACATTGTAACTCCCCATTTCAGTGAATCCCAGCTGAAACAATAACATTGATGCTGGTTTATAAGAGCTCAGTTAGTTTTCCAGGTTGTGAATGGCACAACCTGGAAAGACTTCATTAGGTTTAAAATAGCTGAAATGAGGATTTTGAGCGTATTACAGATGGTGTTTATTTTTAAATACATACAGACTGTGGTTCAGTCTGTTATCCCCTCTCTTCTGATTTCTACAAATGAAACAAAGACATTGGTAGGATGAAGCTGTACAGTGAAATATTTACCAACAAAATCTACCCTTGGGAAAGGCGAGGGTTATTTAGCAGACCAGGCTTCACTGATCACATCTCTCTGCAGACTAGATTTTGCATTTTTTAGGCAGCCTACCTACCTGCTGGAAAAAAAAAAAAAAAACCTCATGTAATCATCAGATGAAAGCGCGGTGCCTCTTCTTCCTTTTTTGTTCCTCCCTCTCCCTCCTCCTCCTTTACATTTTTTTTATCCTAATATACATTTGGTGCTATCAGCCTGCTCAAAGCATCCACTGCTGCCTGTTAGCAGCATGTACTAAATATGCTGATACTACAAAGCAGCAGGGTTGCAGCAAAATATCAAACAAAATGGTGCTTGTGAGATCAATTACATGATAGAAAATGGAGGTTGAATTCTGGCGTATATGCTGCAGCATATAGCTGTTCATATTTCAGGGCTTGCCTGCAAGCCGTCTAATCTCTTTTCCCCCAGTTTTTCATTAGGACGGGCTAAAGCTGTTTTTTTTTTTTTAATTGAGTGTTTTCCTAGTTAATCCCTTTCCAGCGTGCGTCTGTGTGCATGTTCACACATGTGCCCCTGTGTGATATATTGACATGTTTGTGGGGTCCGCGTTGTGTGTCTTTGTGCTGAAAGTCATGCACATGTACAGATTCTTCCGAGTGCGTTTGTGTGCGAGTGTTGCCCATTTTAAAAGTGTTTGCTGTACAAAGCAGCGGTCCCCTGTGTGTCCATCTGCACTGTGCTGATAGAGTATTTGTCTTTGAGTGGAGGCTTGATGATGCTTTTACTACTGTCTCCAGTCGTGTGCAGTGTGGCACTGAGATTATAGCCTTCCATTCATAAGAAGGGGGATTTCCTGTCAAGAACCACCACCACTGTCTCAATAAGCCCCTCAGGATGAGAAAAATACACACAAACACACCGCACTTAACGGCAGTTTTCAGGATGACTCAGTAACACACAATCAGAATATCTGAGGTAGACACACTTGAAGACGATGAGGGCCGGTCAGAGATGCTGAAGCACTACGCTGCAGTCTCGGCCTGCACAGCACTATCATAACTTGAATGTATAAAACCAAAGCTTCACACACGCATGCACACACACACTTGCACCCACGCGCACTCCCGGTGGCAGTATGCCAAGTAGGGCAGGACATCACTGGGGGGACAAGGGATGGAGGTTATTTGGCACAATAGGAGGATGGGAGCCAAGTAAGCCTCCAACAGCAACTAGGCTATCATTCTCAGGGAAAAAGCTAGTGGAGGCTTATCATGGAGGATCACTCTGTAATGTCTGATCAGGGGCAGCTGTAGTCTAATTAGAGATGCAAGATTATGTCTGGAGGATGGCCTCCTTAAATCCTGCAGGGGAGGCAAATAAATCACTTTTCTCTTCCCCAGTAACAAATATTAAACAACCCACCTGGTAGAGAAGGAAGTAACTGTGCAATAATAAAATGAGGTGGTTTCAGTGAGTGTTTGGTTGCAACAAACATGAATCGTTAGGATCAAAGACATGAGAGGGACGAGAACTGAAAGATGACATTTATTGAAGTTACTAAAAATATGATTTTAAAAATAAAATGTTGATTTCTATCAACTACAGGCTGTTTTTTTCCAAAGAGAACTGTTAGAACAATCGCAAGCAGAGGTGTAACATAGAATGAAATTTTAAAACAGTAAAAAAACAGGGAGCAAAAAGTGAAAGGCCTAAATAAAGTGGATATTTAATGTTTGAAATCTCAAAAGCATACTTAGGTCACCTGAAAAAGCAGGGATACAGGGTGACACCCTGAAGGAAGCTTTAGTGCCACTACATATGGGTGTTTCTCCTGCTTTTTTACACGACCTGTGTGTATGTTTGTGTTTAAACATGAAAAAGACCGTTAAATAAAGGCTTTTTACTTTTTTTGTTTCTTTCTTTCTTGGGTTTTTGTGTCAGAGCACCTGTTAGAGACTCTCTCCTTTTGTGGTTGCATGAAATAAATGGTATTTTGAGCTCACAAACATGCCTTTATTAAGAGTCCATTAGATATTATACAGCACAGAACTGAATCTTACTCCTGCCTGCTCAGCTTCCCACACATACTCAATAAGTGCCATCAACACTCTAATCAGCAGGTGTCATTACTGTTTTATCCACACAACCAAAAAGCATTTCAGAGAAGACTATTTGATAACTCCAAAGATATAAGGATTTATTATTGGAGTACTGATAATGGGGTTAGGGTTAGGATAGTTTAATCACATAATGTCTAAAAATTCACGTCATACCGTTTACATTTTTGATATATCCGTTAGCAAGCTCTGGTTTCATCTAAATTGTGTCTCTGCATTGTATCTTTGACTGTTAGGACTGGCTGAACACAATTATATTTTTTTGGACCATTTTGAGTCAACCACAACTACATGACAGCTGTCGCAAAGCTCTCTGCCAAATGGTTTGGCATTTAATAATGTGCCTTGTTGCGCTCAAAAACGTGCCTTTGAAGCAGGACTGCAAAAAGCATTCACCTTGCTTAGAAGGTACACTTTAACGTTACTCAATACTGCTGTGCAAATCAGATAGCCCATGTGAGTTTTCTTACATTATCTTCACAGAGAAATTAGAGGTCTGAGGATGACAACAATAAGGAGACCGTTTCTGCAACATGTCTTTGTGTATATACATGAAAAAACTTCTTAAACAAGAGTCCAGCTTGAATCTGTTAGCAAGGAAATGGCATGTTTAATTTTGTCTGTTTTTTCAGTTTTGTTTTCTTAGCTTTACAGTGTTTGCTAAATGCTCCCTCCACAACACTGAGGCATCCTTCTTTTCTCAAGCTCAGCATCATGTTTTGGATAGCATTTGAACATCCTGTGCAGGAGCTTTTTAACCAGTCCCTCGTCCCAGAGACAAGGACTGCCTGCCTCTGATTTTGCACTAACAGGATGATTTGAAAGCTTGCGTTTCCTCTCTGTCATTTGAGTGAAGATATTGCAGCTTGTGGGGAGGCTACCGGTTGAATGGAGCATGTGTGCTACCACTGGAGTTAGCAAACCCCTGGGTGGTCCTGTGTTTTAGCCACAGTCGAGTGGAGCAGGCTGTAACCATCACTAAGATGTGGCTTATGCCTCGTGTGTTTCTGTGTGGTTGCTGCTGCCGTGTGTGTGTATGTGTCTAGAATATATGCCTTTCATTATATTTAGCTTTTGCTGGCCTTTGTTGCTCATGTAAATGCTGTGCTTACAGGCATTTATCATGGTGCAAAAGAGCTGTCTCACCAACAATGTGCTCTGCCTGTACTGGCTAAACTGATGATTTCACAGCCCTGAAGTCTCCCGTTTCACAGTTCAGGTTTTCCCATATGTGGATCAGAGAGATGCTTTAGCCCTGTTAGATTCTGTGAGCTGCTGAGCTGCTGCCTGGTAATGTGACACTGTTATTCTGCAAGGCCCGTTTCCCAGCCAGCTTTTATTTGGTAGAGGAAGAACATTGTGTTTTGTGCCATTCAGCTGCTCATAATGTGTTTTTTTTTTACTCTATTCTTCTCTTGGTGGCACAGCTGGTTAATTTTTTTTCCATTGTGTCACACTCTGACTTGGCACATTCCTCTGCCATTCATAGTGTTAGTGGACATGTACTGGTGTTGTTTTTCACAGGAAGTGATGTCACCATGAACATTACCGCCCACATTCCCAAATACCCTCCCAAGGGCGCGTTGCTTGGCAACCATAAAGTGTCATTGTCAAGAGGATTTGTGAAATGTAATTTCAGCCAGAGGGGGCGGGGACATAAGAAAGATGGGACATGTCTTTAGCACAGTGCTGCTAGAGGAATGCATGCAAAGACTGATATCACATTTACAGTAGCGTGTGTTGAAGGTTTTGAGTTCCTGAAAATGAATTTGACCAAATTTGCCTCTCAGCCTACTATCTGTTTTTCCAGTAAAGCCTTCTTCTTGACGTAAACTGCATTAATGTGGTGAACTGTTGTAAACCACAACAAGCAGGTGTTACATCTGTCTAGTAACTGGACAGGTTAGTTTGACAAGCTGAGCATGTTATTAATCTATGTCCAACTCATGGAGTTAAGGGACTTTTCTCTTCATGTGTTTATTTACACAACAGAAACTGTCGGGGAAACTGGGAGATAATCACGTAGAGTCTTTTCTTTCTCTTTTTCTTTTTCTTTTTTTTTTATGTGTGTGAAAATTCTTCCTGCATTTTCTACCTAAATCATTTAATACGTCAAAGGTTTAATTTAAGAAGCTTTGCTTGGATTGAGAAAATGTCAATTTCTATCTCTGTTACTTTAAGAGAGTCAATACAGAAGTGAGTTAAAGAGAGACCCTATGGTTGTACAACAGCTACTGAAAAGTAATAATCTGCTTTATAACAAACGCCCAGTATCGAGTGTAAGTTGTGTTATTGCCAGGGTCTTTCATTGAGGTTTCTTTGTCTACTATGGTGGTTCACTGAACTGTTTTACTCTCTGCTCTTGTCTTTAAGTCTGCCTCTTCTGAGGTATACATTGGGTAAAAAGAAAGAAATGCCGTCTTTGATATGGTTGCAGCAGAGGACAGCAAACAGTTACCCTGCATTTAGCATGTGGCAGGTGCTAATTTTATTCTCTAGAATGGTTATTACTTACTCTCTGTTTTATAGCCATGCTGTATGGAGAAAAAAACCCCAATATAAATATCAGTTTCCCCTCTCTGTCGCCATTTATCAAATCTATGAGCACCATTACCAGGATGCTGAAGCCATTCAAAAATTTCTGAAGGTTATGACCCCGTCTTTTCCACTGTAACACATGCAGCGCTTTAGAAAGGAACTGCGTCTTTGAACACGCTCATTTCTTTGTTTTGCGGCCTACCATCAAGACAAGTCGCAGCACTCGACGACGTCTAACAGAATGACTTGTTGGCTAACAGAAGAAGATGTTGGCTAGCATGGGAATCTGTGTTCACACATGATATGAGTGTCTAATGTTATCTCATGTGAACAAGCCCTACAGGGACATCTTTTCCACTAGAGACATACTCGCTCATGCAACAGTCTGTCTGAGTGTATGTGATAGGACGTGTATGGTGTTCAGAGGATAATTGCTTGTGTGGGTTTCTAACATGTATAAATGCACATTGCAGAGCGAGAGTAAGAGACGAGAGATGCTTCTGTGTGTTCAGTATGATAGCAGTGTTTGTATTTTATTTTCTCCATTAATATCACACCAAGCTCGGGATTTGGCGCCTCTACCATCCAAGAGATAATGCATGTGGAGAGGCGCAAGATAGGAAGTGCGTGCATATGTGGTGAGAAAATATATAGAGAAAGGTCACTAAAATAATATGCAACAATGTGTGAAAGAGGGAAGAGAGAGTAAGAGGACGAAGCACTGGCAAAAAAAAGAGCCTGTGCCTGTCTGGGCTGCAATCTGCTGCTATCTGATATCATTAGACCCCAGCAGTCTGTCTTTGTTCTGCAATTGTATATGAGGCCGTTATGAAAACTTGCAAACTAGCTTTTGTGGCTTAAAGAGAAAACGTTTGCCAAATGACGATCAAATGATGCCTGTTTCAATCCGAAGGCTCAGTGGGAGCTTTAGGAAATCTCTGAATTCCTTTCCCTACAAACTCAAGCCGCTCTTATAGCAAGTATGCTAATATGTGTAAGCATTTCCCCGTCGTACCTTAGCTGGTCCCCCAGCGGTAGTGGTAGGACCGCTGAGGTCAAAAATGTAATGCCGACAGCTTCACAAAGGCCCGTCTTTGTTAAATATAGGTTACTGCTGCAAATGCTTGTGTTGTTTGTGGACTGCAGTGCAGTGGATGCAAATGTATGATTTCTTGCTTCACTCCAGTGAACTGTTTCAGAGCTCTGTCTTCCTGCGTATTTCTCTTTTTTTATGTTTTTATGAAAGCAGGGGGTCATCCTTTTCTTTCAGTTTAGGCAGTTTCTTATCGCCTCACTAAAAAGTAGTTCAATATATTTAACATTAAATAATACAGCATTTTAATCATGAATGAGTGTTTTTTGCTGCATAGTGCTGCAAACAAGCCAAGGGTTTATCTTAAAATGTCCACATGCACACAACAACGTTTATAGGTTGCTGTATTTGTTGCTCTTGATCTCACTGGCAAAGAGACATCTCTCTGTTATAATTGGGACATCTTCCACAGTCCCACCTTCAAAAAACAGCTATCTGAACTTGATAGCCTCTACACTGTATGTTGATACAGACATTTGTTTTGTGGTGTTTTGTTTTGTTATTTGTCTTCATTCACGAGTATACTGGACTGAGGAAGCATTTTAGCATTATCTGAGTTATTTTAAAAGTAGGGCAGATGTTTTTCATGCTAGTCAAATGTAAAACCCTCACTATATAAATAATGGTTTGATTGTTTCATCCTATTCATAGTTTGTGTATCTGTTTCCCTCTTTCAGGAAAATCGTCATCAAGATCGGGAAGAAGAAAAAGCGAAAGCCTGAGTCTTCAGAGGAGTCCGATGATGACCCACCCCCTCGACACACTTCCAAAGATGTCGACTCTGTAAGATCCAACGAACACAAGCTGACACATTCACAAAAATAACACAAATGGACATAACCCGACAGTACTAGTCAGTACTGAGTGGTGTCCTTAGTCTGACTGCTCACAGTGCTCAGAGAAAGGCTTCCCAGCTTTAGTTTTAGCCCCAGGAGGATTGACTCTGCGGTTCACAGCGAGGTCATGCAGTGGGTGGCTATCCCAAGATCACATTTTTATCTGCGTGGATGATTTCTTGATCAGAAACACAGCTTACACAGCATTAATGGAAACCTCTCAATGGTACATGAATTAAATAGAATTTTATTTAACAGGAAATGGTGTTTCCACAGCAGCCATTAAAACTGAAAATCTGATTGAAAATAGAAAATCTGCAGGCCTTTTTATAATTAGTTTGATAACATTACACTCAGCTAAATTAAATTATCCCGTTTTTTTTTACAGTTCAGAGTCATGATAGCTACTGTCTATTGTCTATTAGACACAGGGTATTGTTCAGGAATAAAATACTGATCGCCCACCTAGGGTTGAGATTTTAAAAGTCCAGAAATTACATTTGAGATTATCAGAGGCATTTAAATGAAATGCAAAACAAACACAACGGCGAACAAGTTTATCTGACTTAACTTTGAGGTAATGAATCAATAAGGGAACACATTTAAAGGTTTGAGTAAGATACCAGTTGGTGTCAGTTCTGCCGTTGAAAATCAGTGTTTGATGCTTTGTTTTTGATTTTGTTTCCCTGTGCTCTAATCTAAAATGAAAGAAGAACTAGTGGATGGCTGATATCTTGTTGTACTTAGGCAGAAATCTTTGTTATGAAGTCATTCGCTTCCTGCCAGGTCATGACAGATATCCGCTCTGTCAAAAGTGACCGGTCTGAATGAGTCAGGATGAAAAGCGGCTTTGTCCTCTTAACCGTCCCACAACCCAGCTCTTTCCTTTTCACGTCCTATCCGGGCTATTGCCTATGATCTAATTATGCTCGTTAAGAGGCGCCCCTGGCCTTAATTAAAACGGTCTGTTGATGACTCATTTAAGATGATCCCGTGGAAGAAGTCAAGGTAGCATGGCCGACAGTTAGCAAAGAAGCATGGCCGCTGCGGGGGTTCGGCCCCGCCATGGTAGCATGTGGCTGCTTTGACTTTACAGCTTCTGGTCAGCTCGTGCTTGAGGATGTGAGGTTATAACTCCATGGGGATATTGTACTCCACACCTAATTAACTTTGGCTCAGTGGCATTTATTCCTAATTAACTACATATTATCATTAGGAGGGGCTCGTGTATTGATGCAGGATACAGCAGCCCACGCATGTGATAATTAGAAAGGCTTGACAGGAAGAATATGAAAGAAGCTGCATATAAAGCGCTCTGGCTCTTTGTGTTTGTGTTTTTTTTACTACATCACTGGGTGGAATGTTTTCTGAAGTCCTCTCTGTTTACTGAAATTCAGGTCTGTTGTGTATGTAGTGCTTTTATGACCTTGAAGAGGATAGAGAGCCCACTTGATCATTTTCACGAAGCTTGTGGGATGATGAATGATTTTGTAGCTCATGTTGATCCCCTCTTGCCAGGAGATACGATATGGATATGATAACAATGGATAGAGGGATATCAGAGGAAATTCTTTTGCTCTGTAAAAGACAATCAAGAGCTAAACATCGTGTAAACAGCAATAACTTCAATGTCAGGACATTGTTGCAGCCACTTTCATTTGAATGAACGGACAATTTGAACCAGTGATCCTGACTTCATGTTACGACGGTGTGCACTGATTTTGATTTTTGTTAGTGTGGCTTACTGCTGTGCTCTGCCAACTTAACGATTACAGTTCTGGTCATTAACATTAAAGAGGATGATTCATGTAATGTCGGATAAGGTCACAGTTAGCCTGCAAAGTGATCAAGAACCAGCCAAGCAGTTTGAGATAAAACCTCACTCCACTCTACATTTATTCAGGAGAGTACACAAGGTTGAAGAAATGACATTTCTTATTCACTTTAATACTTCATTTTTTATCCAGCGCCCCGTGCTGCAGGTTACAGTTTTTACAGTTCTGTTATTTTGTTACTTGCTTGAACATATTTTGTAAAAATGCTTCTCGCACATTGCCTTGCTTTCCTAGAAGAGGCGATCTAATCGTCAGGTGAAGAGAAAGAAATACGCTGAAGAGCTGGAGGCCAGGCTGTCAGATGAAGAAGTCAAGGTTATTGTCAAAGCCAAGAAAGCCGGCACTGCAGCATCAAGGGAGCCTTCTCTTCAACTCTTTGTAGTAAGTGTCCCTGCCTACAACCTCCTCAGACTCAGACGTCACCTTCACCTTCATTCTGGTTTAAGAAAGCGGAGAGAAAAAAAAAAGATAAATAATCTTCATGGTAAAAGAACCATACAAGTATACACCTAAGGATCTGTTGTGTTACAAACAGCGGTCTGTGTAAATGATTTGTTTTTAAGGCAATGATCTATGTAGATACAGTTGAAGAGTACTTTATGTTCTGACAAAACAAAAACACATTTTGTTGAGGAGCTCTACATGCTCAGTGAAGTGCAGCACAGCCTGTTCTTTTCATCACCACATTGTGACGTGCGAACTAGGACCCCTGCAGTCTCTCAGAGAGAGAAGATACACACTCTGTGCCCATTTTTTAAATTTAGATGAACAGCAGAGGAATTAAGAGGGCAGCTCTGCTTAAAGACGAACGCCGTGCTCTTATAGGGAATCAAACATTTTATTGTTGTTTCCTTTGTGTAAATTAATCATTTTCAGTGGCTCTGCTACAAGGAGACAGATTTGTAGTGACATTTATTTTTCAGTACATATCTATAAAATAGAGAGAGGACTCATTTCCATGACATACAGCTGCCTGTAACCTTGGCTTTTGAATTTGAAAATCACAGAAGAGAAAAAAAGGAACTCATTTGATTAATAGAAAGCCATGAAACGTACACGGAGTGCAATTTAAATTTCCAAGTATTTCACACAGTTTTGTCTTTTTTATGTAAGTCGTAATCTGGGCATTAGATACAACGATTCAAAAGGCCTTAATTTACAAGTTATCTGTCCGTTACATTTGCAGGAGAATCCAAGTGAAGAAGATGCTGCAGTTGTTGACAAAATCATGTCCTCACGTGTTGTCAAAAAGGAGGTAATGCCTTTTCTTTTACTACTCACTATTTTGTCATTTTGTGGTTTTGTTGGTCAATTCCTTTGTGAGTTAAATGAAAACAGGCCACACAGTTATTTTACTGGAAAGAGAGGAATACACATTTATTTGATGTAATTTTTCTCAAATCTTGAAGATGTGAATTGCTATGATTCTTAATGGCTTAAATGTATAAAATAACTAGATACAGCCACCAAGTCCTAAAAATCTGTGTTTGTGTCTGCTTCTCTCATCTGTGTACAGGTCTCCCCAGGAGTGGTGGTCGAAGTGGAGGAGTTTTTTGTAAAATACAAAAACTAGTAAGTTAATTGTGACGCTGTAGCCTCTTAGTTCTTAGTTTAGGCTAGAAACTGTACTAATAAATGGTATAAGGAGGTTAAAAACAAATATTTGTACAATATGGATATATTATAACTGCATGTTTGTACTTTAAAGAAAAAATATTACTAAAACTAAAGGAGTTTGTTCAAAGTGAAAAACACTGCAATAGTCAAAACATATAAACACATTTAAAAATTTATCGACCAATTATGGATAAGAAATCAGTGACTGACCTCAGTGGCCTAAACCGTAATATGAAATGTCACATAAAAGTTTTTTTTATGAGTTTCTTGCCTCAATCTGAATGTGTGCTTTTATTGTTTGTGTGTGTGTGTGCGTGCGTGCGTGTGTGTGTGTTTGTGTGTGCGTGCCTGGGTGTCAGCTCCTACCTACACTGTGAGTGGGCCACAGAGCAGCAGCTGGAGAAGGACAAGAGGATTCAGCAGAAGATCAAACGTTTCAAGATGAAACAGGCGCAGAGGGCACTCTTCTTTGCAGATGTAAGGCTGCGTGTTTGTTTTTTCCTGTTTGCAGACATGCTGTATACTTTCTTCCTCATTTTGATGTCAGCAGGTTTGTTTGACATGCGTGTGTTGAGTGCTCATGCATATAGATGTAGATTTTTTAATTTATTATTGTTTTTTTGTCTGTGTGGGCAGACACATCTGTGTGCATAGATTTAAATCTTTTTACCTCCCAGTGGGTACAGTAGCGATGCTTGTCTCAGATTCCAGATGGTGAGTGGGCACTCAGGTTTATTATGTCTTTCTTTACCTCTTGTCTCTCTCAGATGGAAGAGGACCCCTTTAACCCTGACTATGTAGAAGTAGACAGAGTACTAGAGGTGTCATATTGTGAGGACAAAGACACAGGAGAGGTAAAGTAAACCTTTTTTAACTGGTTAATCATATCTGTGCGCGGTGTGTGAGTTTATTTGTGAGGACATGCCTGAACAGGTTTTACTCTTTTTCAGTTTTTTTGTGGCGCTGTTCCTTTCAGTATATCCTCCACTTCAGTAATGTCTTTGTATACCAGAAGTGCCCAAGGCCATCCTAATGGGCTTCCTCGCAGCCTTTGTTAATATTATAAAAGCAGAGCGTGGCCTCGCTCCAGTCTATTGCAGTGCTAATTCTTGTCTGCCTGCTGCAGGAGGTGGTGTACTACCTGGTGAAGTGGTGTTCACTGCCTTATGAGGACAGCACCTGGGAGCTGAAAGACGACGTAGATCAGAGCAAGATTGAAGAGTTTGAGCAGCTGCAGGCAGCCAAGCCAGACTCTCGAAGGATGGTAGGTTATGACCACCAGCAAATCACTGTATTCATACTTTTCTCTGATTCTTTGTGATTCTTTTCAGATGACAGTATTTTGAAGGATTAAGAAGAGACATTACTCTTTTTGAGATGTCAGTTTCTTGTGTTACATTGCGCAGATTTTAACGTAAGAACAAGATTGTGTTTACTCTGCGCTGTCCCAACCACACTCTCCCAGAGAAGTCAGCTGTAGCAGATTCAGCAAACACAAAATAAGCTGCATTTACTTAAATTTGATTTTAGATGGTGAAATGTTTTTCAAGTAGGTATTTCCTAAATAACAGGTCTCTGTCAACAGCCTGTTACAACTACAACTAGCGAGAGAATAGAAACACAGAAAGGATTTAAAGAGATCCTTTTCAAACTGTAACCCAAAGCTAGAAATCCACATAGTAAAACTTGTTGTTTTGGTAGTATGAGTTCGTACCCAGATTACACAGAGCAGGGATTTAGTAGTACTCTATCAGCCAAGCACTATTAGAGGTGTGCACTAAGTTTTTCATGTCCTCCTCTGTCTTTCCAGATTTCACCTGCTTCAAAAAGTTTGTATTAAATCTTACAGCCATATGTCTGAAGTATACAACAAGCAATTATAGACAAGATGTTTACCCAATAGTCAACAAACAGTTTTTATACTTCCTTATTTGCTGCATTTCTTATAAAAACTGAATCTTTCTCAAACTTCCCTCGACATAATCCCTGCAAACAACGCTGAAAACATTTCCTCTGATGAAATGTAGTTTCTAAGTAAATTTCAAAATGTGTTTCACAGGAACGGCCCCCAGCCAATCACTGGAAGAAGAGAGAGCAGTCGAGGGAATACAGGAACAGCAACAGCCTCAGGGACTACCAGCTAGAGGGGGTCAACTGGCTCCTCTTCAACTGGTACAACAGGTCAGTGTTTTCAAACTTTGTGAATGGACTCGAGTTGTGTGCATGTAAACATTAAGACCACAAGTTGATTCACTGTTGCATGTGTGCCAGCTTCAGCAGACTTGACACACTTCTTCTGAATAGAAAGACAAGTGAAAGGTTCAGCATGTGGCTTTAACCTCAAGCAAAACGGCTCAAGCAATCTCTTTAAATACTGTATATGTTTGTAAGCGTCTGTGTGAACGGAAGAAGACTAAAGGCTAAAGTGTGTTTATAGGTGTAGATTCTGAGATTTTACACAGGCATTTTGTGTTTCAAGAGGAATCCTTGGGGTGCAGTGAGACTGCAGATTATGAATAATGAATCGCTTTTCCCACTGTGTGTGCGTGGACCGCGCTGTGTTTTGGCTGTATTCACATTATTTGGTTGGGCCTGCAAGGAGAGTCAAATTTCCTGTCAAGGTGCACACTGCTGCTGCAGCAGCGATTGCTTTTCTTCGCCTACAATCACAAAAGAAGCGCTGCACGGTGTAGAATTCAGAGTACATGGTGTCAGTGCGCCTGCATTAACCCTGGGAATTGGCTTTCTGTGTGAGCATGCAGGATTTTGTGTTTGCCTACGCAGAGAGATTCATCAGAAGTAGAGAGCTGCTTAAGAGGCCAGTGGGAATATCTGCACGTTGCAATTAGCATCAAGATATAATACCCCCACCCACTGGACAGCTGAATAAATGGTTTGCTGGAGTACACCACACAGCACAGGCAGTTGTATTCGGTCTGTTATTACTGCTGATGATTTCTCCTCTCTTGTTAGCTGTTTATTATGTTGGCATTGTGATATTATTCTTTTTTTCTCTCCCTTTGTGCTTTTATTGTTTAACTGTAATGCCGTCGTCTTTGTTTGATATCATATTATTTCATGCATATTGAAACAGTACATGAAACCCTGATTCTGTTTTCTTTCTTCAAAAATAATCACTCCAGTTATCTCCCTCTTTCAGACGAAACTGCATCCTGGCAGACGAGATGGGCCTAGGAAAGACCATCCAGTCCATCACATTCCTGGAGGAGATCTATCGTGTGGGCATTAAAGGACCATTCCTCATCATTGCCCCGCTCTCCACCATCGCCAACTGGGAGCGCGAGTTCCGAACATGGACCCATCTTAACGTCATCGTCTATCACGGCAGCATGGTCAGCAGGCAGATGCTCCAGCAGTATGAGATGTATTTCAGGGATGCACAGGTAATTTGCTTTTAATTATGCACACTTTTCCGAAGTGATTAATTTCCTATTCATAAAAACGGACAAGCCAACTCCTCTAAAGGTCTGAAAAACTCTGGAAACAGGCAAAATTGAACATAAATTACTTGACATGCGCAGCAAAATAGAGCTGCAGCAATAGTTGCATGGCATAATGATTGAGTTGCCGACCAACATTTCATTGATAAGTTGACTGAGCATATAAGCATGTAAGATGCAAAAAGAGTCTTTTTAGTTCATCCTCACTCACTAATCTTACCATTCTTAAAGACCGAAAACCGCACCACTTTGCTTACCTTCAGACTGGAAAACAGTAATTCATTTCAACTAAAACGATCAGAGTGCTTTTTATCAAACAGCAGCATCATGATGTTTTGTGAGTAATGTAATGGTGTATTTGGAAACGGAAGGCCTGGATCGTACAATGCGAGTGAGGTTCAGAAGAATAAAACAGGCTCTTTATATCTAACGAAACAAACACCCCTTGCACATGTTTCAGAGGGGAAATTCCCATGAAAAAGCAGAAAAAAACAGCCTGCAGCTGAAGGGAAGTTAGTCCATTTCATGGAATGGATAAATTTTCCTTTTGAAAGTAGGGACTGGAAAAATTGGTGTTAAACAAGGTTTTTTTTCTGTGACCTCAGTTCTTTTCTCACTCATGTCAACTGTGTACCGGCAAAGATTAGAGCGTGAAAACGGGGGGGGAATTTCTTGAGTATCAGCAAATTAGCCTTTACCCAGCAATCCTGTCCACATATAACCCTTAACTGCAGATTGATGAATAGAAACAAATGTGTAAGAAAAATGACTTTTAATTTTATTTCATTTTAAGGCTCACATTAAAATAAAATAATCTCCTTGTCTCACAAAAGTGAGGAAGAAAGAAGAAGATTATTTGTGCCTTTTTCAGCCGTAGTCATACTGCAGTAGTGAGGAGTTTCGTATGCCAGATAGAGAGGTTTGCACTTGCCTGTCTCTGCCTAGTTTGGTTCCCAGGTCTCATGACACATATTCTACACAGAGGTTCAGGAACTCCCAATTGATTGGTATCATGAAATAGGGAGATAATTAGGAGACATTAAAAGCTGGGAGTACAGCTGGAGAACGGCTTAAATGAGGGAGACTCCCACCCAAATCAGGAGTGGCAGGTCTGCAAAAGTCGTTAAACTAATATTCGTTCCAAATATTCCGTATTGAATAAAGCTGCAAGCTTGTTACAGCAACGTGTGTAATTTGAATCAAAGTTCGACTGTATCAGGGTGAGACATGCCTACCCTGTTGAGCATGAGAGCAGTGCTACGAGGAGCTGGTTCAGAGAGCTAACCTAACATTAACTTCATTCAAAGAAGGGCACATGCCCTACAATAAGTAAGCTGCTAGGTAGTTAGTGAGCCTTAGGCAGAGACTTCCTGTGGTTGGCAGGCCATGTGATGTGCCACAACAGGCAGTTAGAAGCTTTTAGCGTTCAGACGAACCGTGGGAGGAATTAAGGCGAGCGAGAGCAGAACAGAGCGATGCCGCCACCAGGCTGTCTCCCAGGCAGCCTGTGATGTCACAGCAGCAGCCCCCAAGGGGAGCTCTCTGTCAGCACTGCTCAGGCATATCAGAGAGAGGCTCCTCCACAGCAGTCTGTGTGCTGGCTGGCTGTGGGAGGGGGTTACTGGATAACTGAGTATCCCTAGAGGAGTGTTGTCAAGGCGATGGATACAAATGGAGAGGCGGGGTGAAGCCAAGCCCCCCCCAGACATACAAACAAATAAACAGACAGCTCAACTCACCGCTGTTAGTGCTCTGTCCTGGTTGTACAGTGGATCATTTTCAATGTAAGAGATTTGTTTTTAGATCTACAGTAAAACCTCAAAGTTAAGTGAGGAATGTGTTGTCCTTGTCAGAGATATGAGGCTGCAACCTCAGTAGGTTTTGTAGGCTAGCACCTCCAAACCCGTCAAGCGTCATCGATACTTGATTTAACAATAAAAAAAAAAAATGCATTTCTTTTCACACATCTGCATATGTATATTTAAATGCATATTTTCTCCTTATATTTAGTTTTTTTTGTTCACTAATTCTTAATGATCAAATGTAAGTTTTTCCTGAATCTCTCCTCTTTCTTCCCCAGGGTCGTCCGATACGTGGTGCCTACAGGTTCCAAGCCGTCATCACCACTTTTGAGATGATCCTGGGAGGATGCCCTGAACTCAACGCCATAGAGTGGCGCTGTGTAATCATCGATGAGGCTCACCGTCTGAAGAACAAGAACTGCAAGCTGTTAGAGGGCTTCAAGCTCATGAGCCTGGTTCGTAGGGACAGATCATTCAGAATTTTTGTCGTTCATTTGAAAATATCCACATTATCAGGAGGGCTCTGGACAAATTAAATTTACCGTCAATATCTTTTCATGCAGGAGCACAAGGTTCTACTGACAGGTACTCCTCTCCAGAACACTGTGGAGGAGCTCTTCAGCCTGCTCCACTTCCTGGAGCCAGCACGCTTCCCCTCAGAAAACACCTTCATGCAGGAGTTTGGGGACCTCAAGACTGAGGAGCAGGTCAGCCAGCTGATATTCTCGTGTTCCTGAACATCACATCATAACATCATCGAAAATTTCTTTGAGTAATCCCCGAGATATAAGATCCTATTAGTACAAATCTAACTCTTGGAGTAAGTTCATTCAACTTGGCCACAGCGATATTTCATACACACTCACACACCCAACGTGTGGTGGATACAGATAACAGACACTAGTCTTTGTATGACTACGTGCTGACACAAAAATGAACAAGGAAAGTCGTTTTTTCCCTGCCTTGTTACATCGCTGCTGGACATTTCATTTGTAGGCAGAAGAGATGCTCAAGGAGAGACTAAGGCATGTTGGGAGTTTGGTACTCGCGCTGAAAGTTAAAACATTTGAAACATCTAGTACTCACCACGCGGTACTAAATCTAGAAGCTTATTGTGCCGGGGGGAATGTGAAATCCTTTTCATAGTAAAAGTTGCTGGTGCTTTAGTGTTGAACTTTTCAAGACATAACTCATGTTAGACAAGGGCCCGTGTGTGTGTGCAATAAAAAAAGAACAGTGGTTGGGAAAAGCTGACCTGCCTCTGGGGATCCAGTGGTTACTAAGCTGTGATTCTGTACTTTGAGCAGAAACTCCTAATTTTGGGGTATGTTGGCGTGTAACAGCCGAGAAGAAAAACTACAGGAGACTGATTTTAAAACTCGACATGGGCAGTTTAAGGACATCCTCACTCTAAATCTATAGCCAGACATCACAGGTATAGACACTGATGTTGTAAGAACACTGTACTAAATGGTGTAGATGGTTGCTTCTAACTGTTTGGCAATTCTTGCTTTTATTAAGGGCGAGATTATACATGTAAGCAGTTAAAGTGCTATTAATGAGATGGACATTAACAAAGACATTGCAGAGGCTAAGTTTGTTGAATAAAATGTAATTAATTCTACATAAATGATAGTGAATTATTGCAGTGACTATAACTTTCTTGTAATGTTTGAACCCACAGGTTCAAAAGCTCCAAGGCATCCTGAAGCCCATGATGCTGCGCCGATTGAAGGAGGACGTGGAGAAAAAGTTGGCCCCGAAAGAGGAAACGATCATCGAGGTCGAGCTCACAAACATTCAGAAGAAGTACTACCGGGCGATCCTGGAGAAGAATTTCTCTTTCCTGGCTAAAGGAGCAGGCCAGGCAAACATGCCCAACCTGGTCAACACCATGATGGAGCTGAGAAAGTGCTGCAACCACCCCTACCTCATCAAAGGTAGGATGGCACCTATTTTACTTTTAAATACAGGTTCATGTAGGTGCTGAAATGTAAAGTTGGGATCTTGGCAGCTGAAGGTCTTCAACGCCACAATTTCCTGTTTAGTCTTCAGGAGGTGTTTTCAGCTCAGTTTAGAAGATTAAGATCCTCACTATAATTTGGTACCTTAAGTGATGATTATCTGTGACTCCACACCTGGTAATTGTACCTTTTAAAAAGTAATTTAAATCTCATCACTGTTGTAGAAGCTGTCTTTATTTTGTACACTTAAAATCACAGCATCCCATTGAAAATCTTTCATTTTTTTAGAGATATAACTAAATAAATGAAATGTACCTTCTCGTGTTCAGCGATGGCAGTAGACTTTGTTGCAGATGTGCCTCTAATGTTCTGTCTCATATACTACCTGAACAGACATGATATCTTTGACAAAAAATAGTGAAAAAGAGAAAAAGTCAAGTAAGAACGACAGTGTTGCTGATGTTTGCTCGTCTTTGCTGTGTCAGGGGCTGAAGAAAAGATCCTTGAGGACTTCAGGGAGGTGTACAGCCCCACTGCCCCAGACTTTCACCTGCAGGCTATGGTACAGTCTGCAGGGAAACTGGTTCTTATTGATAAGCTGCTGCCCAAGATGAAGGCCGGGGGGCACAGGGTGCTCATCTTCTCCCAAATGGTTCGCTGCCTGGACATCTTGGAAGACTACCTCATTCAGAGAAGGTAACAAAAAAGGCAGATGATCGATTTGTTCTCTAAAACTCAGACTGAATCTTTCTACTCGAGCTTGAAATGTTGACTTTCTTAAAACTGCTGTAAAAAAGAAAAGTTTTTTAATCAGAATCAGTCACACATATTCTACATTTATGGTATTGACATTGTTTTGACAGGTTTTACATAACATTAATTTACTTATTAGACATGCTGTTATAATTGTAACTCCAGAATTTTCCTAATCTCAAACTTTGCAGTTTTAAAATGAAAAATGTAATGAATGAACACATTTTACCTTAAAGCTCATTTTAACTCTTGATTTCAGGTATTTCAAATGTTAAGCAGTATTTGCACAGATGATTGACAGACCGCTGTATGACAGTCTGTTAGCAGGGAAAATACAGAAAGTCCCAGGAGGCAGAGAGGTAAACTGTGAAGGTGATGATCAATAACTAAGACTTATATCAAGTCTATCAATCTACATTATACAGACTAAGTATCTACAATCTGAATGGAAGCTCTCCCCTTGCTTTACTCTGTGTATGTCTATCATCAGTGTGTAAGCTGCATCTTAGTAACAAGATGAAGTGAGTAGTCAGAAACACGCATTGGGAGGTAGCAGCCTTTAGGTTAAGGGTTTTACAGCACTTGTTTAATTGTGACAGATTAGTGGTTGACTTCATCTCCTTCTTGTCGTTATTCTCAAGTCTTCCGCCCCTCAGTCTTCTGTTTTTTTCACCGTGCTGCTCTTCTGACTTTACGTCTGGTTCAACTTCTCTCATTCTTATGGCTTCCTACCAGCAGCTGGCGCAAACCCTGAACTATTGTAAACATGTCGAGGTGCTGCGCAGCGCAGACCTCAGACAGGGTTCAGCAACAGGTTATTGAAGCCCTCGGGGCTCCACCACATGAAACAAGCAGTGTTTTCTGTGAGTCTTCTTCTGACTGGAAGTGGATTACCTTGGGGAGGGCAGGGGGTTGGATTGTGGGAGGAGATGAGAATGGACACAAGATGAAAGAGTGCAACACCCTCTGAGTTTTGTCTGAGAGTGTACAGTTTCCATGGCGTAGAAGGAAAACACAGGAAAAGTTGAGTATCTGAAGAAGATCAGGGGACCAGGTAGATAATACAAGGAATTATTTAGAATATTGATGTTAAGTTCTTACTTTTCCCTAAATAAATGTATCCCACTGGCAATGAACATTCATCATGACTCAAATTTTCTCTGTTGCAGGTACTTGTATGAGCGGATAGATGGCCGGGTTCGAGGGAACCTGCGGCAGGCAGCAATAGACCGCTTCAGCAAGCCTGACTCAGAGCGCTTTGTATTCCTTCTCTGCACAAGAGCCGGTGGTCTGGGAATCAACCTCACTGCAGCAGACACCTGCATTATCTTTGACTCTGACTGGAACCCGCAGAACGACCTGCAGGTACGACGATAAAACCGCATCCACTCACTCACTCGCTGATAAAACACTGCTTACATGTTGTCCAGTTAAAAACGGGACATTGACGTCTGTGTCAAACAGGACGCTGTTGCTTAATCACATCGTCTGGTCATTTGCAGGCTCAGGCTCGCTGCCATCGGATTGGTCAGGACAAGGCAGTCAAGGTGTACCGTCTCATCACCAGGAACTCGTACGAAAGAGAGATGTTTGATCGCGCCAGCCTCAAGCTGGGCCTGGACAAAGCAGTGCTGCAGAGCATGAGTGGCCGCGATAACAGCCTGGGAGGAGGCACTGGTGGAGGGGTAAGTTTGAGAATTTTCCAAATGATTCGTAACAGAAATGGGGAATTAAATCAATTAATCATGTTAATTATGTTCGGTTCATTTTCAAAGAGGAATGTTTGTTTGGGATTTTCATTTCAGGCTGGGCATGATTTTTTCTTGATCAACTATCTCATCAGATGGTTACACTAAGAAGCTCGAAACCGCAGAAGCCTGGCATGGCACTCTGATAATTATTGAGTGCTGTTTTGTTTTTTTGTCTGTTTTATTTGTGTAATCTATCCTCCCTTTCACATACTCCGATAAGCACTGTACAAAGAAAACAATCTCAAAATCAAGATGGATCTTAAACGAGTACTCTCCTTCGGCTTGACTTCTAAATTTACCACCAGTTTTTTTTTTTTTTTTTTAACAGCGATGGTATTATTACTGTGAAAATCCTAAAAAAGCAAATAAACCTGTTTCTTAAACTAACAACGACGATGATAAAAGTCAACAGTTTCCCATATCATCAGTCCCAGATGATATTGGCTAAATGCTGTAACAGATGGCAAACAACAAGAAGATGGCAAACAAAGAAAAAACAAATGTGCACAAACCCTCAAACTTGGAACTGGCTCATGAAATTTGTACTTTAAGTGTAACCAATCCTATTAGAGTCTAATCTCTTTGTGAGGGAGTGTGTCAACAACATGTGAAGGGTGTAGGTGGATGTTTAGCTGAGGTTGATGTCCTCTGAGAATTATCTAAAGTATAAGGAGGTTGAGCTATTAGTCGGCCTCCACATCCGGTCTGACTTAATAAACAGCTGCTGGGCTGCTGATGGTAAGAATTTAATAACACAACAGGTGTGTGTCTTTAATTGTGCTTTTTATCGTCCAATCTGCAGATTCTGCGTGCTGCGTTATGTGTCACTGGGTCCCATTTTGTAATTCATAGTCAACAGAATGTCTAATTTTCCTTTTATTTTGCCTGTAGGCTGTGCAGCAGCAGCTGTCTAAAAAAGAGATCGAGGATCTGTTGCGACGTGGTGCTTATGGGGCGATCATGGATGAGGAGGACGAAGGGGCCAAATTCTGCGAGGAGGACATCGACCAGATTCTCCAGCGCAGGACAAAGACTATCACCATCGAGTCTGAGGGACGAGGATCTACCTTTGCAAAGGTGACGGATAGAGACCTTTACTCAGATCAGATGATGCAAAATGCACAAATACCTCTGAAATGTAGCAGTCAACAACACAGTGTGGATTTGTTAATGTTTTGTAATTTTCCTCTTTCAGGCTAGTTTCGTAGCATCTGGGAACCGCACGGACATCTCTTTGGATGACCCCAACTTCTGGGACAAGTGGGCCAAAAAGGCTGACATTGACATGGAGATGGTCAACGGCAGAGTATGTCACACACCGCATACAGTTGTTTTAACAGAGAGTTGCAGCCTTTGTAAATCTGTGTTAGAGTTTATCTGTGTAAGAGACTTTTGCTGAAATCTTGTTTGTCCTCCTCCCTTTTGCAGAACAGCTTGGTTATTGACACTCCTCGTGTTAGAAAGCAGACCAGGCCCTTCAGCGCTACAAAGGATGAGTTAGCTGAGCTGTCAGAGGGCGAAAGCGATAGTGATGATACCAAACCTAAGCTCAGGCGAAACCATGACCGTCTCAACAGCTACGGCCGCACAGAGTGCTTCAGAGTTGAGAAGAACCTGCTTGTTTACGGGTGAGATGTTATGACAAATATGTGTTCCCATGCATTTGTATGTTTTAAAGTTCACAAATGTACTCCAAGTAATATCTTAAAGATGAAGAGGAACTTTCCTTCTGAGACAACTTTTCATAAATTTGTCTTTTCCTCTCTGCTCTCCAGTTGGGGTCGTTGGAAGGATATTCTGAACCATGGGCGTTTTAAGAAGCAGCTCACAGAGTGGGACGTGGAGTCCATCTGCAGGGCCCTCCTGGCTTACTGCCTGGTCCATTACCGTGGAGACGACAAAATCAAAAGCTTCATGTGGGACCTGATCGCCCCTACTGAGGATGGACAAACCAAGGAGTTGCAGAACCACTTGGGTGAGTCTGTGGACTTGTAGCTCAGACATAAGAAGCCTTATCTCAACAGACAGTAGTATTTACTGTGTAGAAGTCAGAATAATAGAGGTGTTTGATTGCATTGCCTTTACTTCCTAAAGCTCTCTTTGTCTTTGTGTCCCCTAGGTTTGTCTGCCCCAGTTCCTCGAGGCAGGAAGGGAAAGAAGATGAAGACTCAGTCGAGTGCTTTCGACATCCACAAGGCAGAGTGGCTCAGAAAACACAACCCAGAGCACATGCTTCAGGACGATGGCTACAAGAAACACCTCAAACACCACTGCAACAAGTAGGTGGCTTTTTACTCCTCTTAGCACACAGTTGAATATAATGAATGAATTACACTGATGGATTTCCTTTTTGGGGATGAATATAGGTCTTATAGTGTTTCGGCTTCAGTCAAATTCCCTTTCAATCACGGAGAACACTTATTTGGTTCAAGGACCAGTTCACTTCAGTTCTGCATGTAGTTACAAGGGTATAATTCTGCTTTCAAAGGGTGTATGAGAAAGAAAATTTCCTCTCTTACTGGCAGGCAATTGCTTGTAAAGTCACCTCAATACAATGGCTAAATATTCCTAATAACCCAAAATAGTGTTATTAGATAAAAAAAGACTCCCATGATGTTGTATATTTCCAGCATTAAGCTTGCTCACAGCACACATGGCAATTAGTAGTCTAGGGTTGGTTTGTTTTATTGCCTGTGGGAGAGAGTGTGTGCGATTGTGTCTGTGTTTAAACCTTTGTGCTATTATAGCAACTGGCAGGTGGTCATTATTCTCTCCAGCACAGATTGTATCAGTTTATTTTTAATAGAATGAAGCCTAAGTGAAAAATGAAAATATAATTTGAACGTGGCTCAAATTCTAACCATGGAACCTCCAAGCCACAGTAATTAGGAGGCACTAAAACATCTATTGGAGCCGACAGCAGACTGATTCATTAAAGGACACTCATCACTTTGAGACCAGCTGACTGATATGATTGTTAATGAGGCTTCAGCCAAGCTAATGGCTATCATAGATCTCTCTTATTTACAGAGAGAGGGAAAAGATGGCTGCTATCAAAACACGGGACGTTGAGATATAAAGCTGAATAGATGGCTGCTGCTGCTGCTTCTTTTGAAAAGGGGGGCTTGTGCTTATTGGACGCCGGGTGCAGAGCGCTGCAGCTTCCATAGAAAGTTCGCCATTGTTTCCTGGTCCAGTTGTGCTGAATCCAGGGATTGTCTGATATGTGACACGCTGGGTAAACGGGGACATGCAGTCAGCAGGGTTTGCTGACTTTTGCATTTTTCACTGTGAGGACCTGGAATGTGACTGGTGGGGTGAAAGAGGGACGGGTGGGTGGTGTTGATAGGCCTCCTTAACAGGGCAGTCAAAGTAGGACAGAGCCCTGACACACAATGGAAAAAGTACGGGGTTAAAAATTTGCAGAAGTCTGACAGACAAATGACTTGTACTTAAAGCAGGTCCCGGTCTGTATTTTGTACTGATTTGACATCAGATATCAGAAACTGTAATTAATAGAGCTGCTCTGGCATTTAGAGTACAGCTCTCAGCATAAGCACTGGACAGATTTATATAGTTTGTATGTTTTTGAATCAGATGTTTAACAGTGATTAAATATGTCTGTGTTACACCGGACTTTAATAGATTGTTTTCTGTCGAAGGATCATGAAGGATTCTTTGCATGCCACTCATGTAACACATACTTGGCTTATTTGCCTCTGAAAGACATTGTATGACTGGGCTGAGATCCTGCGCAGCCTCCGACTGAACCACACTGCACACACAAGCACGCACACATTGATTAACAAAGGCTTGGAAGAAGAGCAAGAGAGGGCCGCGCTGACAGGCAGAGGAAGCAGCAGCTGCTCCTGGGCGGGTCCAGTCACACAGGAGGATGGAGGGTGGAGGAGGGAGGAAGTTCAAGACTTTGATTTACCAGAGGCACAAGTTCAGACAGGTCACCACGGACATCTATCACAGTGAAAGCCCAGGAAATGTTCCTGTCTGTGAATCAGGGAAGGATTTAAGACTCATTCAGGACAATATTTAGCTGAATTACAGCATAAAGAATGAGGAATGTCTGGTATGAAATACGTTGTTAGTGAGGCAGTCTACACTTATTTTAGTTTGTGCTGTCTCAAATAAGGCAGCTCTATAGAGAGGTGGAGTGGAGATGACAGGTTCACAACATTAAGTGACTGGTGAAGTTTGGTGATAATTTTTGAAGCTGTTTCAAGTATAAAGAAGAAGATAGAGTCACAGTTTGCTCAGAGGGGGTATTTATTTCAAGTTTGTAGATTTTATTCTGAATTATCAAACTGTAAAGACTTCAGTAGTCCAGCAACAAGTTCGGTTATGCTCAATGAGAAGAGTTTTCTCATCCGTATCAACAAATAGCAGTAGGGTGCTCCATTCATAAATCTATCTGATCATTTGACAGTGTCAGAGGAGCGCACTGTATCCTCCGAGATGACACCATGTTGTGAGGAACAATTGTAAGACGGCTAATGACTACACAGCCGTACAAATCCTCCGCAGAGAGTCTCGCTCCAGTGCCAGAAATCCTTAAAACCTCCGTGCAGAATTTTTCCAACAGCAGACATTACATGGCAGAATTTTAATAATCATTCTGTGTTCAGACAAAATGCAAAATCTCAGGGCGTACCAGACGTTCCAGCCTGGCACACCAGCGCAAACACATTTCCCACCACTTGACTGTGTCTTCGCTCAAAGCCTGCTGGCTGTGATGTGTGATCATGCATCACAGAGCTAATGTCTCCCCTGTGAGTCAGCCTCCCTCTACCTTGTCAGCCTCGGCTTCCCAGCCTTCATCGCCTGCCAGAGCACGACCACATGACGACTGGAGAGAGACTGTTGACTGTTCATTCAGTCGTCAGAGCCGAGCCGTGGAAATGCGTATGACTCCCTTTGAGGCCTATACACTAATGTTGACTTCAGTCGAACCATAATTCACATTAATTGATCTGGCTTAGTCTGTACTGTGGTGAGCTCTTTGGAAGGCAAGCTTACACTTAATTGCAGAACATAAAACAAACCCTGATCACTGGCATACGAATCAACATGAATTCATTAGAATATCTGTGTTTGTGCGATTAAAAAAAACGATACATGAAATGCTTAGATCAGTTTTAGTATCACAGCTAAATTGCCGCACATTTCTGTCACTTGCATTGTGTTCAACAGATTTGAGCGGAGGTTTGTGTGTGTGTGTCTGTGTCAGTGTGTGGGTGCATGCGTGCTGGTACTGCTCGCTCAGCGTTTGTACATGATCGGGGCTTTGTTGTGACCAGTGGGTTTTCTCTGTGAAGGGTGCTGCTCAGGGTCAGAATGCTCTACTACCTGAAACAAGAGGTGATAGGAAGCCAGGCCCAGAAGGTGCTGGATGGCGCAGACTCCAGGTGAGCTCAACTTTCACCTACTCAGACCTCACAATACACATCCTGTCCTGTACTTTGCCTTTTCTAACAGTTCTCTGTTGTTTTGCAACTCTACAAATTTATTCAACCAACACATTTCCAACAGCACAGAAGATAACACCTAACCCTCTTAATTCACAGACTTCCTTCTGATATGCACAGAAATGAGATGGATTAAGTAGCTTTAGTGCAACATCTCAAAGTTTTTTTTTTTGGAGAGAGTAAATTATTTTTGAGCATTTTTAAATCAGCTTAATGCAAAATGGCTCATTTTTCAGTTGGAGTGGCGAGGATGGTCACCAGCATCTGGTAACAACCTGTTGAAGGAAGAAATATCAGATCAGCTAAATTAAGAAGACGGTTGTAGAGCTCCACCTGCTGGTGGAAGTCTGTGATTTTTAAAGTCTTCTGCAGATAGACCGCATGGATGAAGAAGCTTTATTAAAATCAGGTCTCATAACAAACAAGCGCACAAACAAGAAGAAAGAGGCTGTTAGGATTTCACATTTCTTGTAATTGTTTTAGGACATTTAAACATTTTGGCTCCTGAATTTCATCGACAGTAATTTAACGCAGAAAACAGTTTGAAGTGAGTTTTTAGAAATTGCATGAGGTCTTTACAGTTAAATACTTCAATATACATAAACATTATAGTCTAGTTAGAAAACTGTATTTTCTTTGTTAAATGAAATGACCAAAATCTGAGGAGCTCTCTCTCCTTCAATCAAGAGCTGCTTGTCCCAGTTTCTATGCACAAATTTACTTCAGTTCATCTCATGCCTTGTTACAACAGAGGATCTGTGTCAAACTCAACTGCTGCTAGTGTGAGATATTCTCAAGTAAAAATCCTCCTCTGCCTCCCATCCATCAAGCTTTCTTCCTTTTCCTTTTTAGTGAGATAAAGATCTGGGTGCCAGAGCCCGACCATTCGGAGCTGCCAGCCTTGTGGTGGGATGCCATCTCTGACAAGTGTTTGCTGTTGGGCATCTTTAAGCATGGTAAGGGACCTCAGCGTTCACTCTGACTTGGTACTTTGAAAAAGTTTCTCAAAAGAGAAAACTCTGCGAGCTTTGCTGTACTTTCCAAGTGTCTGTGTTCACTTTCCAAAGGTGTAAAAGTCAATACTGGTGATAAAACATTGGCGTCTGTGTCTAACCTTGATGTTTTTTCTGGGACTAATAGCCATGAAAAATAAAAAGAGGGGAAAAACAGAAAATCTGGGTCCTTGGTGTGTTTGTGGGAAATCATCCAGCATGTATAGATATTCCTCTGTGCCTGTCCAAGAGTTCCCATGTTTTGTCATCCTCTAACTTTGTTTTTCACTCATCCTTGCGTGCTTACACAGGTTATGAGAAGTACAACACTATCCGTGCAGACCCAGCCCTGTGCTTCATAGAGCGCGTGGGGCGGCCGGATGAGAAGGCCATAGCTGCTGAGCAGAGAGGCAATGATTTCATGGATGGGTGAGTACAGGGTGCCAGTCCTGAGTCATTAAACTCTGTGTATGTCATTGTGCCGTGTTTATAATCAAAATCTTTAAAATCAGTGTCAGGTGGGTTGTCAAGTACAGAAAAATCACACAAACTCTGTATGTTTGTAGGGATGTAGATGATCCCGAGTACAAACCCGCCCCAGCTCTGCTGAAGGACGATATGGAGGTAATATCTCATGAAACCAAACTGACCCTAGTACACTCTGCAATATAAATATATACAGTATATATTTGTTTTTTTCATGATTGATTGTCTATCATTTAATCTTGACTTCCTCTAAACTAGTTTAACATTGCTAAACCTGAAATAAACTCCCTTTCTTCTCTTGCAGGATGACGCCTCTTCACCTGGAGACTTGGTTGTCACTGACAATGCTGGAGGTGAGATTAGATGCTCCTAATCCACAACAGATTATCATCACTTACATAAACATAGGCAGTCCTACAAGCATGGGACGATTTGGAGAAGTTCTGATATAGAAACTTGTAAATTTAAAGAATTAATTTTTTTCCTGCCTCTTGTATGTGATATGAGAAATCAAAGCAGTCGACTTGAATTCAGGGTGTCTAAGACTGTGTTACGCTCTGATCCAGATGCAGTTCCAGTGACGGGAGGTGAAACCATCTACTGGCCCTCATCCTCGGTGCTTACAGCCAGGCTGAGGCGTCTAATTACAGCCTCTCAGCGCTTCACAAAGAGCCGGCAAATCCTCCACATCCACCAGACTCAGTCTCAGTCCCAGCCCACCATGATACTGTCTGCTCCACTCTGCCCACTGCCTCCCACTCTCAACGACACTCTAAACCCCAAGATGGTGGCTAAGATTGAACGTCAGCAAAGGTAAGATCATAAGGAAATTCTGTATTCGATAAAGACACATGACAGACCTAGACTGGCTGGATAAGTGAATATAAAATACATGAATCTAAAAAGGTATACATTGTTGTACTTCTCCAGATGGACTAGGAGAGAAGAGGCCGACTTCTACCGTGTTGTCTCCACATTTGGCGTCGTCTTCGACCCAAGCCTGGGCCGGTTTGACTGGACCAAGTTCAGGGCGATGGCTCGGCTACACAAGAAGACTGACGAGAGCCTGCAGAAATACCTGTGTGCTTTTACCGCCATGTGCCGAAGGGTGTGTCGCCTACCACCCAAAGAGGGAGGTCAGCAATCTTCCAGCTTATTTACACACAAATACACTTAAATCGATTGTATTTCTCACAGTCAAAGAGAAAAAGGCTGAGCACTCAAATAATCATATCAAACTTAGTTTTTTCTTTGGCATCTTGCTAACTAATAGTAAGTTAATGACAAAATCATGACATTTGAGATGTGTAGAAATTAGGTGAAATCTAATTAGCTATTTTGAGTTTAAATGAATCAGGATCTGTTTAGAAATATTGTATATGAATAGGTTTTCATGAGCATATGTTGTGATTCGATGCATCATATTGCTTTTAGAAAGATATGAATAGTTGAGTTTCAGTTAAGGAAGTTTTCTGCCTCCATTTCTACTTTGTGTGACTTTACCCTAAAAGAGGGAGGTTTGTCCTTAAAAAATACTGGCTCAATAGTCCAGAGGTAGAAAGATTGACAAGGTTAATCATTTGCTAAAGGCAAACAGTACGATGTTGAAACTCCAGGCGCAAACAGGTCTTTGGATTCAGCCTGTAGAGAAGCTTCTGTTTCCTGGAGCTCACTTTCTTTTTTCCTTTTTGTCTCAGACTCTGCTGTGGACCCGTCTCTGACCATCCAGCCCATCACAGAGGAGCGAGCGTCTCGTACACTGTACCGAGTAGAACTTCTCCGCCAGGTGAGGGAGCAGGTCCTCCGCCATTCGCTGCTCTACGAGCGCCTGCCACTGTGCCAGATGAGCTCTGACTTACCCGTGTGGTGGGAGGCAGGCACTCATGACCGCGACCTACTAGTAGGCGCAGCCAAACATGGTGTCAGCCGCACCGATTACCACATTTTGAGAGATCCTGAACTCAGCTTCATGGCCGCCCAACGCAACTACAGCCAAACAAAAACGACGCAGCAGCAGTCGCGCACACCCACCCCACTTCTGCACAGTCAAAGCCAGACCAGCAGCTCAGCGTTGACAGGTTCACCACTGCCACCACCTGCCCAGAGAGACACGGAGCCAGGTTTGGTTGTGCCCAAAGTGGAACCAGCCTCAGAGGGTGAGGAAGGCAGGGAGAAGCCTGGAGAGAGCTGGAGTCCCTCTCAAGCACCAGCTACTCCCACAGGCCTGGAGGAGAAGCCCATTACCGAGGCAAAGGACAGCGAGAAGAAGATGGTGGCGGCACGAACCAAACCTCTCACACCAAACTCCTCGGAGAGGAAACCCAAGAAGTCCAGCAAGAGAGGGCGCAGGGAGGCGAGGAGAGGCTCAGAGTCCGACTCGGATGGCTCCTCCTCAAGTTCCTCATCGCGCTCCTCCTCCTCTTCATCATCCTCATCTTCTTCCTCATCACATTCTGGGTCCAGCTCCTCCTCCTCTTCTTCATCTTGCTCTTCTGGGTCTTCATCATCATCATCATCATCTTCATCCTCTTCTGATGACAGCGATAGTGAAGGAGAAGAAGGAAAGAAGAAAGGTGAGGACTTCTGATCCTTCTAATGTGCAGATTTCAAAACACACCTGTGTTATCCTTATTTCATTCTCAGTGTGGGCATGTTCGTTTGCAAATAGAAAAACAAAGTATAGGTAACCTGATATCTTTGCCTTTTATTCCCGCTGCTGTGTCCTGTTCATGTGCACACTGCTTCTAATCTCTTTCTCCATCCTGTCACATCCTCAGTGCCTGCAGCAACGAGTGTGAAGGGCTTTGATGAGGACAGTGTGGCGTCTCTGAGCACGACACAGGATGAAACACAAGATACTCACATGGCGGAGAACGGCATCAACAACTCCTCACATCCTTTCCAGGGAGGGGGCTACATGCTCGCTGCCTCCTACTGGCCAAAGGTAACGTCCTATTTGATATCTCCTCGCTTGTAGTACAAACAACACTTTTAAAACAAACAACGTATGATTTCTTGGTTTTAACTCAACTTTTGGACATGAAGAAGTGACTACGAGAATCATGATAACCATAACAAAAGAAGGTGATGAAAAAGCGAGAATCTCAGTAGGCCTTCATACAGGCCTCCGTGTGGGGCCATACTTTTGATTTTCAGAAAATACAAAGTTTAGCTTTTCTCTATCTCTCTCTGTCTCTCGACCCTAAATTCATCAAAACCTAGATTAACCCTATTCCTGTGGTAGGGATTGCACCAACCCATTTTTGATTTTAAATTCTTAAAAGAACCACTTAAATGAGCTTTTTTGCATCAAGACTTTTTGACTTTGTCAGGAACCTTTGACGAACCTCTGACCTCGGTGTGAGGGTATACTGACAAAGAAAGGCCCAGAGGCCCACTACAAAAATATTATAAGCAGTATTTTCATGGATAATGAAGCCTAACAAGGTAACCTTGGGATGAGAACCAAATTGGATGATAGAAAATTGCCTTTAGTGTAATTTACAGATGATTTTAGACACGGGTCAAAACCGAACCTGAACATGGTGGGTGCGTAGTGAAAGCTAGCACAGGAGGAAGGTTAAATGAAACAACTGAAGATTGTTCCTTCATTAGTCAACTTTGTCTCTGTTTGTCTGTATTTATTCAAGTATTCAGAGGTGTTATGATCTTCTCACAATTACAATCATCGCATGTTCTAAGAGTCTGAACGTGCTGATAGTCATTCGCTGTTTCTTCAGGATCGTGTGATCATCAACCGCCTGGACAGCATCTGCCAGGCAGTGCTAAAGGGCAAGTGGCCAGGAACACGCCGGGTGTACGAGCCCGGAGGTGCGGTGGCTTCCTTCTACACCACCAAGCTGTTGGACAACGCCAACAGCCTGTGCGAGGACCCCTCTGCCTCACCACAGGGGTCAAAGGTGACCAAGCATGTTGCAGAAAACAAGGAGTTCTCAGTAAAACTGAACGATGTATGTTGATTTCTCCCTTATTCCCCTCCTCCTCTTCCTCCTCCCCTGCTTCGCCCTAATCCTAGGACCCTACCACTTCTGCTGCCATGACTGGTGTTAGCTGCCGTGTTCAGCATGTTTCACTGGTTTTTCTTCCTTCTTTCCTTTGGGTATGATTAGTGGTTTTGACTGCCTGGCAGGAGGAGAGATTAATTTAATAACAGCCTTCCTCTCTTTTCCCACACACTCAATTTGAATCGGGCTCTGAGGCTGTGATTACATGAGCACAAATCACTCAGTCATGAGAACATAATGAGTTCATTTTGGAGCCTCTCTTTACTGAAGGGGTCGTGCTTATAATCTGATTGAAATGGAGCCCTCGTCTGTGGGTGTTTTCAAGTATGCACCGAGGCATGTGGCCATTAACTTGACAGGCTTCAGATTTGCTTCATTTATTTCTTTGATTTTTTTATTTCTATTTGAAGGTATAATTTGGGAAAAGATCATTTTCAAACACTTGCTGCTTGTTACCTTTAAAACCTTAAAAGCTGACAGCAGCTATCTCTTCAGCATGGCTTCCCAATTCAGTCCAAACAATGACTAGACTAAACCCGCTGCCCTGCTAGCCACTCCCCGTTCTTGTGTCCGTGTGTCCCAATATTACTAACACGAAAATAACCCAAAATGTTCTCTTCATGTGAACAACATGTCAATAAATAATGCCTTTAAAGAGGAGTGAAGGAGTATCTTCCCAAAGTGTAAGCAACATAAAAAATAACACTTAATCTATGGTCCTTAAATCTCTGAAGAGATGAACAGGCAGTGAGAGCGGTCAGCAGCCTAAGGAGGAGTTTTTAAAATTTGCAAAGGTTTCTCCTTGTTTACCTTAATTTCTTCCTCCTGGATTATTCCCCTCCCTCTACATGCCTAACATCTTTGTTTTCGATGGGTAACAGGAGGGAGGTCTGAAGCTGACCTTCCAGAAACAAGGTCTACCTCTGAAGAGGCCCCTGGAGTCGGAGGAGGGTCCCCAGGCCCAGCAGCAGTACCTGGCCCGGCTTCATGAGCTGCAGAGTGCCTCAGACACAGGCCTGGCCGACATCACCAAGCCTCAGTGCAGCTTTCAAGCTGGTATGTTTGATTGAAACGCTGAAGAAGCTTAAAAGACCTGTGCGACATAGAATGTGTTGATCCCATTGTTAAGCTGCAGGTCGACTGCTCCACTAGGTGGCAGCAAAAGGTAGTTTCCAGGATAGAAAACATGGATGAAATTTCTCATCTTCTTTGGCCTTGCCGGCCTTAATTACACATGTTTTAAAAAACTGTTTAGTCTAAAAAACAAACTTATTAGGCCTGGAGTGAAAATCTAAACAGGTTTGGCTGAATGTCCTTAAAATTTAAGACAATGTATCTCAAAGATCCATCATGTTATTGAGTATCAGCAAAAGCGTTCAAAGTAGATCAGAACTGATTGGCTGTTTTTTTTCTGCAGCACCTCCAGATCTTACCGGTCAGATGAGGCTAAACGGGGTACTGGATGGTCAGCCGGTGGTGAAGAGGAGAAGAGGAAGGAGGAAGAATGTGGAGGGGATGGACCTGCTCTTCATGAATAGGAATCGGGTTCCTGCTGTTTCTGATCAGGTAACCTGTTGTCTTTTCTTCTATTTGATTAAAACAACAGCTCCTTACACAGGTGTATTTATAATTCTGTGTTTGGTGTTTAATAATGTGTACAATGAATAATATCAATGATTGTAATGTATCACCTATAATAATGAATGTGGTCATACTAAACATGAACGGCTCTTCGGTCTCTGTCTCTTTAGGTGCCTCCTGGCTGGGGCGGTATTGGCCAGGTGGGCATGGCTGTGGCCGCTATGCCAGGCTTTAGCCAGAGCTCCAACCAGGTCCCAGGGGACATCGACAGCAGAGTCCCCGTCATCAACCTCAAAGATGGCACACGGCTTGCTGGGGACGACGCTCCAAAGAGGAAGGATCTAGATCTGTGGCTGAAAGAGCATCCCGGCTTTGTGGCAGACACAGGAGCCTTCATCCCTGTGAGTGCTTTTGTTTGTTTGTCTGTTTCCTTCCCTCATCTTTAAGGTTTCTGTTGTGTGACAGGAAGGACTTTTTGTGATGGTTATTAAAGAGGTGTGTTTTACTCATCAGTCAAGGATTCGAAATGATTTGCGATAACTGACTTAAACATGCAGTAAATATGCTTTCTGTTTAGAGGGATGATTAGCATATTTTAAAGCAGGTATAAAGCAGGGCTTCCCAATCAATTCAACAGTGTTACTTTAACAGAACTTTTCTTCCATTTCCCTTCCAGGGGGTAAATAAGATGCAGATGCAGTTCCACTTCCAGGATGGTCGGCCTAAGCAGAAGAGGCACCGCTGCAGGAACCCCAACAAGATAGACGTTAACAGCCTGACAGGAGAAGAAAGGGTCCAGATTATCAACAGGAGAAATGCACGCAAGGTTTGTTTGTGTCTGTGGGAATGCTTTCACTGTGATTTAAAAAAAACAACAACGCTACTTTTGCTTTTTCCAAGTGACAATTTGTAAAATGTGCATTTTACACATTGTTTTGCACATTGGTTTTATGTTACCTTCAATCTGCCCTACAGGTTGGTGGAGCCTTCGCTCCTCCTTTGAAGGATCTGTGCCGGTTCCTTCAGGAGAATCCTGAGTACGGAGTTCCACCTGAGTGGGCTGATGTTGTCAAACAGTCGGTGAGTCAAAAGTAACAAGTCCAGCGTATCGAAACTTTTAAAGAAACTAGTTTATCAAAGAAAGATCATAACAAATCAGAATAACAGGATAATAACATCAACATAACAGAACCCAAATAAACGGGTCAGACATGTAAAATGTATCTTTTACAGTTTTATACTGTGTTCTATATCATTAGCAGTGAAGACTTGTGTTCATCTCTGCTGCAGCACTAAGTCCAATCATGTTGTCCATGTGTTCTCCAGGGTTACCTTCCAGAGAGCATGTTTGACAGGATCCTAACAGGACCCATTGTACCTGAGGAGGTGAGTCGACGTGGACGTCGTCCTAAGAATCCTCTGGCCAAGGCAGCAGCAGCTGCAGCCGCTGCAGCTGCAGCAGCGCCAAACCCCGCAGCCTCAGCCTTGGGTCTGAACCCTCTGCTGGCCAATGGCCTCCTCTCTGGAATGGACCTGACCAGCCTGCAGGCCTTCCAGCAAAACCTCCAGAGCTTGCAGTCCCTACAGCTGACTGCGGGCCTAATGGGGCTGCCGTCTGATGCCAGCAACCTGGCTGCAAGTAACCTGGCTGCCATGTTTCCCATGATGCTCTCTGGTATGGCTGGAATCCCAAACCTCATTGGCATGAGCAGCTTATTAGGGAAGCCCGTTCAGGAGGGAGCCGGGGGCTCTGAAGATGTGACAAAGGGAATCATCAGCAGTGTTACAGGAGAGCCGTCAGCCTCTAAAGTCCCCTCTCACACCTCAGACACCAAAGGAGAAAGGACAGAGGGCTCAAACACCACTCCTTCCTCCACTTCCAGCTCCTCTTCCTCGGCCACCGCCCCACAAAGTGCTTCAGCTGCTTCTGCAGCCTCCAGTCACCCACTGTCTCTTAACCCCTTGTTACTCTCCAGTATGCTTTACCCAGGGATGCTTCTCACTCCAGGCCTTAACCTTCCTGTGTCTGCCACACAGCCGCAGAGCTCAAACAGTGACCCCACCCCTCCTCCTCCTCCCCCTCCTCAGCCTGCAGCCGCCCAGTCATTGCCACAGGAGACAGAGGTGCCGGCAGCAGGGAAGGATGGAGAGGAGGAGGATGAGGAGTTAGAGGAAGCTTTGGACGAAGATGAAGAAGAGGAATCAGCAGAGCAAAAAGAGAACAGTGGTCCGGAAGGTTCAGGAAAAGCCGAGTCATCTTCATCAGAATCGGGGAGCTCTTCTTCTTCGTCGGATGATTCAGACTCCAGTGATGAGGACTGACCCTCTGAATATATAATTATAGATTTATTTATGTATTGCCTAGAAATGTATACATATATTCACATATATATATGGATTTTCCAGCACTTATGTTGCGATTTCTTTACATGTAAATACAAGAACTAACTAAAATGTTGTGTAATAAAGACTACAAAAACGAAAAAAAAAAAAAAAAAAAACTGACTTAAGATACTGAAATAAGATTTCAGTTCTTGTTCAATGGTACAGTCTTGTTTTGAGACATTTTGCATGTCAGACTTTAGTAGGTTTCTGAACTCTGTGAACTTGTACCACGCGATTATGTACAATTGCAACAAAAAAAGGCATTATTGTAATTATGTCAGGATTTAATTTTATTAAAAAAGTGAAACTACATCAACATGCTCACTGAGCTGTACTATTAATATATTTTGATTGTCAGGGGTTGGGAGAATGAGACTTGACAAACACTTTAGTTTCTCTTGTACATAGTAAGGACTTATACAGGTTTGTTGACACTTATGCTTTGCAGATCATACATTGGATATGTCAGCAATAACTTGGGCAGCTAATGAATGTCACTGAAGCTGTAGATCCTCTGTCTGCCATGTTTCAACCCAGTGCACAACTCAACCTCACTTTCTTTCATATCACGTTGGTGAATTAGTTTCTACATTTGTTCACATCCTCTTTTAGGAAACAGAATTGCCTGAAGCTCCCTCTGACACAGCTTCAAAAATAGAGGGAAATCTGTACAAGTATTACTTTCTTTCAACAAACAAGACAAGCTTGAATCCCTCAAGGTGGATCAAAAATGTAGTTTTCAGCTGTGATTTATTCTTTAAGTTAGTTCTCACGTGGATATCTCATTTTAGAAACTCGTTATTTTCACCATCACCTTAAGAATATGTCAGAAGTCCGAGGCGCACTTTAGCTTCTCACTGGAAGCTTACACCGTTCACTTGCACATCAGTTGATTTTGACTACAGTGTCTCATTAACTCCTCAAGCTGTGGGGACAGAAAACAACCTTATACTGTGTGCCAAAAACTGCCCTTTGACCTGTTTTGGTCCTGACAGAGTTTAGTGGTTTCTCTCTCATGGATATTATTACTACAGCCCCGCCGTATTTGACTGCATCTTACCTCGACTGTGCTAAAATAATTGGCTTCACTGTGCTGATTTACTTGTCCATGGGTGTGTCTTCTGCTGTCCATGTACATGAAGTCTTACTCTGCTAAAATGTCAATCTGAGAGGCCATTTTGCTTTCTTTTTTTCATACTACGAGCTTCCACTGTGCTGACGTCTGTGGCTGGACTGCTCCTCTCATCTAGTTTCTACTGCTTCCACAACTTTTCAGTCTGAATGTTGTCTCGAAATTAGGGGGCCTTGCGAGCCAGTAGAAACTACAGTACCAATGTTTTGAATTCAGTCTGCAAATTCAGTCCCTTTTTGGATTCTGCTTTGCATGTTCGCCTGTCTACCAAAGTCTTACAGAACACACAGCACAAAAATAGTTCAAATCTTGCCTAAGACTGTGGTGATTGTCATTGGATGAAGGTGAAATTTGGCAGTGCCAGACAGGCTCATTTCTGGAAAGGTGAAGTATTGGCAGCAGCTTGTGTTGCTGGGAGTTTGCAGCTTGATGTAATCGTTTCACTCAGTGCTTGACTGTGTTTTGAAAATGAATGGAGCTTCAGCTAGGTGTAGAAGTGCCCTTATCCTGTACCTCGCTCTATTGTTCTTCTTCCGTCTGACAAACAGACAGCTCAGATTTGTTCTAAGTGTCCACGTGTGTGCATTTTGTTTCACTTAGTGCTCGGCTGTGTTTGTCGTTTCGTTCATCATTATCATCTCTACTCATGTCAATGTTCAGCTGTAACCAGGATACACACAAACACTCAAGCCGAAGTACCTTTTTGTAACCTTCTCGAGCACAACAGTGCTTGCTCTAGGACTGCTGTTACACAGTGGACTGTTAGATACACTTTTCAGAATACTTTCAGAGGTTCAGGTTTGTGTTTGGACTCAGAGCGCCCCCCCCTCTCCTTCCCCAGTGTTGGCAAACCTCCACTGACTTAACTCAGTCTGTTTAGTTCTTAAGTACTGCTGTAGCATCTTATCTGGAGTGGCTGAAGACATGTCTGATCTCTAATGTTGCTTTAAGCAGTTTTCTTGTATGCCTGTTATTTAGACCTCCTCATGGGTTATGCTTGCAATGCAATGTCATTTTTTGATATTATTACTAACAGTACAGTATTTTTCTATGTCTGAGCAGTGAACTTAAACACACCACTGTCATTTTTGTATATCTGCACCCCTGTTCTCTTTAAACTTGTAGTGCCCTTATGCAAAGCATCCAGCCATCGCTATACTTCCGCTGTAGGTGATCTGATGACTTTTGCTCCATTTTTTTTGTTTTGTTTGTGTTGCTCTGCTGCGATGTGTTGATGGATTTAAGACTGCTAAATCTCTAAAGGACACAAATGGAAATAATGTTAAATGTAAGATTGGACTTTTTTCCTTTAATTTTGCCTACTTTCTTTCTTATGTTGTACTGTACGATGACTCTCAAAACATTGCAAGTGTTAGAGGGGCAATGTTGAATCAGACAAAAGTAAAAGGATGACCAATATGCAAGAGGAAAGACAAAAACACACTACTGCTGTACAGGGAGGTTTTCTTCAGTTTGCATACATGTAATCACTGAGATGACGAAACTAGCATCATTGGTTTGTATTTTTATTTCAGGCTTGATAATATCCTAAATGTCACCCTGGTCAGTTTTTGTCTTGTTTATTTTATTTTTTTTCATTGGACAGTTGTAATAATTGCAAGTTGTGGTCTGTGTAGTCAAAATAATTCTTTATGTAGTGCAGGACAACTTGTCTTTAAAAGTCATTTGTAATTTATTGGATTACTTTCTATGAAGTTCTATAGAGGAAATTGAGGTTTAATTATTTTTATTAAACATATTCTTCTGACTATCAAGAAGTGTGCCTTTGCCTGTTGCTTCTAGAGGGCCCAGTCATATTCAAAAAATTACATACATGTATAGTATATGAGTGTCTTTTCTTCCCACTTGTGTGCATCCTGTATGCCTAGCAATTTGCTTCACAATCTACAAGTGAAATCAGATTCTTGAAAACACTTACCACTTAGTTATAAGTGAACTGGTTATAAGTACAACTATAAGTGTCTAGTTGGAATTACGATTATTAAACCCTGAACTAATAACCTTGTAACCAAAGGGCCAGGCTATAAAATATAGAGGACAATAGGGGAGAGTGGGGTAAGTTGAGCCACCCCCTGTTGCTTGGAAATGGTAAAATGTGACCAAATATTTAGGAGATGGGCATCAATTCATGGAGTTTGTGAAGGTTAGAAGCACATGGGTGAAGGGGTTAGACATTTATTTACAAAAAAACATTTTTCACTCTTGAAAGTAAATTTAGTCTGCTTTATTAGAATTGTGTTCAGACCAAAATATGAGGTCAAAAACCTAGCATAAAAGTCCACCATTTTAGTTAATAAAGTCATAATAGTAGTTCTGCGGCTGATGAGAGGATCAGAGTTTCAGTTCAGATTGTTGAAATGTTTTACTGTTTCTTTTCAAAAATACAGCTGTGAATGTTCTGAGTCAGTTAAAGACATTCTCATGTTAAAATGACTTTTTACAAAACAGCTTTTTAACATTTATATGCAATAATAATAAGAGTTATTGTACCAGTTGAATAGCGTATAATAGATACAAAATACACATGAATGTGAAGAAGTGACTGTTATTTAGGGAGAGAGAAGGTGAGAGTGGGGGGTGGTAGGGATACTGCTCAACTTACCCCGCTCCTATGGTCAACTTACCCCATACATGGAGTAAGTTGACCATAGGAGACCACTTTTCTTTTGGCATACTATATTATCAAGACAGTCATGTTTACACTCATTCTGTTGTTTGCAGGGATGCACAGCATCTTGAAATATATGCAGATTCACTAGTTAGAGACAAAACTATGATTGCCTTGATGTAGTGATCCGAAATATGAAAAATGGCTCATCTTACCCCACTCTCCCCTATTACTTAGTTATTAGTGAACTGGTTATAAGTAAAATTATTTGTATATAGTTGGAATTACTATAATTGAACTCTAAACTAATCAGCTTGTAACCAAAGGGCCAGGTGTGGTCAAAACAACAGCGGCAGATGTAACCTACACAAACACCATATAGCAATGTAAAATAACATCCTCTGAACCCTGATTAAGTAACAAACTGTGAGAAAAAACACACTTAAAAAAATAAGACAATTAGCATACAAGACACTAAGCTAACTTTAAAGAGCCACGCTCTTTTTCGGTGCATTGCGCTCATTGGTCTGTGTGTAGTGTTGTTTCGTTCGCGAACGATTCCTTCAAAAGAACCGAATCTTTTAAGTGACGTACCAAACCGAATCCCCTTCTCGAGTGATTCGTTTGTTTCTCACTTCAGTTGAGCTGAAGTGAGAAACAGCATTGCCAGTCGAGCAACCGGCGAACGAGGGACCACATGCACTGACACCTGAATCACTTGGTGAACGAATCACGCATTGACCTACACTCTCTGGAATCATTTTTGTCACACAAAATTACCTTCTTTTTTTTACTGCTAAATTGCCACCACAACAACTTGCATACAGTAGGACACAGCATGTAACAAGTAGTGCATTGGACCCGCAGCATCCTATCATTGCAGCTGTTTGCAAGGCAACGGTGCATGTTCAGTGTGTATTCATCTAAACGTTCAGTGAACGAATCACTCATTGAGCCCAATTTACTGAGCAGACCTGATAAATAGCGTACCACTTAGAACATCATGACTTATAAACAAGTTCAAAATTACAAACCTGTTTGCCAAAGCAACACAGCCAAACACTTGTGTCCCCCAGTCCCAGAAGCTATGAATTGAACTGAATCCTGAACCGTTCAGCTGTGTATCAGTTCAGGAGGTCGGAGTCGCAGGCTTCTCCTGCCAAGCGCTACGTGATTCAGTGATTTGGTGAACGAATCTTTTTAGTTAACTGATTCTAGTGATTCAGTTCATCTAAAAGAACTGCCGTGCCCATCATCATGCGTGTGCAATACTTCCTCATTTTTCAGCCAATCAAATCACGCGCTTACGGTGATGCGTTGGCGCTTGTTGATGTCAGCTGGTAACAGTGGCGCGGGAAAACTTCCTCCGTGTGTGAAGACATTTTAAAGCTCCGGACTGTACGGGAGTATATCTCCGTCGCTGCCACCCACAAACAATAGACATTTGGGGATTGTTTTGACTATAAGATCCATCTGACACCGCTGACAAGGTTCGTATGTCACTGAAAGACGGCTTAATGTGAGTTTTGTTGAGCTTTATTCGAGTTAGAGCTGTCAAAATAAACACGTCAGCTGTTGCTCATGCTGCTATTAATCGATTATTGACTCTTATAGTGATAGTAATAGAATGATAAATGAGGTTTTTGTAATTGTTTTAAAAATCACATATTATTTACGCCTCTAAAAACTCTTATATTATCTAAGTGTTTTTAAATGGTCTAAACACGTGACATAAAGTGAAAGTAGGGTCCCTTTAAGGGCGCTTGTATCAGTGAAGGGTGGAAGAAAACAGTCTACATTTCCGTCAGGGGCAGCTACAGAAAAACCAAATTTATGAATCAGGCTTGACAAGATCTAGTACACCGGTATACTAAATTTAGTGAAAAAGTGGTTACATGTATTTGAATCTTTTAAACTGACTTAAGTGTGTATTTGTTTGTATTAAATGATCAAAGTCAACGTTACTGTCATTAAAGGCTCAAAGTCTGTTACTTCAGGGGGAGGCAAGGAAAGGGAAAGTACTTGTTGGTTGTTTCATTTTAGTGCAAACAGTACCTACAGAATAGAAATTATTATATTGATGAATACATGCAACAAAACATTATTAATGTGTTATATTCATTTTATTAATACTATGATTACTTTATTAATTCTATTAACTACCAGGATTTTCTGAGCTGTTATCATGTTTACGTAGTGTTAAATCAAAAGCACCATAGAGTTTAACACAGTCAGAAGGAATGGCATTGAAAATATTGAGGGTGTTTGAGGTCATACTTCATCATAAATCATACTGAAGCAGTGACATTTATCTAGGAATGGGCATTTCCAATAACCTCTTGTTCAAATGATTAAATTGCTTTATAAATGAGTAATCAAGTACTTGCAATTGATAAACTTTTTACCACACGTTAAAACCTCCCACACGTCATTTTTCCTGGTCACAGCTGACACAGTGCATGTTCCTGTAAACAATACTTGAACTAAGAACAACGTAGGTGTGAGTAGTTTCACAATCCTTGAGTAATGACGGTAACAATAATTCAAAATGTAGAAAACAGCAGTGACATTATAACTGAGTCTGAGCTCCTAAGCCTGTGACTGATTTTGAGGGAACCTGTGAATCAGTTTGATTTCTGCTTGGGCGGTTATTCTGTTTGTGTTTATGTTTGTGTAGGTCATCATGGCAGCTGAGCCTGAGAGCAACCACGACAGGCCAAGGTCTGGCCCCAGTGAGCGCCTGACCTCTATGCTCAGGTAAATAGGATTTTGTCTTTTTGTTGTACAGGATCATAGAGGCAACTTTTTTTTACAGTGCTGCTAATACAGAGAGTTACAAAAAAACATTCTAGTACATGGATATTGCATCTTAGGTTATTTATTACTTATCATAAGAAAGGCTTCAACTGTGTTTAACATTTAAAGTTTTTGCATCCTCCTTTACATGTTTACTAACCAACAAACCCATGCTTATTTAACAGCTGTGCTAATATGTTGTTTCTGGTCAAGGGGATGCTCTGACCAAGATCAAACCGAGAGGATTCAGACAAGATTGAGATGTATGCTCCAGGAATTCCTGCAACACCACAGGGACGAGGCAGAAAATGAGAGCGCCAACGGTAGGCTCACATATTTGATGACTCATACACGGTTGTGCAGGACAGGTGATCATGCTGTTCCCTAATTTATCTCCTGTTTTTATGTTCGCAGTCATTGGACACACAAACCCAATGACACACACACACATAAGGTTAATTATTTGCTGGCTACATCACAAACAACAGCACTCCTTATGCTTATGTCATATTGTGTCATACAGTATATATATATATATATTTTTTTTTACACAGGTATAGGATTCTGAAATAATTCTCTTGTGTTTACATATTTTACATATAACCTGTGTGATATTGTTCTCAGAGTTGGCAAGTGAATGTTGTCGTCAAGCTGGGATTTGGTATTACATGATGCTGGAGGAGCTTGCCATTCAAGAGAGTGAAAGGCTGGGCACCAATGGCATCTTGGTGAGTGCACTGCCCTCCTGTGGTTAAAACTGTAGCTGCTGTCTAATGAAAAGCAGTCAAGTCTTTTGATTTGATTTGAAATGCTTATTTTGAACATATGTGTGTCACACAACAAAGTAATCTGAAAACGAACAAAAAAACAAAACCAACAAGAATATTTAAAACAACAATAACAATAGTTACAGCAAAAGAAAATAATAATAATAATAATGTGAACACAACATGTCCAAACTCTATGAGCAACGACTGGGAGACAAGAATCACATTATGTTCCCTATCTAAGGTTTTTGGTCACCTTTAATTTTTTTAATTCGAAGCATTTTGAAATGTTTTGTTTTTGTGTGTTTGTGCTTGTTTTTGTCACAGGGCTTCCTGAGTAATGAACGTTGCCAGCGCTGTCTCATTGCCTGTTGTCTTGGGATCTCCATATCATCAAACAATCTACCCTATGAATTCCTTAAGCTGCTTGAGCTCTTCAGCCTGGCACCATACCACTTCAGAAATGTTTGTTTTTAAACCTATTTGCCATAAATTTATTCTTAGAGTAGGTTTGCTCGTGTTTGCATGTTCCTGGACATTTAGTGAGACATGCATGTTGTCTATATAAGCAAAGCAAATTTGCACATCCAAGACCTGTAGATATCAAATGTGGTTTGATTTACCAATTAGAATGTCAGTTCAGTCTTAAATTAGCTGTTTTATTTTTGTTGTTGACAGCATTTCTTTAAATGTTTATGTTTCTAAATGCTGTGGTTTTTCATTACAGCAGCATTTAACATTAACGTTTTCATTTTAAGGCTTTACATAACCTTCCTCACAGTTTTAATGTGTTTTAAAGGCTGTTAACAACTCTCCAATCAAAATAGGTATTGAATAACAAACCACCCCTCCTTCCTTCATGTTGTTTTTCTTTGGTCTGACAGGTGATAGAGCCTGTGTTCCGGGCTGTAAAGCGCCTGCCTTCGACTTCTTTTAAATACCTTTCCCAACTGGAGGATAAAATTCTGGAGAGCTTGGCTTGGACCAGTGCTTCACCACTATGGGAGGAAATAAGAGCCAGCGGGGGCCATTTTCCATCCAACCAACAGGTGTCCAATTAATCGCATAGAAACACATTTAATCAGCACCAAAAGCTGTCCAAAGCCCCTCCTACTGACAAACCCTGAACATTTCCTCTCCTCTCCTTTACTGAAATGTAAAAAAATTGGCCTTCACACGCTTTTCCCAACAAACCCAGCTGCAGAAAATATAACACGTGCATCTGCTCTGGATGATAATTGTATCATTACACCTCTGCACCTCTGTCCATGTGCACATGTACATAACAGATTGAGATCCAATATTAGCGGAAACTTGTGCATGACAAGTGCTCATAGCTGCAAGGTCTTTTACGGACTTAAATGAAAAATACTACCACACGGCAGACATCACTCTGACTACTTGCAGCTTTGTCAGTACATTAGCACACACTTTTTTGATCAGATGTTGTGAGCTCTGCCTGCTGGATCTGGACACTGCTGAATAGAAGTACTGAAGCAGAGTCTGGAATAAACAGCTTGTATCTAAGTGCTTATATCAGAGGTTTAAGATGCAGGGCGTTATAATCTGATATTTGTTTTTTGCGGATATCAGACCAATATACGATATCAGTATCAGACTGAGACACCCCTACTTACTACAGTCACAGTTGCAAAGGTAAAAGGGCATTCATCTCTGGACTTCTTTTTGCATTTTAACACAAAATGTAGCCACTTTTTTTTGCAGAATCTCCTACTTTGAATACTTTGAATTTGGCTTTTTGTAAGCTTGGCAGTTGTGTTTAATAGGCCAAAGGAGCAAACTGCTTTATCTTTTAGACTTTTCTTATTAAGATCTAAATAAAACACATAATTACAGTTAAAGTTACAATCATAGGTTGTTATCAAAGAATCAAATGTTTGCAGTTTTTAATGAGGGTTTGTGTCTCACACAGGTGATGTTTCGTAACAGCCATGAAGACCCAAGTAGTACTGATTTGCAACCTGAGGGACACCTACCAGAAGGTATAAAGCAGAGTTCACCAGCTTCTGTCTGATTACACTGAACCTCAAGGATTCTTGTTGTTTATTGACTGGTCACCTTTGTTTTCACTAGTTTCTGCAAACCCAGACCAGCAGCCTTGCACATCAACTGAAAACGGGCCAAAGAGAAACACATCCCTCACAGTGTTTGCTCGAAAGGTCAGTTATTGTACCAACATTTCACATTTTCTTATAGTGCAAATGAAAGGCCTGTCGTGTGGCTCCAGAATATGTGTCTTCTTTGATCATTACTTTACAACTTCTCTATCAAGGCACTAAAGTTTACTGATTCTTGCTGTTGTATTCATCATGTCTTGAACTGTTCTGCTCCTTTTTTAGTCTCAGTCCCCTGTTATAGCATGTGACCCCAAGTCTGATGATTGTGTTTCTTCTTCGTGTTAGGTTTACTTGCTGATGGACCAGCGTCTGAAGACCCAGTTTTCCACACTGGCCATCTCTGAAGAGCTGCAGTCAAAGATATGGACCTGTTTTGAGCACTCTCTGGTCAACTTCGCAGACATTATGGTGGACCGTCACCTGGATCAGTTGCTCATGTGTGCCATCTTCATCATAGCTCAGGTGGGCTGACGTATATTATATATGATTTATGCAATATTTAATGATCATTTCTTAATCTGGTGTGTGTTCAGACACAAATATTTACTTCTTTGAAAATAAAAAATTCAGGACTAACCATCATTATTAGCAGGATGTTGCGAGGTGTCTTTTTTTATAAACTGTTTGCTTGATGAAGGTCTCAGACTAAAATGTTGCTGGTTAATTAGATGGTATATGGGAATTTGACATTTTTTTTAACATTTCATATCTACACCTCTCCTACAAAATAGATATGCTGTGCTTTTTTTCCCTCTTTTGGTCAGAAATAAGGTAATGCATGTAACTATAGGGGTGTCATTATAGTTCAAGAATAAGCCTCATATATCCATATATAGCAGCTTGCGTTGTCACCTCAGCTGTTGCAGGTTCATCCTCTGACCTTTACCCTTTTGATGCATGTTTCCCCCATCTCTTCACTGAATGTTTCTTATGAAGTTGCAACAAAATTGACTTATTTAAAATGTTACTATTTTTTTGATTGCTTTTCCCTCTCCCATGGCATAAACCAAGACTTGCTAAGTAAGGTAATTGGGCTCTTGTAATCAGAAATCATAGTAAACCCTTTTGTTAATTATTTACTAATGGAATGTGCGTTGCCTTTACAGGTTACTGGTGAAGAGATACTCTTCAAAAACATCGAAAGATGCTACATTGATCAGCCACTTACCAGCAGAAGTGTATGTGTTATACATTTATTCATTCATATATTCCTTCCTTTGTGTTGGGTAAAACTGACGGACAGAACAACCCTGTCTCATCCACATTCGTTAATCAGTCATATTTGACATGTAAACAAAATTTTACATAAATATTATATGTTATTTCTAGTCTAGGATGACACTTGACTGTAAATTGACCAAGTATTGAAAGAGAGTTTTAATGATATAGCTGAGTAACACAGACATTTCCTGTTTTCAGGTCTGTACTGATGTGCTGATTTCAAGAGGAAACACCGCAGATTCCCTCACTGAAAACAGAAGTAAGAAAACTTTGTAAAATATAAAGTAATAGTAAAAATATGTTCACATGTTTACATGTGCACTGTGTACACTTTGAACAAACAGCGTGACACTATGACTCACCCTCAGTTCCTTAAGATAACAAATGGGTAAGGTTAGTTTGCAGTAATATAAAGTCATGTAGTGTTTAACATTTTAATTTGTTCAAAACATGCATGTGTATATAAATGTGTTAATGTACATGTCTTTATTGATATTACTCATTACATAGTTATAATGTGACTGTGCCTTTATGGTCTTTTGGCTACAGGTTCCATTCCATGTTTTCCATAATAAATCATTTTGTTAATTTGCCAAGAGATCAGCAATGCTTTGTTGTCAAAGTTAGAAAGAAAGATCCTGTAGGCTAACACAAAAAACTGACTTTACAGCAGTATGTGGATGTTGAAGTGAATGAATTAACTTCTGCTTAACGCTGCCCACAGATGGGATGTGGGAGTTGCTCTGTGGAAAACCACAAAATGAAGAAGAAATCATTATAATCCCTATACTAAGTTCTTGGGTACCAAATGTTCGTTTTTACCCACGGCTTTTCACTGACGTAGTTCTGTAATCCTGTAAAGAGCAAATCTATTGTAAACAAATATGAACCTAAAGTCTGATTAAAAGGGAAAACAAATCAGGGTACAAAAATTTTCTATAACACCATTTGTACAAAATCAAGTTGTCTGAGTGGGGGACGTATGTTTTTTTATTGTACAATGAAAAGTTACAATCTGAGTCACTGTCAATTATAGATAATGAAGACCACAGGGATTTGTTCCCAACCCCCGACACACCGTCAGCACATTATCCAACACGTTCTTTGGAGACGAGGGGAAACCTTTATGACTTTTTCAACCAGGTCTACCCAACAGAGATGTCTGACTTCGCCAATAGATTTGCTGTACATGCTGGAGTAAGTGAACCATCTCAAGTCTGAATTCTGAATGCTTTGGGCAAACTTAAAAAGCTAATAAAGTCAACTTCCGAGGAATACAAATATTTTATCAAACACTCATCCTATCCCAGTGTCACTTTATCTCTTAAAATGAAGTTTTATTCACCCTTTTCTAGGTAAGCACTCCTCCTTTGAGTCCATATCCCAGGCGGTACAAAGCACCTCCTCGCACACAAGAGCACCCCAGCAGACGATCCCGTGTTGCTTTAAGAATGGAGGGAGAGGAGGAAGAAGGAACTGACGGTCCTCCTCTGAGAAGGTTCCGTTCTGATGGTCAGTCAGCCTTGCACAGGCGATTGATGGCTATGGAGAATGACCGAGCAGCAAGCGAGAAGTAGGCCGGACTACCTGAAGGTCCACAGTCTCACTCGCACTAAAGCAGAAAAGAGCATGAATGCAGTGACACCAGGCGTTTGTATTCTCGTGACGCAAAGTTATTTTCCCCCAAAAGTACTTAATAAGGTTGAAGAAGTTCTTTCTAACATTTGTCTGACAGACTGTCTGCAGTCAGAGCTTTAAGTTTGCTTTATCTCCTTTGCACTCACTGATCTTATGCGACACAGAGAGACAAACAGACAAAAAGTAATGCAATAATCCGCGAGGAGTACCCGAATAGCAATAGCAGTTTGAGAAATTCATCATCAAAAGAAAAAAAAAACAAAAACACAGAACATGAAATTTGTTCTGATACGAATAGAAATGAATACAGATGGAGCCAATGTTTACTAATGAAGCACTATGTGCAATATAATAATCAGTAACCCATCTGTGATTTTAACCAGAAACATTGATAGTATGAAAGATCAAATAAAGTGAACTCTATAATTTCATATTATAAGTTATCAGAGGAAAAGAGAGATTGTTGAGGGTTGTCCAGGTCCCTGCTAGAAGAGAATGAATTGGTTGAAATTTTACCGTAATCCCAAAAATCGCTGTTTACTTTCCTTTGGATAAAAAAGTCTGTTTTTTACAAAAGAGAAAGTCAAATGGTGTCTGGCTTTATTTATATCAGGGGTTTTATTCAATGACTTGTTGTAAGTTATAACATACTGTGTAAGTTAACTGTTGGGTTTAACTATGCGCTTTTAAATTTCTGCATTTTTATAATGTAACCATACTGCTTAAAAATCACATCAGCTTGAGTAAAAAAACTGTTATACCATCAGCTCCAGTCTTTAATTTTTAAAATTATGACTGTGGAAGTTTGGAAAAGTCATTACTGTATTTTGAGGGTTTTGTTTTTTCTCATTCTAACAATACAGAAACATTTATGAAAAAGGTGATTTTGGTATTTAACTGCAAAAGAAACAAAGTAAACTGATATGAAGTTAATCATTTTAAAGCCAGTTATGTTCTAGTATCTAACTTGCTTTTGCTAAATATTAACAGTTTATAGCCTATTTAACAGAAACCTCCAAATCTTGATTGCCACCCACAAATGTTGGACCTATTTTATTCTGTATTATAAAGTACGATTATATCTTTTTATGTGCAATCATTTGACTGTATCTGGTCTTGTCTATATATTACCTTTCATTGTGTTATTGTTGTCTTTATGGTGTGGTTTTCATTGACTCTTAATTGTGTACTTAATTGTGTACTTAATTGTGACTCTTAATTTCTGTACTAAAGTTTTCTTTGGAAACTGGTTTAGACTCAAAGCCTGGCTTCTTTTATTAAAGCTGTGCTGTCCAGTTATACACAGTTTAATCTGTCTTTAGTACTTTAGTCTCCAAAGAGCAGAGATACATGTCTGTGTGTTTCAACCAATTACAGTTAAAAAAAAAAAAAGGTTGTTGCTGCTGATGTTGCTGTAAAGTTTAAGCTTGTCAAACATGTCCGACTTTTAGTCCGTGTGGCTTATAGGTCTGCAAAAGCCCTCATTTTTACACTCAAATGACCTAACAGATCAAATTAAACTCTTATTTCTGTGACTAAAGAAAGCAGAACTTTTATCACCTTTAATGAAACAAAATTGTGGACAACAGCTGCTCTTTGGTGGAAACTTGACCCTTTTCTATGTTGATCAGTAACCATGCTTCAGCCTGCCACCAGGTTAACAATCCACCAGTGTTGCTTAGGAGGTAATTATGGCTCCCAGTCAAAGGCCTGTAAATTAAAACCGCACGCACGCAGGTACCCAAACTCAACAAAGACTTCCAAGGTTGCTCGAGTCTCTAGGTAACAAAGGCACTACACCCACAACAAGTGTCCGGGCTTTAAGGTTACGAGCAGAATTTAAACACTATTTACTAGCAGCGCCCAGAGCAGCTGAGCAGCAGCAAACTGTGGGATCTTAGATTTGGCCAAATCATGGGTTGCAACACGAGCCGGGGAAGCACTGTGGTGGATCCCTCTGAAAAGCCCGAGGAGAGGCCAAAGACTGCGGCTTCAATCAAAGAGGTGTCGACAGAGGAAGCTAACGGGACAACAGACAAAGAAAAGGAGGATAAAACAGAGAGTTCCAGCTGAGCCCAATCTCTGCACCTTTGCTTTCAAGTAAGAGATACCTTTGAGTTTTAATGGTTTTGTTCTGATATGATGTCCCATAAAATCTACATGAAAAATGTTTCTCCATCTTACCTACCAGCTGACTACGTCCTTTCAAAGTTTTTCAATTTTATCAATGGAACAAGGTTACAGGACCTAACCACAAAGCAAGCAATTTATGACCATCGCATTGGGGTCACTTTGATACAATCACCTCTATAACTTGACTGCCATGTCTTTTCTGAGGCTATTTGACATGACAAATGGGCTGTGTGGTGACTGAGACGAGCTGTGTGTGTCTGTGTTGCAGTGTGTAAAGATTGGCCTGTCCAGGGTGAAGGAGGGCCTGTCAGCGGGAGGAGGAGGCAACGCTGCACTACTGTCCATCAACCTTTGTGTCATCTGGGCCAGCCACACACACACACAAACACACACCTCTGAAGAAATACAGCTCCTATGTTTATAACCTAGAAACTATTTTGTGATAAATACACTGAATCAAACACTGCTGGTGTGTCGTTGTGTACCTGCTCTGTGTTTTGTATTCATCTTAAGCACTGGTTTAGATCTTTTTAAAGCCCCCTATGGCTTCTTTTTAATTTTTGCACATCTTTGTTTGCTTTCACGGCTCTTATATGTTCATTTGGCTCTCCCCCCTCTTCTCAAACGCTCACACACCTCTGGTCAGGGCTGATAGATGCAACACACTCTTTCAAATGCTTCCAATTCTGCTGCAGGCTAAGGCAGCAGCCCTTTAAGATAGCCAGCTTATGTTTCAGCTGTGTATATCTCACAGCTCTCCAACATGCTCTGCATATCAGAAGGCTGCTTATTTGAACCGTCACACACACACACACACACACACACACACACTGAGAGGCCTATACAACAAGTAATGACATGCTGCCAACAGCGAGGTTACAAAATACTCAAGCACTTCCCGGTTTATTCCACCAGGGAGCATAGTTGAGCATTTATGGAGTACTTTCTACCGCCACCAGAGGGCAGAAGTGGTCTTTTACACACTGCTCTGAGACATCTGAGGCTGGCTCCATTTGCTGAAGACATTTAATCTGAAATATAGGTTGTAAGTTTATTACCTGCTAGTGAATGGAGCTGGAATGGAATAGCCATTTCACAAAGCCGTATCAAAAATACCCATCTCAGAGGCAGTGGGAAATTACATGAAAATATTACCATTATACAAATGGAAAGTGTGATTGAATAATGTGCTGGAGAAGATAAATGAAAAGCACTTTGTTGGAAAACGTGGTCCTAAATAGGTTTTTAATTTCAGTAGTGGGATAAAAGAAGCACATTTTTAGCCCATTTCACTGCCAATTGATTAGCAGTTCCACATCTGCAGATAGAGAAGAGGCCTTATCGTCTCATTATCAGTTAATTAATATGCATGCACACATGCCAATTATCTTTCCTCTGCCATTAAGCAAAAATGAGACATTGATGTTTTAATGGTGCCAGCACGGATAAATCCTCCGTTGCTTTAAAGACAAGGCAGACACATTGATTGACAAAGCTGGGGAATGTTAAGAAAGACAATTGAATTAAGAACAACCTGAGACACTTGACTGTTACATTAATACTTCTCAGAGGCTCAGCCCTTTTTCTGTTCTTTTCCAGGCGCTGTGACTCAGGGATCGAACAGAGTTTTATTTTGATGAACTCTTTCTAGAAATGTAGAAAAAGGGCAAATCTAATGGTGCAGTTTAAGTATACATATATAGCTACCAGTGAGAATCCATTATGGAAACGTTTTATTTGAAGGACATGCAGAGTAGAGAGCTATTAAATTTTCCACTGTGCCATGACTATTAAAAGACCCAAGGCCACACCAAGTGAAGCAAACCCAAGATGAAAGTTATATTAATCATTATTCGGTTTACTGTACTGTGTGCACTGAATTTATGTTCATGAGTCACAGGCCAGTGTTATGTGCCAGTGAAATAGGCAATATTATGGAAGGGAGCACTATTGACATTTTTCATTTCTGCATAAATGCTTCTGGTTGCACATTACGCCCAAGGCTGTTAGCTTTTTTTTTTTTCTCTCTCTCCTTTTCTTTTATCAGCGCTCTTAGAGTTCAATGCCACTATGCTATAATGTTGGAGTGATTCTCAACAATCAAAAAAAGGAGAAGATAAAGCTCTCCCGGCAAAATCCAAACCTGGGATCCATGAAGTTCCCACACATAAAACATCACAGAGGACAAACTTGTGCCACTGGAGGCAGCTGCTCACAGGATTGTGCCAAAAAGAGAGAGAGAGAGAGAGAGTGCAAACAGAAAATGAGAAGGGTGACTAAAAAAACTCTCCGGGGTGTAATCTCCTTACTCAGTAATGGACCATTTATATGATATGTATAATAGGCTGCCACAAAATATTCACAAGTAGTGGTCTTATTTTCAGCCAGCTTCTCTTTAAAGATATGTTCTTCACAGGGTATCTTTTGTGAATATATGATCAGAGGCCCGACAGCCCTGCTCTTTAATCTTACACTGGCCTTGAAGAATGTCACTGATTCCAACACCCCCTCCTCCTCCTCCTCCTCCTCTTCCTCCACCACAACTGCAACTACAGACACCATCGTATTCACATTGTGGTGCAGCGCTGCCTCTCTGGGTGTTGAAAAAGCAACGGTTCTCTTTATTTTGAGTTTAAAAAACACTGTATTTGTATAAAATCTTGGCACATCCATCTGATCTTGAAGTATTGCAGAGGTCTTTGGAGTGCTGGTTTATGACACAAAAGGATTTCTGAAAGAACGACTCCCCTTTTTGTTTTGTTGACCTCTCGGAGAGACGTGTTTCAAAGTCAGAGCAATTTGTTCACAGCCGTCTTCTCTCTGATGTGCAGGCTGCTCACTTTAGATGTCGTCTTTTATGTTTTTACAGAGTATTTTTATGGAGCCTACCTCAATATAGTTTTTACAGTATACACTGTATCAAAAGGACTCATTATAGGATTGTAGCAAATATAGGGGGGGGGGGGGGGTATTGTGCATTTTTTTCAGACTCTATACTTCCTCTCTAACACCTCTTTAATAGCTTTACATCAAAAAAAGCCTCAAACTTCTCACAGTGGTGTATTAAAATATCATTATTTTAGCCTCCGTCTGATCTCTTTAAAGCTCCCCTTCCACAAGCCTACTTTCTTCTGATTGGCCACCTCTCCAGAGGCTTTCCAGAAGTCGCAAGAAACACATCAACCAGTAGGAGGAGTCTATAATTCTTATATCAGACTTAAGTAAATCTCGCACTTAAACTACGGTCCCGCATTTCTGCGTGTTTGTCTGAGATTTGAGCAGTTTACGTCTACTTTCTCAAATTATGACAAAAAACGTTTACCTTTAGATTCGAAACTTTGTATAAATGTGACATGGACACCAAACTTTGTAACTTTGCAGTTTTTGTTGTAAATGTGGAAAAAGATGATACACCAGCAAGTAAAAGAAAATGGCTTTCCTTGAAAAAATGGTAAAAGATTAAAGCTTCAGAGACGCTAAAACAGCCCTGCTTCTGCATCAGGTAAAGTCTTTGTTCTCAACATTTTACAATAGACTCTGTATTTCCACAAACATCCTTGTATGTGTCAACAGTTTAGACATCCTCTCTCTAAATAATGGACTTGAAGATGCATCTGAATAAAACACTCAAAGCTCCTGTGAGGAGTATCTAGCCAGTGTTGAAACAGACTGAAATCAAAACTTACATCTGTTTATGACTGCAAAAACAAAGCACTATCAGGAAGCAGAAGGTTCTTTTTCCCATAAAGTTATTTTGTTGTCATCTCCTCCTCAGGGCAGGTGTCAGAAAATAGGCAATGGTTCACGACACATCCCTTTAAAGTAAGCCAGACTGGAAATGTTAGTATTTAATAAGTCACAAGTTAAGACATACGGTTTTGTTCACAGGGTTCATATTAACCAAAATTTCTCATGAGCTTTAAGGTTTCATTTAAAATGCATCAGGTAACCCTTATATCATAAGGCTCTTATTTTGGGTACCCTGTGAAGGACTGCTGAGGCTCTATGAGATTTTATTTGCTATGGTGACGCTATCTATGACTAAAAATGTATACAGTCACAAATACAGCTACTTGTGTTTCCTTATGTGCCACTAGTACTTAAGTTAAGTTGAAACTTCCTTTGTTTTCACCCAGAGGAGTGATCGCTTTGACAAGAGATGTTAGACTGCTCCTATGATCAGTCCAAGCATAAGAGAGGAAGTAAGTTATACTCTGTGATACTACCCCAATTGTGCCCTCCCACTCACCGTTAAAACAGAAGAACTACTTATAAGACGGAAGGTCAAAGTGTCGTGAGCAGGAAAGCACAGACCACATGAGAAACAACAATGTGCTCAGTCTGTCTTTGCGTGCACACAAATGTAGTTTTCTGAATGTGTGTGACAGCGTTTGTAAAAATAATACACACGCATGGCCATTTGATTGCGTGCTGAGTTTATCTCCATCCTCAAACCTTGAATGTGAGGTTTGGCACTATGATGTCAGGGCTCGTACGTATCAAGTATTATTTTCATTCTTCACACACAATCACTGATCCGCCTGATTTATTATTTATGATGGTAGACCTTTGTATGAACTATCTCAGCCAATTTACACTGCAAACTAGCAGAAGCGGAGAACCGAGTGTTACCAAGTTTCAGAAATGTATGATTTGCTGTATGAGCAAAAAAAGAGGGAGACCTCGGATTTCTGGTACCTAAACATTTTATAGCAAATAACAGCGATAAATCAAAACTAGAGATGAAACCAATGCAAAACCTAGAAGACAATGTCAATCATACACCTTATAAATCTAACCTGAACAGTACAAAAGAGTGGTATGAAACATTTCACTGTGTTCCTTCAACTTTGTCCATTTCACATTAAATATGTGGATTTTGTGAGTCACTGTCTGCACCTCTCTGCAGAGAGAGAACAAGTCCTCATGTCATTTTACTAGACAATGTCAGACAGGAATCACAGAGGATTCATCACTTTGGTACAGATTCTGTTTGACTCTCTCTTTAGTGGACAGAAAACAAAAGCAACCCAACAAACTTTTAGGAGACTAGAGTATTTTTAGGATTTTAGAAGCTGCTTAATGGAGCATGCATCCATAAAAAAAGGTAATCTCCTTGAACTGTAGGCACAATGCACCTGGGGCACAACTGCTTACAATCCATCTACTCGCTGCTTCCAGAAGGGTTCACTCAAAGTCGACTGCAAATGAATGCAAGGACTGAAATACCTTACCATTAATTTTTTTTTTGTCAAATGTCATAGCAATGAAAGGTCTGTAGGACACTGCAAATAGATTATGAACGAGTGGAAAACCTTATAAAGTCCTGAAGGCAAATAAGATTTAGCTGAAGATAAAGGTCAGGGCGCTGGAGGAGAGATATAGGGAGGCATGTGGACAAGGATGACTTGATTATCCTGGATGGGAGCACAAAGAGACATGTCCTTTTGCAACAGGGCTACAAGAAATACTGTACTGTTATAACAGGGGTAGACACGCCAGCGAAGAACTGGAGCATCACCAGGAATTCTTGGACACACGAAAATACATCGCAATAGGCCCCATCACCACAGCCCAATTACTATGACTGCACATCATTATGCTAATGACCCATTAAACGCTTTAAAGACTTAAACTATGTGCAACACCCTCAAAAAAACTGAAGATGAATAACAAGAGAGTGTGACATGTCTCACAGCATCTGAAGTCAAACTTGTTTTTCACACACCAAACATTTCACACATGAAGAAGAAGAAGAAAGGGAGCTCACCGGGTTTCACTTGTTATTAAACAGACTTCTTCAGAGTCTCTGCTTAACTAGTCTCAAACTCACTCACAAAGGTAAAACGAGTGGCACTCAAGTACTATTAATGAAGTATTTTCTGAATCAGACTTTGGCTTTAATAATGTGTTTGCTCTACATAATGAACGGTTGATTTTCCAGGAGCTACTGCAGATGAAAGTAGGTTAAGTAAAACACAAAAACAAACCTGAGCATTCAAATTAGATCAAACTTGTCAGCGTAGGAAAAATAAAGTCATTTTTTCCTGTCAAGTAACAAAAATGAGAGGATAGGGTTTAGAGAAAACGGGAAATTGACAATGTCCATTTTGAGTAGAAATTAAGGTTAAATGAAACCTGCGACTAAGCTTCACACACAGCTAGTTCAGGCCACATGATTGCTGATATACCAAGAGGATATATGATAAAAAAGCATGAATGTTACTGAGAACAGTTTAAGAAGTGTCTTCATACTGTTAGCTAGTTTAGCTTGGAGTGAGCTGCTTGTGTCAAATACTGTGTGCCTCTGACTAAGGTTATCTACAGTGTTGGATAGTAAGGTGTTATTAGTAACGCCGTTGCTTAATTCATTAACGAATAATGTAACACGTTTTTTCCGATCTGTTACCAAACGCTGCGTCTGATGAGGTTTTACAATGGCACGCAGTTCCCATAACATTTTTTGTGATCAATAAAGTTTAATTGAATTTAAAAAAAGCGCTAGTCACCCTCAAGCGTCACACGCGTAATCAAACATGCATCATGAAGAGGACTGGACAGCTCAGGGCACGACCATAGACTGTATACAGAATGGACAGCGTCTGCCTCATAGACTGTATATACTATGGACAACTTGGTTCCGCCTTCCGCCAGTATACGGATTTGAAGCCAAAAAGCTCCGTGATTTTTCTTCATTTCCTGAAACCAGCATTGCGCAGTAGCATTGTACGCATTTGGCGGGAGAGTCACCCAGAATCGCTGTGATGACGCTTGTCTCAAACAGCTTATCCCCCGGGTGAGCTACACTATCTTCATATGCCCATAGGCTGTATCAGGTGTCAATCATAGAAAAGCCACCCCGAGAACAGCACACTCTGTTGACGGACTGCAGTATAGGTCATAAATCCCACCTCTGCCAGCAAAGCTTATGGAGCTGTGGACAAACTTTACACATTTTTTATACAGAATATAGATAAATAAATATTTATACAGAATTTTTTTCCTCCCTGCTTGCGATGTAGACATGTAGCTACTGTCAGACTGGTTTGTGCTCAAGTCCTATTTTTTTCTGTACAGCTCCGTTTATAAAAGTTATAAGAAGGTTCATGTTTTCTATGATTGACACTTGATACAGCCTATAGGCGTATGGAGATTGCGTCGCTCACCCGGGGATGCACTATTTGAGCCGAGCGCCATCACAGCGATTCTCGGCGACTGTCCCGCCGAATGCGCACAATGCTGCTGCGCAAGTGGTGGAGGGCGTACAACGCAACGCAGTGTTGGTTTCAGGAAGTGGAGAAAAACGCGGAATTACCGAGAGCTTTTCGGTTTAAAATCCGTATACAGGCGGAAGGCGGAACCAAGTTTGCCATACAGTCTATGGACGCGACATGACGGCTAGCGATAAGGAAAGGTTTCTCCTCATGGATATACTCACATGATTTTCCACTGGAGAGCAAAGGGGAAAACAACGTTTCGGTAACAAGTAAACTGTGTTCCGGGTCAAAAATCCTTTCTACGGCGAGCAACAGCAACAGCAGTCTACTGGAGCACCTAGAGGAGCGGCATCTATCAACAGAGTTAGCAGCTAAGGTAGCTAACGCAGCCTGCGAGAACGGGAGTCACAGCAGCGAGCACACACCCACTCCACCAGGCAGCAGTGATTGGAGCACGACAGACAGACCCATAGTCGGGCACAACTCGCACGGTATGTTTGATTGTTTATTTGGATCTCTTTTAGCACAATCAGGCTACTATTCCAAGAGTCCAATGGTAAAGTTTTGGTGTTAGTGTCAAGGTGTGTGTTGGTGCACAATGGATCATATTGCTTGTATGATTAGATTCAGTGATGTAGATGCAAATGAACTGAAACGTTTGTTTTAATCAACAGTTTGTTTTATTCAGCTTAAGTAACTGAAATGACAGCACAACTGAAATGACAGCTAGAGGGGAACTCAGTCAGTCCACCAGCATGTAGTGGGAGTAGGGCTGGGCGATATGGGAAAAAGTTTATCATGATATATTTTTTCGTATGAGTCAATATCGATATATATCATGATATATTTGATAGTGCTTATTGGTGGCATGTCTTGCAGTACAATAAGCTACTGCCCCCGTGAGGTTGTTGTGTCTCTTCAACGTTTTGTCGTACGGCGTTGTGCTAGAGAAAGCGGACTGAATGGTCGGTTGGTTTGACTGCACAGGCGCGATTGGCTCCTTGCTCAGCCTGGGGTTTTTAATCTTTAGCACTGCTCGTGCTCTGCTGCATGGCACTGCTTCAGGTGGTGATAAAATATTTCAGGTATTTCCTGACTTTGTGAGAAAATGTATTCAACATAATTTGCAGTGCACATTACTCTGCTTCATGTCCGACCTCCAAAAACCAAACTACCTCCACACCAGTGACGTTTTCGTGCCAGTGTTGTCGTCGATGTCGTCATCTGTTGAGCCTTCATCTGCATTTCTGTCGCGGGTAGCGCTCATTTTCTTTTTTTCTCACCTACAGTGCTGTCGGCTTCACGTGTTAAAGTGCTAGGGTTGTGTGTAACTGCAGCCTGCTACTATGCAGTTGTTTGCTACTTGGTTCTAATTCAGCACATGATTGGTTCAGCACAAAGCGGACCTGGAGCAACTCCCCTTTTCATTGCTATTCGTGAAGTCTACCAAACATGGCAGATTGACGACTATCGCAAAGCATATTGACCATGTTTTATATTGATATTGAGGGAAATTAATTTTGATATTGTTATGGTTTTGTTGCCCAGCCCTAAATGGGAGCATTTGAAGCATTTCTTTTTGGTTTAGATTACTGAGTTACTAAATGAGTTACTTTCTTTTACAAAGTAACTAGTAACTGTAACTAGTTACTATTTTTCAGTAACTAGCACAACACTACTTATCTACAACTGACGGACATTCATTAGCCAGCATGTGTTGTGTGTGGCTGTTAAATGTTATATAAATTAACTTTATCACTAAGAGTTCAGATACAGCACTGTCACAATCATCTTTTGCTCACAGCTGACAGTAAACATGTCTATAGTAAACATGCATCATATTCCAAAGGCAATCAACAGCTTGATTCAGTGTTGAAATAGTTTTTGATTGATTATATGCTGTGCTTATCATTCAACCAGAACCCTATACTGAAAACCAGACCTATGACTTTAACCGCAAACTAATCCAGTTTCCATCATTTTAGAGGGTTGTTTAGTTGTGAGAAACAGTTTTGTTTCTAGATTAACATATAAAATGATTCATTATCCCTATCTTTATTATTTGTTGCCATTTGGCTTTTTATACATGTTACCACAGTTCATCTTTATAATAGTTACTTGATGAATGCTAGTTAATCTGTGTTTGCAGTACTTTTATATTCATGTGAGAAGAGACTGACTCTACCAACTAAGTCAGCTCATTGCATCAAAATCCAAAGGCTGAGGAGCAGCAAAAAAGGCTGCTATATGTCTGCGTGCATAAATGTGGAGTGGTCTGGTTGTATGCATGTGTGCGTACATGCAGAGTAACACTTTTCAAAGGAAACTGTGAAAAATAGGAAATGTACTCTAAATGTCATTCATTCAGTGCTGATGTTGGGGTGACCTTCAACAGAATCAGCTCTTTCTATTGTGGACGTGGAGGGTTGGGCTCTGTTAAAGATCAGGTTTGATAAGGAGAAGTTGGTGTTAAAGCAAATGTGTGATGGTCCTGTAAGGCAAGTATGAGTTCAGATTGGCTGATGTGCAGTCTACATAAGTGGGAGGGTACCATTGTGTATCATATGTCCAATCACAGCTTATCTGCATAATATCAGTCAAAACTATTCAGAAACCCGCCTCTGTCTGCCTCTTTCTGAATTAACAACATCGAGATACACATTTTGGTGGGTAAATAACATGCCGAGATTAAATGTGAATCAAACCTGACAGCAAAAGCTAGAGGGAATAGGGTTCAGCTGAAGGTCTTAAGCCTACTATCAATTGTTTTTGAGGGATCCTTTTAAAACAAACCTACATGCTTCAGCTCTCGCTGTGTATTTTTGTCCTATGCTGGACGAAAAACAACTTCACTTCAAGGATACATAAAAGAAACAGTTGCATCTCTGTCAGATATCAAAGAAAACATTAAATAAATA